ACCAGTGTGTGGCTTCGGCTCACAAATCAACGACACGGCAGCAACTGCAGTTTCCCGTTGGTCCGGCATGTTTGCTTGATGCTGTGGAAGCAAGCTCTTGGAGTCCTCCCACCACTCAAGCTACCGACGATTAGCGTGTCGCACGCGTGACTTGATGTGGTAACTATCGCAACCATATCCTGCCAAGGTCGTCCCCACCCCCGTTCGCCGCCTCGGGGCTAGTAACCACCCATGCTTGGCGCGATTTGCATCTCGGAGCAGAAACCAGATGATGTGGGCCTGTCGTATCGGTTTCGGCCGTCTTCCGCGCGTTGAACATGAGAAGGGCAAACGGCATCGATTGGCAGGACTGCATGCAGGCGGAAACAAGCTCTAGCTAAAACCAATACTCCATAGTAGGGGCTGGTAATGCGCGATGTACCTCTCTGGGCTTTGTGTGAGGAGCCTGAATTTGTCGAGGTATGGTACGGCATGGGGGAACAGGTATGTAGCGGCGTGTCTGGTCTGGTTCAGAGAAAGTCGAGGCACGCATTTCTCGGTCGCAGCTCCTCAGGCGCGGAGCGTTTCGCTGTAGTCATAGTTGGGAAACGAATTCCGTTGCATGTGTGATGCACCACGACCTTTCGATACTACTCCACACACGCGTGTACGGATGGAGAGACCATCGTCCGATCCAACGACGGCCGTGACTGTCCGTGTACACAGCGCATTCGGGTCCCGGTATCCGTAATCGAGGCCACAAGATGTCACAGGCAGGATTGTCGGTAATCCAACGGTACAAGCGAGATGAATGGGATAAGGAAAAGCGCAGACGGGATGCGGAGGTTTGGTCAAGGCCGATGGCCGACTCCTTGGGGTGGAGAGCGGCGTACTGCTCGATAGGCGGCGGGAATCAAATGGACCCCGGGATTAAGCGAATGGATGAAAAATTGCGCATCTTGCGTAAGCATGCTGGATGACAAAGGAAGGGGGGAAGGAGAAGGAAGGAAAACTGGAATAATGACGACAGTGAGTACCTGCCTAGCTTCTATGATGTACTACCTGGCTGGCCTTAGGAGGGGGCTGGGCCCTAGGAACAATGGCCGCCAAGTGGGGACATCACAGAAGAAAATGAAGTCAACAGCTGTTGCTGCTCCTGCTTCTCCCTGGCGAGAGGTGGAGCAGGAGGGAGGTACGTAATGGACCAAGTACCGGTACTTGCGACACCGAACAACCTGTGTGCGTATCCGTACTGGGGCAACCTTGCCCAACCTCGCGTCACCATCACCCCTTACACTACTCATTGTGGTCACATTCTCACTTTCCCTTGTGTACTACCCGGTGGTAGTAGGTAGTGTAGGTACCCTAGGTGCCTGTGGTGGCTTACGACCCTACTGCTAGCTGCAAGCTCCTGCTCGGTTTCGTTGGCTATCTACCGCTGGCCAACTTTCAACCTCATTGCCAGCGGGCGTGCGGACTCGCTTATTCCCCGCTGGTGCAATGGGGCACTCGGCCCCCTACTGACCTCTGGGCGCCAAGACAAGCAGTGAGTTGTCGTCAGCACAATCCGCCATCATTTCGCGTCTAGCCGTGTTACTCTGAACCGACCCGCTTGCCTTTCTGGCTTTTCTGTTTGTGTTTGTGCGTGAAAGAGAGAGAGAGAGAGAGAGAGAGAGAGAGAGAGAGAGTGGGGGCTACAGAGAAGGGGCAGGGAGAGAGACGAAGCGCCGGCGCTTGCCAACTCGAAACGGAGAACCTTTGCCTTTCTGACAGAATTGGCATCCTGATGTGGGCTGGGGCTGGGCTGCATGTACAGCTTACACTACAATTCTCTTGGTCCGAGTCGTTGTCAAGTTGAGATGGCATTCGTCTTGGCGCTTATTTCGGCAGTAATCAAGGGTGATGCCGCTTTTGCAGAGCCCCGATTATGCTGGCACAATAGCGTCAGTTCGGCTCTCGCTGACCGGCCGGGACGGAGTTAATGGCATGCAGAATACCCCTTAGTTCGCATCGTTGGAGGGGGCTTGATGGCGGAACCATAGATTAGATAAGCATCGGTCGGCATTGGAAGGCACGACCAGGACAGTAGCCCGATTCACTACTGTATGTTGCATGCATGCGTCGACCGGGATTGGTGTCGAAGCCATTTGCAAGCCATTTGCAAGCCACCGATTGCAAGTCCCGTTTTGACAGTGACGGTCCCTAACGCCTTGCGTCAGACCACAAAAACCGAATCGACAACGTTGGGCGGTCAGCGGTCAGCGGTCAGGCCAGCCCGATGCACCGACCTTTGCGACTCTGTGGTCTTCACCGATGGCGCCGATCGTGTCGGCCCAACGACGAGATGGCTCTTCCGGTACTTACTACACTGCACGATCCAAGTACCTACACTACTGGTTGCTCATGTGTGGGCTGTCTGTGTAGTCACGATGACATCCTTTCTTCCAGGCTTGCCGAGCAAGCGAGGCAAGTAGGCGAGTGACATGTTTTCGGCAAGGGCCAACCTCCCCCCCGTTGCGCACTTGCTGAGACAGTCAACGATAACAGCCGCGACACCGGGTGAGGAGCAGCAGTTTGTTTCACTTAAATGTATTGATTGAATACAAGAGGAGGGGGGAGGGAGGGTCAGCAAAGAGACACGTCAATGTGACACTTCGCTATTGCATCTCCTCCTACGATGCAACGCGAGAAGGAGCTCGAACGGGTAGGTATGTATCGTTGGGACGGGGGTGCGATTCATCATCAGCCCTGTTAACCAGTCGTCGACTCGAGTACGCACGCGACACACACACACCACACATTCTTTCTTTCTGTGACTGGCTTGGATGCAGGTGACGCGCGCCTGCAGGGCCAGGTCAGGTTCGAGTATGACAAGTACGATGCGCCAATTTGTCGCATCGGGAACAGGAGACGGGGGACGGACGGGCTTTGCTGGCCATCAATAGCGGTGCATTCATTCTTCGAGGCAAAGGACCAGGACCACATGGAAAGATGCGGGCTGGAATCCAAAGTACCTAGCTTGTACAAGTAAATGATGGAAGGAAATCACAAACAGACGGCAGCTTCTAGACCATCACTAATCGAATCCACCACGGACATGTTCGGTCGTGGTCGTGACGGAGCAGAAAATTCGAAGCGAAAAATGGACCCCAGCGTCAAGTAATTAGTGTAGGTATCCGAAGTGGTATGCAAGCCAGCATCATCACATAAGGAAAGCGGACTTGGAATTAGTAAATACGTACATCCCGGTGCAGGGAGCGAACGTGCATCGCTGATGTTTCTCCAAGATAAGCCCGTGCGTGGCCCATTACCTAGAACGGTGGATTACCCACAAGCACTCGTGACTCTTGCTGCGGTACGTACCCCGAGACTCTGTTCTATCAGGCATGTACCTGTACCCGAGCCGCAGCCTCCGAGCGGCTCTCACATTCTGGTCGTGTGTGGTTTTTTCCCTTTCCCCCCTCCTACCAAATAGGTTTGTTCACTACAGACCGAAATGGTCCCAGTTTGTCAGTCACTCACCGCAGTCCCTCATCGTCGTTAGGTAATCTGACCGGCACGCGACTACCGGTACGGATACATAGGCAGTCACTCTCCAGCCCCCACCCTCCCCCCGGGAGGATCACCATGAGACCTCTAAAGCGACGGCGCCGAGCTTGACCAGCCTTCCAATGGCAATCATGACATGTCTATCCGGAGGGAGCGGGAACATGGCAGGGCTCCAATTGACACCCGCGCGGCTCGTCCTTCCTCTTTCTTGTGCATGGGAGACGAGGCGTACGGAAGCGAAACCCGACACTCGGACAGAACAGCGCAATCCTGAGTACCCGATACGCAGACAGAGACGCCAAGAGAGGCATGTCAAGGAACCCCAGGGTCTCGGAATGAAGCAGCAGAGCACCGTAGCTCCCTCATGATTCGATTCAGCGTCCTCAGTTTTGTCAGTACATTACACTGCTGTGAGTGTATGCCTGTACATTACCCAGTGGCCCACGCGCTGCACCGAACCACTTACCGCCCGGGGCCCCTGGCCATGGCCAGCTGTGTATCCGTAGGGACGGGAGACTCGCAACCTACCACAGGCAAAAAAAAAAAGGTGAAAAAAGGTACGTGTATCCATGGTACGTACCGGTACAAGTCGCGATACTTTGGGCTGTCCGCGAAGAAAGAACAGACGGGGGCACCCACACATTCATACAGGTACTCACTCACACTCACACCACACACACACACACACACACACACAAACATCCATTCTACTCCGCTGTTGGCCTCTGACAAGCACCCTGGTCCCCGCCGCTTCCGTAGGCCGGCTTGGGTTCACTTGGTACCTTTCCGCTCTGCCGTGGGCGACCTGGGTACCTCTGGGCTCTTACAAACCGTGGGCTCCGGTAGAATCCAAACCTCGGCCTCATCTCTTTGGGAGGGACAAAAAAAAAACCCTGGGACTTGGGACCTTGGACCTTGTTTGGTCCGGTCTCCGGTTCTCTCTATCCCTTCTGCCTTACCTTAACCTACTTTGCCCTCCCCTGCCGCTTTGCCCCGTCCGTTCCGCGGCCTCGCCATACATATCAGTCTAGTCATCCACACTTTCCGCAGCATTGCTACCTGTCCCATTCCTCTTGATCTCTTGCTCCCTTTCCTCTCCAAGTCCTCCCCTCCTACTCAAGACTCTCTCCGTCGCCTGTTGATTATTCACCCGTCTTCTCCCTTGGGCGGCCTCCATCCACTCACAGGACACCAACCCGAGGATTTGGCAAGTTTTGGGAATTACAGGAGCCTTGTTCACCGGGACATGACGTAGCTGGCCCATCGAGAGACACAACCAAACATAACGACAAAGAACCCTACCGGATGTTTTGGTTTTAGTCAGACACGGACAAGTTGACGCATCCCGGAAGAAGACCTTGTCGTCTTCAGAGGTCCTCCTCACCGTCACCTACTACCGCCTCTCGCCCCGCCGCGCGCGTTGCCTTGCAATCCTTCAATACTGCCTTCTGCTCCGAGCGCGTCCAGCAACCATGCGTGACCTCCCCAGTCTCATCCGGGCGAAGCCGAAGCTACCGTCGCTCTTGACAGGCAACATCAACTTCGCCAAGCTCAACCCGATCCCGTACCGATACCGACCAAGCCGAGGAAAGAGGCATCAGAAGAAGAGCGACACCTACACCGACGCTCACGATATCACATCGCTCCAAAAGTCGTTCAACCCTCTCGTCACAATACGGAGACTGCGAGCACACAAGTGGAGGCTTCTCGACTTACAGTACACGATATTGGTCGCCCTAATCATCTTGTCGCTTTGCATTACGCCATCGGCACCCTTAATCAAGACTCTTGCTGTCGCAGGCGGTCTCCTGCTTCTGACCGTTCCCGCCACCAGCCAGTTCTTCTTCCCAGGGCTGAGTATATGGGCCTACCTCATTTATTTCTTTTGCAGTCGGTAAGTCGCTTACATTCTCTGGGCATCGCGGTCAGGAGCCTGACTGGATCATAGCTTCATCGATGCGAAATACCGCCCTCACATCTGGGTTCGCGTCCTGCCAGCCCTCGAGAACGTCCTTTACGGCGCCAACCTCTCTAATATCCTGTCCGCTCACACCCACCCGGTCCTCGACATTCTCGCTTGGATCCCATACGGCTTGGGCCACTTTGGCGCCCCGTTCGTCTGCGCCGGCTTCCTGTTCCTCTTTGCCGCGCCCAAGACGCTCCCCGTCTTCGCCAAGTGCTTTGGATGGCTGAATGTGCTCGGTGTGACCATCCAGCTCCTCTTCCCCTGCACTCCTCCGTGGTACGAAAACGAGCATGGCCTGGCACCTGCTGCCTATGGCATGCAGGGGTCCCCGGCCGGCCTGGCCCGTATTGATGCCATTCTCGGTATCGACATGTACACGACGAGCTTCACCACTGCCCCTGTGCCTTTCGGCGCCTTTCCATCGCTGCACGCCGCCGACGCCGTCATGGAGGCTCTCATCTTGAGCCATTGCTTCCCGCGCTTCCGCCCTCTCTTCGTAATTTACGTCGGATGGATCTGGTGGGCGACCATGTACCTCAACCACCACTATGCGGTCGACCTGGTCGGTGGGTCCCTTCTCTCCGCCGGCATCTTCTACTATGCCAAGGCTCGGTACCTGCCTCAACAGCAGGCCGACAAGAAGACGCGCTGGGAGTACGACTACGTTGAGATTGGCGAGCAGACCAAGATCTTTGACGAGGAGTACGGACGGTTGTACAACATGGGATACCTCCAGCGACGCGGCAGCTCGTCCAGCGACGAGTGGACGGTCGGCAGCAGTTCCAGCTACAGTACATCGAGCCGGGGCAGTGGGAGTCTGAGCCCCGCGCTCTCGGAAGAATCCGGCCGCAGCCTCTTCAGCATCGAGATCCGATCCGACCACGAACGACACGAGATTCCTCAGCTTACCGAGGTGGCCGTCCGGTAGATTGGGGGGTTCTATCTTTCACAGCACGCGCATTCCAACATGGACTCGGCATAATATAAGCGAGGACTATTCACGAGCTGGGTGGGCCATAATGCCGGCACAGCCCCGCAGAGCGTACTCGGAGCCCTCGAAGAAGAAGGATTCCGCCCTTGACCAATACCCTTTTGTTCGGTCCTCATCATCAGCAATCTTCACTCAACACGGATACCAATTTGGACTATCTGCACCATTCGCATCATAAGGAGCACAGCAACGGCGCAATTGCGGTGCTTTATTTTATCATTATCATTATTTTTTATTTTTTTTCATGTTGCAGACGAAATCACTAGCCGGCGACGCGAGACTCTCGCCAGGCATGGGAGTAACGGCCTCATGGATGACCATAACGGCAGAGAAAGACCAAGGGAATTGGCCTAAGAGAGGTACACGGAATGGGGACATGAAGATATAGACCCCCGGTACATTTAATGTGTTCAATGTTGAGGACTCAGATGTCTTCCCACTCTGGCGCAGTGTGTCGGACGTGGGGAGGACAAGATTGAGCCTCAGGCGTCCGACCAGCGAGGAAGGCGGACCCGATGTAATGCGGAGGAGGAGAGCCAAAGTATACCACGAGCACAGGTAGAGCAGTCGCTACTGAAGTAGTTGATGAACATGAAGAATAAAGACGAGAAACAATATCTCAACACAGGACGTTTCCACCCGTTGGGCGCACCATCATGACCTGCTCAGTAAGCCCCGTTCAGATTGTCGTCGCATCAGCAAATGTGGCTGAGTTGAGGGCGATTAGTATCGTGTCGTTGAATAACCTTCCGGGGGGAGAGTGGGTGTTTGTGGAAGAGGGGTTATAATTACCGTACCTAGCCAGCTCTTCTTTGGTTGCGAGCGCAGGCGGCGAAGAAACGACTGGGCAAGGAGGGCGGGGGGCCGGAAACGACGCTAAGCCAAGACCCGAGCGATCGGGACCGCCTCCCGTCACGACCAGACCGGGGGGGGGGGGGGGGGGGGGGGCATTGGGCGCTTACAAATGATCGCTGGCCCACATCGAAAAAGGGTACCGGACAAGGGTTTGTCTTTTTGTCTGTCTGTCTGGGGTCTTTGCGGTTTGGGCCTCCATTGTTCCTCTTCTCTCTGGTTATATCGCTCTCCCCTTTTCTTTAGGTCCCAGGGATGACGAGGCAGATGCAAGTGCCGGGCGGGGGGTTGGGGGGCCTGTTGGGCTTGGGCGGACGAGGTATATGTCAGTGAGCCCAGACATTTTACACATGACTGTATAGCTAATTTCCCCGAGGAAAGGGGGCAAAGAAGGGGATAATAGGTGGTTAGACAGGGAAAAGGGGCCCGAATTGACGATGCGGGTCCGTCGCGTGGCATGAGCATGAATTTCCATGTTGGATGTAATGCCCGATGGCGGCTCCCTCCGGTCTCGATTCTCCTTTTCCCATGCCGGGCGTCGAGAAACACCAGCTCCCCCCCCCCAACAAGCAACAACAACTTCTTCGGGTTCGGCTAGGATTTGCCTGTGCGCGGCGGCATTTCGTCACCCTCTTCATCGGCAGGTTGCCGGTCGACCTTGACATCGAGTGGCATGGCTGCAGTGACTGGTCACTTGGTGCGACGGAATGATGGCGAATGGAGATGTTAGAGTTGAGCAGCACCCTAAAAGAATTCGTTTGCAACCCTTTCTTCTGCACGGTGTGCTAGAGGAAAGAAAGATACGATCCGAACTGACGACACATATACATCTAAGAGGGGAAGCGTACGGGTCGCTACAAGATTGGGTCGTCCTCTGAAAATCCCAAAACTATGAGCCCGCCTCCGTCGCAGCCGGGGGCCATCGTGGAACCACTCACGGTCGTGCACCTCGGCCTGTACTCCGGCGGCAACCACAGCACGTTCTCTGAGTCTCGTGTGATCCAGACATTGTCGTGACTGAAAGCATAGCCGCAGAAGGTTACCACTTCCACCGCATTGGCCCGCGGCCGCGACGTCGGACCGGTGCCAGGTCTCAGATCTATGGCGCCTTTATCCGCGTAGAGCTGCAGGTCGGTTTCTGAAAAGAAGATTTGGCTAAAGTAACCGAGGTCGGCCGTTCGAATCGTACATCGACTCTGGCCGGTAGATATGTCCCAGATCATAATGGTATCACCTGATGACAATGCCGGCTGCGTGCCGTTGTTCGAGAAGGCTACTGAACATGGCCATCCATCGTGACCCAGTGTCTGGAGACACTTTCCTGTAGCTACATCCCAGATCCTAGCCGTTCCGTCTCTTGATATCGATGCCAGCTGTGTGCCGTCGCTTGAGAAGGCAACCGCGCCGCTATATTTCTTGTGACCATGAAGTGTATGGAGACACTGGCCTGTAGCTATATCCCATACTTTGATAGTCTTGTCAACCGAGGCTGATGCCAGAAGTATGGAATCCACAGAGGAGTATGAAGGCCGGCGATCTCTTTGGTCCTTCCGCGTTTGTAAACACCGCCCTATGGCACTGTCTGTAACCACGTTCCCTTGGTTAGCACTTAAACTAATTATACCGGTAATTACCTGTAATGGAGATTGACGTAACGCGGCCTCGATGGCCTTCGAGAGTCTTCAGGCAGCGGCCTGTTGCCTTGTCCCAGATCTTAGCAGAGCTACCATCAGAGTATGATGCCACTTTTGTATTGTTTCCAAGAAGGCTGCCAAGGGTAGTAGCTTTGGTATGGCCCTTAAGCGAACCAAAATACCAGCCTGTACTGTCCCAGATCTGAACAGTTCCGTCATCTGACGTTGATACCAATTGTGTGTTGTCGCCCGAGAAAGTTACTGAGGCAAAAGCGCTGATGTGATGTTTATGCGTTTGGAGACGCTGGCTTGTGGCCAGGTCCCAGATCTTAATGGTTTTATCTGCTGATGCAAGATACTTGCTATCACTTGACAAGGCGACTGAATAGACCTCGTTGGTATGACCCAGAAGTGTCTGGATACACTGGCCTGTAGCAATATCCCAGACCTTAACCGTGCGGTCCCATGAACCTGACACCAGCTGCATGCTGTTACTACAGAAGACCACTGAGGAAACGCCAGATGCATGACCTTCAAGCGTCTGCAAGCATGCGCTCCAATTGTCTTCCACAGCTGGCTTTGTAGTGATCCGATGAGGCTCCTCGTCACCAAACAGCATCCTGATCGTACTGAGTTTCGGGGAGAATATAAGTGCAGAAGTATAAACCTGAAGAAGACTGAGTTCAATACCAGCTCGATTAGCTCGAATGAATCTTAATGCGTCCCGGGCTAGTTCTGTAAGTTCAGGGCTTTCTGGTGAGAGCTATACCCTATCAGTATCTCGTAAGAACTTTAAAGGTATTTCGAGACGTACCTGCATCAGATTTGCCAGCTTGGATGCCTTAAGGATACCCTCTGACAGACCCCCAAGAAGACTGAGCGCCTCCGGCCAGTGGAGGAGATGCTTCTCCAAGAATGTATGGACAGGTCCGCCGTCACATAACTCTCGACCCATTGACTCTGTTCATGACAACCCTCCGCTAGATGGCTGACCCAATAGACAGAGGAATATCGGACAGACGCCAGTAGATCGGGGTCGGGTGGCTTGACTCGGCTGATTGGGAATCCCGGCTTACGAAGTTCATACATGTCGCGTCCAAGTGTTTCCGACATGGCCTGGATCGATCGTGAGGCGACGATGTTGTGCACCGCTGCCAGGCCAGACCGAAATTCCGCAATGTGCTTGGCTAGGAAATCCTTTGCTGACTGGTGGATGATGTAAACGACATTGTCTCTTATTGTGAGAAAAGACCCGCTTTGTCCTGCAATTGCCGCGATGTTCTGTCGCGTGGCGGGAACTCTTGACGGCAAATCGACAAGAACCTGCAGCTCTTCCAAGTGAAGCGGGCGATGGGCGGCAGTGACAGTCGAAAGAAGCTTCTAGTATTGATTGGGTCTGCCGCGCCCTTGACACTTGATCTGCTATATTATTTGCTTGTACAATTTGTCCAAGCCGGCCGGGATATTGTTGATGATGTCCATGACTTCCCAAACCTCTGCCTGGTGAAGCTCTTGGATGACGAGAGAGACCTATAGGAATGTCCCATCGGCCTTTTGCTGTATTTTGCTTCGGATTTGATCCTTTAGCAAAACGTCTCCCTCCAGTACCGCCAGCTGCGAGATACATTGAGAGATGTATGTGTTGACTGCGCGGGACACAAGCTCTGCGTTTTCCTTCAGCTCTAGACTCAACCTAGTCTGGGACTCCCTGGGCCGTATGACTTGCTCAATATCGCGCCTGTTACAGCTGGAAAGTAGCCACTTTGCCTGGGTTGTAGAGGAGGCCTGAATAATGAGGTAAAGAAGCTGGCTGAGACCCGTCTCGCACTCGTCAAGTGCGTCAATGACTAGGTAGGTCGTTTGTGAGCCTAGGTCTTGTAAGATAAAGAGGAGAGTTCTTGACAAGACATCCCAGCTGTTTACGTCCTCAACATGGTCGTACTTCTTTCGCAATCGCTTAATCAAGGATGGTTGTTGGTCAAGCAGTAGGTATACGAGGCCGCGCAGGACGGCGGTCGCGTTGTTCAAACGCACATCTGTGGCTTGGCATAGGAAATAGGACAGAACAGTGTCTACAGGCCGCTTCTCCAGCTCGGTTATGATGCCGCAGAGAAGGATTGTTTTGCCTTTGTCTGGATCGCCCTTGACCCAAAGCATACGACTCTGCCCATCGTCCTGCCATCGGCGGAAGTCGTCATGATAGAGGACCCAGCGGAAAGAGTCCAACACCAGGCCTCCTTTAGTGCGCTCGATGCGTTGCTTGTCGTCGCGGGGGTCGCTGATACGCAAGTCCCTAAGAAGCTCACGCTCAAGCTCGTTGTCGGATGTTGGGCCTTCCTCATTGGTTAGTTAGGCTTTTTAACGCTCGAAAGAGAGTCTACCAATGTAAATTTCGCGGGCAGTAAATTTTCCTGACCCTGCGTGTTGAATACCAGTGCCATAGAGTTCCGAGTGAGCACCAGGCTCCTGTAAGATTTGAGAGACTGTGCTATTGTCGTCATTCCGAGGTATGGTCTTCTTTCACTTTCGGGGGTTATCCGAGTCGGAGTCTTTCCCACGCCGTGTCCCTCTGGATTCGCGTTCCATCGTGTAGCCTCTCGCTGTTTGTAAGGCCAAAAATTGTAAAAGGCAGCGTTGTAATCAAGCCTGTTCCATCAGGCTGTGCAAATAACGGCAGTCAGCTGAGCAGGAGTTGGCCAACATGCGCAGGCATCATTGGTTGGTACACGGGGTTTGGGCGGTTAAATAACAAGGCGCAGGAAACCCCGGTAGAAACGTGAACTGCCAAGTCCTGTAATCAAGACGTACCTAAGATAACCGCCGAGTACTTACAGAGATTCTGGATGTGTAAGGCTGCCACTCCGTACTTCATATTGCTCCGCAGCCATATATAAGAGCCGAAATCCACGGACAGAGCGTCGGTAACTGTCATAAGAATAACGACGACCTGATAGGACAACCTCGCTGGAGTCTGAAGCGTCATGTGTGATGAAGCCAGAACACCCGAGACGCACGAGGAATACACCCTCGTGGTGGTGTGTGCCATGAGCTTCGAGATGAGTGCTGTTCGCTTCATGCTGGACCGGCAGCATCCCCGTCTGCGGGCGAAGGACGGGGACTCTAACATGTACGTCGTCGGCGAGCTCAGCGGCCACAACGTCGTCCTCGCATGCCTCCCCGGCAAGTAGGGGAAAGGGGCCGCCGCGACAGTCGCCACCAACCTAGACCGCACATCCCCTTGCATCAAATGGCGGTTCCTCGTGGGCATCGCGGGAGGCGTCCCCAGCGACAGGCACGACATCCGCCTGGGCGATGTTGTCGTGAGCATGCCCGAGGGGCAGTCTGGCGGTGTCGTGCAGTGCGATCTGGGCAAGGACACCGACGCCGGGTTCGTGCTCAAGGGTTCGTTGTGGCCGCCGCCGTCTCTGTTAAGGAGCGCCGTGGAGATGATGCGGTCCGACCATCTGGTCAGCGACAACAAGATCCAAGACTTTGTGACGGCGATGCTCCAAAAGGGACCACGTCTCGCCGCCTACCAACGACCATCCCATGAATCCGACATCCTGTTCAGCGAAGACTATATACACGACACCAGCAGCGCTTCATGTGCGAGCTGTGACAGATCTAATGTAGTAGAGAGAGCACCGCGTCAGCCAGAGGGCTCCGTGATCCACTACGGCCTGATTGCCTCGGGCGACAGCGTGCTGAAAAGCTCGGCAAAGAGGAGTGTGGCTGTGCGCAGCTTGGGTGACGTGCTCTGCTTCGAGATGGAGGCCGCGGGGATCATGTCCGAGTTCTCCTGCATTGTCATCCGCGGCATCTCCGATTACGCGGATTCCCACAAGAACGACGCCTGGCACTACTTCGCCGCCGCTGCCGCCGCCGCTTGCACCAAGGAACTGCTCACTTACGTGGATTCTTCGAAGGCACCGTCGATGTCCGCCGTGCCGACACCTTCCGTCAACGAAGCATCGAATCTCAGTAGAGGGACCGGCGGTGGCCATCGTTTCTATGGCACAGGCATCCAGCATTCCGGCTCCGGGAACTTCTCAGTCGGGAACGATCTGCACATTAGGTGATGCCCAAAGACTGGGGATCCGGGTGGGAGCCGTCTGAAAGACGTTCACGGCATAGATAGGCTTTTGAAACAGCTGGTGGTGCTTACAGGTTCGACTTCCGGAATGGGAAGACTAGTACGGAGTATACACCGCTGAGCTTGTTTCTTGCTTGACATATGTCTTGGTCAAGTTTGCCTCTGGTGTATAAGGACTACGCCGGGCAGGCCATCCAAGTACTCTCCAGTAGTTGATCGTTCGTCATCGTTATGACTAGCTACCTAGCTGACAAACATGTGGCTCCTCCACTCGAGCCGAACTTCCTCCTCCGTCTTCCCGATCCCCATGGAGACATCGTACAAGAGGGGTGTGCATTAGGTATCCATCCTTCCAACGCCTCAAGAAAGAAAGCAAAGTCCAAGGTGATTCGTTCCCCGACACATCCCGAGCTCGTCGAGCCCGTCTTCATACAAGGCGAAAGTGGCTCTTGCGAAAACCAGAGGGGCCATCGTAGAAAGAGCCATTGCGTCCTTGCAACGAAGCAAGCCAGACGGCATAGAGCAGGGTGTGAAGCGAGATATGAGGCTAACTCTCAAGCCCATAGTGTACTTTTCCATCCGGTACCATGCAAGAAAAGAAAACAAAAAGGGAAAAAAAGAAGCCAGGTGGACCAGCTGTAAACCCCCCAAGCTGGCTCGCGGGCCAAGATTTTCAACGGAGCAAGTCGTGCTTGCGGCTTGCATTTTTTATATACTCTGTCAGGGGTATGGGCAGCTCGTCTTGTACGAGTGAAATGTTGAGCTCAAAAGCCAGGCCGAAATATATGGTTTGACTTTCCGAAACTCTTGGTCTTCTAGACCTTAGGCGCTGGAATGGGCGTTTCCTTCTTGGCAGATTTGGGCTCTTCGGTCTTTTCCGACTTTCTTCGCTTGTGCTTTTCCTTCTTGGGCGTCTCCTCAGCTGCAGGAGAGGACTGGAAAGGGACCTGAGGGAGGGGTACGGCGGACTCGCGGCGAACACTTGTAGGCTGGATAGGCGTTTCTTTGCGAGCAGAGGCGGTCTGGGAGCTGCTGCGAATGGCCAGCTCGTCACTCTTGGACTTCTTGGAGCTCTTCGACTTGGACTTCGGCAGAGGGGTCGAGGTCTGAGGGGTAGGACTGGAACCGGGAGGGATGTTGGAGAAAGAGTAGCTAGCCGTCGGGATAGTCGGTGGAGGAATGGCCGTAACCTTCTTGGCAGAAGCCTGGCCGGCCCCCAGAGCAGAGCTATCGGCGTCGCGCTTGGGCTTCTTGGCCTTCTTCTCGGCAGAGGCAGCCTCCTTCGCCAGCTGAGCAGAAGCGTCTTCCTCGTCTGCAGGCACCTTGCGCTTCGATGCCTTCTTGGATTGATCGGGAGTAGCGGCAGCAACCTTCTGTCCCTTCAGGAGCGCCGACTTGGGGTTGGAACCCACACTCGAGATCGACTCGAAGCTATCGCGTCGCTTCTTGCTCTTCTTGTCCTTCTTAGAGGTCAGAGGCTGCGAGTTGGGGACTTCAATGTCAGTTGACTGTGAGTTCTGAACGGGGTCTCGGACGGTCTTGGACTTCTTGTCCTTCTTTGTGGCCTTGGAGGTAGGCTCGTCGATGTCCATGGCGTCGCCCTGAGTAGACGCGCGCTTGGACTTCTTGGAGCTGGACGGCAAGGCAGGAGCCGGCGCCATATCGACGTCCTCGTCGTTGTCGGGTGAGGCATCCAAACCAATCGAGCCCAGCGGGGTATCATCAGAGACACCGATAGGGCGGAAACGAGCTTTCAAACCCGGAGGCTGAGGGCGTGCAGCGTTCGGCTGGTTGGGTCTAGGGGCACGGGGCTCGCCGACCAATTGGGTTACACGCTTGACGTGCAAGACCTTGTCGACCTTCTGGGAGGCTGGAAGTAGTTAGAATATTGCACTACGGGAGTCTGAGACGTTCTGCTTACCTTGTTCGTAGCGAGTGCCCTTCTTGTTGGGTATGAGGAGCTGCACAGCAGTGGATCCGACGTCGAAGCCAACGGTATAGTCCTCAGAGTGGTGCTTGAAAATGGCATCGCCGTTCTGGGCCTTGTCCATCGGAATTTGAAGCTTTTCGACGACGTTGATGGGAATGGATGCCGGGACGGTGAAGTACCAGAGCTGCTTGCCGTCGAGCTTGGCCTTGGCGAAGAAGTCGCTCATGTCCTTTCCATCCTCATCGCCTTGGGCCTTTCTCAGGACGAAGTCCTTGCCGACGAAACCAGGAACGGTGAGGTCATTGCTATTGCGTCTGGCAGTAACAGCAACGGCATTGTCATCGGACTCCTCATCGGAGCTAGCCTCCTCGTTTCTAGATCCGTCATCATCATCTTCGTCTTCTTCTTCTTCGTCACCGCTCTCTTCCTCGCTGGAGCTGGCCTCGCTAGAGCTGGTCGAGGGCTCGACCACCTTAGTGCCATTAACCGTAGGCTTAGCCGCGGACCTTGTGCGCTTTGCGGCCTCGTCTTCCGATTCGCTCTCTGATCCGCTCGAAGAGGTGGTGGATGCGCCATTGGTGGGTGCCACCTTCACAGGAACCTTCGGCGCCGGTTTCTTGTTGGACTCGCTTTCGCTCTCGCTGCTGCTATCGCTGGAGTCGGACGCTTCCGCTTCCGCTTCGGAATCCGAGGACTCTTCAGATGAGCTTTCGGGCTTGACAGGAGTTTTCTTGGTAGTGGAAGCGGGCTTCGCGGACGAGGTCTTGCGTTCGACATCGCTATCGGAGACTTCGTCTTCCTTGGCGCGCTTAGCCTTCTTGAGTGGTGTACCAGCAGGTTTGCTCGACGAAGTCTGGCCATTGAGCTTGTTCACAGCGCTGGGAACTGCCGGAGTATCACCATCACTATCGTCGCTGCTGCTGGTGTCTTCCTCCTCATCGGTATCGTCAGCGCGAGGGTCGAACTTCTTCTCGACCTTGGCCTTGGATTGAGAGCCCCGGGCAAATTTGCTTTTCGATTGGCTGAGAGCCGGCTCCTGGGATTGTTTCTCCAACAGAGCGCTCAGTGAGTGAACGCCATCTAGCTTGCGTGACGACATCGTGTCTGGGATGTATTTGGGAGGAAGACGCGAGACGGAAGTGGCGTGGACTGAGGGCGTCGTGATGGTGGAATTGGCTGCGGCAGGAAATTTTCGAGGGTCTCGCGGAGATCCAGCAGAGCTTGCCAGGGTTGCACGGACCATTGGTGGGGTGGCCGCGGCAGCAGCTACCGCGACGCGCAGAGTGCTAGGCGTGGCGGGCGTGGCGGGCGGCACAGACGGCGCTGCGACGGGAGTGCTGGGTCGCTTCAGCGAGGGCATGGTGGGGGCTCGGCCGCGCATGAAGGATTTTCCACCATTGTTTTTCGGTGTATGCATTTCGCTTCGGAAACTCGCAGAGCGACGCCGTCCGCCGTCGGATTTTCCAGACATCTTGAGATTGCGGACAATATCGAATACCTTGGGCTTGGTGTGGCTTGTGGCAAGATTCTAAAGAAGGAAAAGAAAAGGCTGTGTGTGAGTTCGGCAGGCAGAAGTTGTGTTGCAGAGAAGAAAAGTCGCTGACCTTTCGCAGTCGGCAAGGTCTGTGAGGTCTGTGAGTGAGAAAGAGAGAGAGAGATAGGGAAAGAACGCAAGATAGATATCCTCAGAAGAAGGTGCCGGCCGTGGCTGCCTCTTTAAGTGCTGAGTACGTACCGGCCACATTAAGAGGAAGGAGTAGGACATCACGTCTCTCCCCCCCCGAGTGTGAACTGAACGAGAGCCGTTCATCACACCTCACTTTCTCTCAGACGGGCATCTTGGCTTTGCCGTCACTGGTAAGGGCAGCTTTATTGCTTTCGTCCACCAATAGAGGGAAAGAGCCAAAGGGGATTCTTTGCTATAATCTCTCTTAAGCCATTTATTCATTGTTTGGAAGGCGGTCTCAATCCAGCATGGCGACGCCAAAGCGACGCAAGGTTGAGACGTCTGAGGGCTCAAGACGTGAGTTGGTCCCTTGAGCTTTTACGCTGAGCTCTCTTGAGCCCAAGTGCCTGCTAATATCTTGCAAAGCAATGAGCGCTTTTGCTTTGAGGCAACAGCTACTTTCAGCCGGTCCGTCTTTGTCGCCAGCGCCTCAGCCTGATTCTCAATCAGCCCAAGAGTCCCAAGCATCAGCGCCGAAGCCCACCTCCAAGAGGCAGCCCCCCGTAAAGACAAGATCATCAAAAAGGCTTGCAGACACCGAGAAGGCGTCAGAACCTCTCCAAGAAGCAGCCATTTCAAGCTTCAGTCATAGTAAAATCTCAGACAGTCAAAATGTAACGCAGGCAGTAGATATGACCACCGCGCTAAAGTGAGAGAGTCTTCCGATGTGCCTACCGCTCGCTGACACTTGTGACAGTAGTCCAACGGTAGATCTTGAAGATGTAAGATCAGGAAAGTCTGGCCCTCAACAATTCTCGACTTTCAGGCCAACAAAAAGCAACTCCCGCAAGATCGCCGGCGGGATTCTGGAACTCAGGCTCCATGACAGCGAGGTAAGCGATACATAGATCATCACGCATTACCATGCTGACAGGGTTAAGCGTTTTTTGGTGCTCGGAAGCTACGGGATCCGGGTAGCTGACGGCGAGGTTACCATCGCGGGTGCGAGCATCCGGCCTAGCGATGGCATCAAATGGGTACATGCACCTCACTGCCATGCGATCCCTGTGCTGCGGTGTATGGAAGAGACAAGGCTGGAGCTTCATCCGCATCCGCAAGGAGCCAGTCTCCGAAAACTCGAGCGACTTTCGCCCCTCTTTCGAAGTTTGTGGCACGACCCGGAGCCAAAGACGAGCAAGCAAGCCGCTAAGAGAGATACATACAAAATTGTGGGAGAGCTCCTCCGAGACGCAGAAAGTATGGTTAACTGACTGCATGTAGATATGCACCACGGAAGATGCGCCGAAGCGGGCCTTGGTTCAGGACCTGCGCTCTCCTCCCGCCTGGAATAAGAAGCTGGCGGGCTTGACGAAAGCAAGGCAGCCGGACCAACCGCCTTTGAGCGTGATGCTCTGTGGCCCCAAATCATCTGGCAAGTCCACGTTTGGTCGGATACTGGGAAACCGCCTTCTTACTGGCGCTGGCCAGCAGACGCGAAATAGGAAAACGCCCCTATCGGTGGTTGTGCTAGATCTTGATCCCGGACAACCGGAATACACTCCCGCGGGCACTATCGCATTGGTCCACGTAAGAGAACCAAACCTGGGGCCGTCCTTTACCCATATAGCGGCAGGGGAGCAGCACGTATCTGTGGTTAGATGCCACTCAATCGCCTCGGTTTCTCCCGCCTCGGATCCAGAGCTGTATTTGGAATGCGCATTGGATCTATACCACCGTTACCAAAGCACGTGCCAGGGGCTACCCTTGATCATCAACACCCCAGGTTGGGTTCTGGGGACCGGACTCGATCTTTTGACCGAGCTGGTGTCAAACATCAAACCCACCGAAGTCATATACATGTCCGAAGACGGGCCTAAGGAGACTGTCGAGGGCCTGCAGACGGCTTGTAAGGAGACTTTCACACTTCTGCCTTCTCAGCAGTCGGAGTTTACCTCGAGAACGGCGGCACACTTGCGCTCGATGCAGGCGCTCGCGTATTTCCATACTGTTAAGGATCCTTCAAACAGACTGACATGGAACCCGACGCCGTTGTCGTCGTCACCACCATTGACGGTTGGCTACAAGGGCAAGAACCGCGGTGTTTTGGGTATCATCAGTTACGAGTACCAGCCACCGGCAGAGTTGCTTGCGGAAACGATCAACGGTTCGATCCTGTGTCTGGTCGAAGCCGAGGACATCAAGGCGTTTGACCGCCTCGCTAAGGAGAGTGAGGGAGTCATGACACGTGCACCAGGCCCTGATGCGATGGACGTTGACGGAAGTGCATCGAACTTGGACAGGATCATCTCGAAGACGCCAGAGGGTATCCCCTACATCCCAAACTCTGACGCTCAAACCTTGGACCCTCGATACTCGCAAACACTCGGCATGGTGCTGCTTCGCGGCATCGACACCAAAAATGGCGTCCTACAAATCCTCACCCCGATTCCTTTGGAACGCATCGTGGCTGCAAAAGAGGCAGGCCACCACTTGGTGTTGATCCACGGCAAGCTCGACTCACCCGGCTGGGCGTACACCGAAGACCTGTACTACCAGTCTTTCAACGGCACCGAAGGTGACGTTAGGGATGGCACGGTGGAGGTCATGGACGAGGACACGGAGAGTGATAGGTCAGACGAGGAGCCCGAGAACCTCGAGCTGGCCAGCGACGTCAGTGACACACCGTGGATCGAGGTGCTGCAAGGCCACGAGAAGCGGCCGGTGGGATCGCGTGTATGGAGAGTACGGCGGGATTTAGGGCGGGCCGGGCCGGGAGCTGAATGAGAGATGAATGAAGTGGAAGTAGATGCCGAATGGGGTGGGCTGGAGAAAGCCAAGGTGCATACCGCACCGCCACCACCACCACCAGCATCAGATACGTAGTACTATTGTAAGGCGCCTGCAAGGGCGGATCCGTGCCACTCCCGTCTAACGTCTCACATCTTGCATTGTAACGTACATACACAGAGCATGCTGCTGCATTGCTGGACTCGCATGCTTTCTCCCACTATTGTGCTGAGGCTTTGTCTGCTACACGCAGCCAGTTAAAACTGCCCAGGAAAAATACAGCGTACATCATTATCCGAGCCCCCCCTTCATCTCTCCCCCCACATCCTATGACGTTTAGGACCCGGTTTAAGGAATGCCCAATTCCCCAATGATACCCCTCCTTTCGGCCCCTCCATTTGGCCTCTCCACAGTTCCACCCTTTGTCATGCTTTCTCATTGCTTATCTCCCCGATAACCTAAGAACACCAACGCGGCAGTTCACTGCTGACTACGCGAAATTCCCCGACGGAGTGGTATTCCGAGGACTTGCCGGTGGGATCAATCCGTCGGTGGCATGGATGCTTTAAAGCTGCGATGAATTTGTAACGAAAAAAGTCTTTATTTGCCAGCTTGAGCTCTCATCAACGCCTTGGAATATTCTCGCTTCCCAACTTCACTCGTTTCTTCGTTTGACAGATACCCCGAATATGACGGCTCTTCCCGACAGCGAAGTCGATGTTCTCATCATCGGCGCCGGCCCAGCGGGGCTGATGCTCGCGTTGTGGTTATCTAGACTTGGTGTCAAGACGCGCATCGTAGACAAGAGGACCTCCAGAATCTACTCGGGACAGGCAGACGGGTGAGTAGCTCTCGTCATTCACGATGAAACTCGAATCCTTACATAGCATGCAGCTTCCAAGTGAGGACTCTCGAGATCCTAGACAGCTTTGGTGTCGGAGAGCGCGTATGGAAAGAAGCAAACCGCATGCTAGGTTGGTCAAGCCACGCCTGGATAAACAATCATGCACTCAACCAACTCACACCCCTGCAGAGGTTTCCTTTTGGAACCCGGACAAGAGCGGCAAAATCGCACGCAGCGCTCACGTCGCAAACACCATCCCCGGTCTCTCTCGCTTCACTGAGTCTGTGCTACACCAGGGCCGCATCGAGCAGTTTTTCCTTGAAGCCATCCGCGCCTCCTACGCCTCTGCCGCGGACGCCCTGCACGTTGAGCGCATGGTGATTCCCACGTCACTCGAGATCGACGAGAGCAAGGCCGAGGACCCGGACGCGCACCCCGTGACGGTGACGCTGAGGCATCTGACTGAGGAGGAGGCGACGCCGACGCAGATGCTGAGCAACCTCAACGACGGCCTCTTTAGGAGCAACCTCGCAGACGACGACGTGGGTGAAATGCTGGACCGCTCCAAGGGGCGGGAGGCGAGGGACGAGATTGTGAGAGCGAAGTATGTCGTCGGGTGCGATGGGGCGCATTCTTGGACGCGGAAGACGCTCGGGGAGGGGTTCGAGATGAAGGGCGAGACGACGGATGCTATTTGGTGCGTATTGGCGAGACGAAACGTCGGGAAGGTCGAAGCTGACGGATGCGATCTAGGGGCGTGATGGACATCGTTCCCATCACAGACTTTCGTGAGTGTGAACTCCGGGCGACGCAGTGTATCGGCTAATGAATCAACAGCCGATATCCGATTCCGGACCATAATCAACAGCACCTCGGGCGCAGTCATGGTCATCCCGCGCGAGAACAGAATCGTCCGTCTCTACATCCAGCTCAAGGAGGTCACAGCCGGCGGCGGCCGCGTCGACAGATCCCAAATCACGCCGGACTTCATCTTCAAGTCAGCACAACAGATCTTCAACCCGTACAAGCTCGAATATCACTACTGCGATTGGTGAGCTCAAGTCTTGTCACCAGGCCACGGGGGCCAACTGCTGACAGCGACACAGGTGGACGGCATACCAGATCGGTCAGCGGACGGGTGACAACTTCAGCAAGCTCAACCGCGTCTTCCTCGCGGGAGGTAAGTAGCCCTTGTTTCAACAACCCCGAAGTCAGCAGCTCACCGGCCCCCCCTCAGATGCTGTACACACGCACTCCCCCAAGGCGGGCCAGGGCATGAACGTTTCGATGCAGGACAGCTACAACCTCGGCTGGAAGATCGGCCTGGCCTGCAAAAACATCCTCCCCCGCCACGCCCTTGCGACGTACGAGCTCGAGCGCAAGAAGATCGCCAAGGACCTCATCGCGTTCGACGGCAAATTCTCCAAGCTGTTCACGGGCCGCCCTGCCAAGGACATCCAAAACGAGACGGGCGTCACCGACGACGAGCTGCAGCAGGCGTTCCACAAGAGCCGAATGGTATGCGCGATTTCCTAGCGCGGAATACGTGCGAGACGGCTGACATGCAAGCAGTTCACGAGCGGCGTCGGTGTAGACTACCAGCCCACCGTCTTCGTCGCCAAAGAGGCCGAAGAAACCGACCAGGACTCCGGACTGCGGAAGAGCGCCGCGGAGAGCACGCCGTCCCTCGCCGCCAACTGCAAGCTCGGCCAGCGCTTCCCGTCGCACAAGGTCATTAGCCAGTCCGACGCCCGCCTGTGGGAGCTGCACCACAAGATACCCTCCGACGGGCGCTTCCGCCTCGTCGTCTTCGGCGGTGACATCTCACGGGGGCCCCAGCGCGACAGCGTCAACGCCCTCGGCGCATGGCTGTCGTCGTACCTGCCTGGGCTGCCTACGATCGGCCTTTCGCCCTCGTCGGACCCGCATGGCGGGTCGATGAAGTTCAAGACGGACGCGGACCCGTCCATCGTGGACGTTCTGCTCGTGCACACGGCGCCGCGGGACGAGGTCGAAGTGCTGAGGGACGTGCACGAGGCGTACCACCCGTTCGACAGCAAGCTCGGCTGGGACTACGACAAGATCTTCGTGGACGGGGAGACGATGTACGAGGAGCCCCAGAAGGCGTACGAGAAGTACGGCATCGACCGGGTCAAGGGGGCCGTCGTTGGGCTACGTCCGGATGGTTATGTCGGGCTCGTCACCTCGGTGGACCATGGCGGCCAGGAGCAGATCCAGAAATGGCTTGACGGCGTCTTCCATGGCTGATGAGGATGGTCTCACCCCTCAGAAAAACAAAACGATCTCCTTCATAGAAGAAAGACCCAATCGCCGACGTTTGGTGTATTGTATTCAAAGCGCTTGATAGAATGCGACTCAGTCGATGCAATCTCATGATCACGGATTGTTGAGGTACACGTGTGTCTTTTCAGGGAAAACAATCAGCGTAAGCAGGAAGAGCCCATCGAGGTACACACAGGTGGAAACCGGTTGGCCCGATCCAATGGGGAGGGGTAGCTCTGTCATTGGCCAGAGGACAACCAACCCCTCTTACTGCGAGATGATAAGAAGATGAAATCTTCAAACCCGGGGAAAAGTGTGGTAGGGAAAAATGAACCAGTCGACTCTATACAGCAATGCCCCCGTCTAATTACCACGGCGTTATTCGTCGTTTGTTGTGAGGAGGAAGGGAACAAGGTATATAAAAAAAACCCCGCTAATTTCCAGCGTCATTGCTCCGTGAACCGTTCCGTTATCACGCATGACACAGAAGCGCGCCGAGCCGTTGAACCAACTACGCAGAGCGTGCACCGTTTGGGGGCGGAGCGCTCGGCCGGTTCATCCCAAGTGGAATATCCCGAGGCAGGGGTCTCCTCTGCTGCAACACACCGGTGGTGGTGATCTGGGAGGGGTGCACAGTTCGGTAGGGGGTATTCCAGCTTCGGGGGTGGGTATCGGAAAAGTGGAGCGGAGTTCGGAAGGGGGTTAAAACCCTAGTCACAGTGTAAATTAAAAAAAGGTAACTAAAATTATCCCAGCATATGCTCAGCATATCCTTTAAAATATAGCGCTTACCTTCTATAACTATAGAAGACTTAGCTACTTTAGTTCTTACTAAGTCTTCTATAGTTATAGAAGGTAAGTGCTATATTCTGAAGGATATGTTAAGCATATACTAAGTCTATACCTTAGAATATAGTACTTACCTCTTATAACTATAGAGGATTTAGTAAAAACCAAGATAACTAAGTCCTCTATAGTTATAGAAGGTAAGTGCTATATTGTAGAGGATATGCTAAGCATATGCTGAGTCTATACCTAGGACTCTTGCACTCTTCACACTCTACGCTAAGCCTAAATAAGCCTACGGAGGTCTTTTTACCCTCCCCTGAACTTCGATCCACTGGCCGGATACCCCCCCTGAAGCTGGAATACCCCCTACCGAACTGGATCCCCATCTGGGAGATGGTCGTGTCCAGGGAAAACCCGGCTAAGGGATCACCAAGGATCCCCAACCGCCGCCACCCCTGTCATGGGAAACCATGCCACATAGCAGAGCCATTATCACGTAGTGCCGGGCACGGGAATTTGAGCACACGCCGTTGGCTGCGGCGGATATCGCGACCGGTCAACAACCGCCTCTAGCGGGGGCGTAGCATCGGAGAATTGACCGCCGACGGCCTCGAAAGGTCTGCTCGTCCAGTGTGGTACAAGTATCAAGACGTCGAGAAATGCGAGCTGCTGCTCATTCTGCCGTATGAGAAAGATGTACGAGTTGACGGGTGAGGTGTTTGTTATTGTCATAGCAAGGATGTGCCATGGGGGGGGGGGGGGGGGGGGGGGGGTGGGATAAATGTCAGGCTCCACTTCCAGGTTAGGCTTACAGCAGTGATTTCATCGTGAGCAATGTACGGTTTGGGTGAGGTTCAGCAATCGCCGCACCGGCCAGTCAAAGATATTCCTGCTTAAATGGTACGCGCGCCTAGATGCTTTTGCTGACCTCACGGAGCTGATTATGTGCAAGTAACAAAAGGCATCATAATTTAAAATGTATCGTAATCCGCGAATATACAGGGACGAGGCCTACAGGAATGAGTATGGCGGCATTGTGAGAATGGTCTCTAGAGACCTATCGGGTACCCAGGCTAGCGGTGCCGCAACCCCTGCAGGAGTGTCGCCAGTACTAACTGGTGTTGTTTTGGGCTCTGGGTATTCCACGTATATTTGCATATGCATAGAACGATTGGCCGACAGCTGCTACATTGTCCGTCCACCGGTATATTTACGAGCAGCACCTCTCTCCCTCCCTCTAGAGTTCTCCATCTGATCCACCGTATAGGTTTTGAGATGAGGGCTCTCCTCCCTGCGAGGCGGGTACCCTGCAGAAGCCGACGACTCCCGGTTCCAGCCGAAGAGTCTAGATAGGTACCTACCCCCCTCCCGCAGACGACGGCCTGAAGTTAGGCCGAGGAGGATTCCGTCGATCGCGGACATGATACGGGGAAGGTGGAACGATTATCCAGCTGGAAGTGTTTACGATATTACGAGCGTGCCCACACACTCAATTTGTCGATATTCATCAGCACCCGTCTGTTAGCCAAACCGATAAGCCCATAATCTCGATTTGTACAATACCCTAAGATGTCACCACTTTCCCCGGGCTTTTTATTTGATTTTATACTTGTCCTCCTAGTTTCCCATCACCCTTCTCTTATTCTCTGTGGTAGTTTGGCGTAATGTCGCTCTCATCACGTTAGGCTTGATTACCGGACGCGGAACAGAGGATTAGATTACGTGTCATTAGTCAAAGCCCCAGCCCCCCGATTAATCAACAAAGGACATCTCATGCTGCACCGAAACTCTCCGCTCTTCATCACATCATTCCTCTCCCATTATATATACGTGGTCACCGTATATTCCCTCAGCATCATCGTCTAGCATCCGACCGCGCCTGGGCCGAAGTCCTGATGACAGTTGAGTCAATACTCGATGCACATGGCGAAGAGACAAACCCAAGCACAGAAGTTGCGACGTGAACGAATGGACCCAGCTCAGGAAAGAAAACAAAAGTAAAGACATGGAAAAAACAAGGAAACTCCGTCCATATCGCCAGATACCGACCGACCCGAAATGCCTTTTTTCTTACGACGCTTTTCCCAGTCGCTTCAGACGCCTTTGCGTGTATGCTCGAAGAAATCATGAACAGCAAACTCATCGAGACTTCCCAAAGAAAAGGACTCATTGTCATTCTCCCCGATTCATCACACGCAGACGCTTCTTCAAAGCGCCTGCGCAAGTCCAGGACTTCAGATACCAGCCGGCTCAAGAAGCCTTGTTGACGTGGCCGCATGTGAGGGGAATGCGCAAGCTGATACCGCGGGAATACTGGGATGACGTATCCCATACATTCCCGAATTCGGAGGTGGATCCGGCCAATCGCCAACACCCCCACTGATAGCTGAGAATGTGCTATTCATCGCAACAAGTGTTGCGGTCGCTTGCTGAATGACTGACTGAATCTAGGACAACGTTGCCACTACTCGTCGAATTGCTTGCCGATGCCTTGAAGATCCATGGGCAAGTTGTCATCGGCCTGGCCGTCGGTGGGTTCACTACCTGCTTTCTTGGGAAGGAGCTCGTCGATAGCAGTGACTGCGTCCAAGATACGCCGAGTCCGAGCATCTTGGTGCTCGACAGTGCCGGCATGATCGCTGCTGCGACCCTGGAGGGCTGTGTCCGCAAGGAACAGGTCGAGGCGCGCGCGCTTCTCCGCCGAGTTCTGCTCGACCGTGTTGGGCCCACGCGAGTTACCACTAGAAACCAGCGTCGTCAGTCGGACCGAAAGCGAAACCATCGAATCAATACCATACAGGGAGGGGTACGGGTGGAAGAGCGGGTTCGGAAAAGGAGGGCTCAGCTTGTGGCATATTCTTGGGCTGACGAGGTTCCGCACTTGCGGTTGTTTAGCTCGTCCTCTTCGATGACATCCTGTCTGGGTAGCCATCTCAAGACGACGCATGAGCTACCAAGACACATGCTTGAAGCAGACTTCATGGACGGACTCTTGCGTAGGCGAGCGATGGTGCCTCATGGGCCGTGTTGCTCACGTACCTGTAGGCGGAGCCCTGCTCGGCAACGTTGGAGGCAGCGTCGGCATTGCCGTTCTGCTGTGGAGAGGCTTCCATGCTGGCGTTTTGGGAACAGCAGAGGCTAAGGGAATGGAGCAACGATTCCGTTCAGGTGTCTGTGCGGTGGGTTGCTCCGGTCGTCTGCGGGAGGTGAATGTTGTATAGTTTTGAGGAGAGGTTGGCGGCGGAAGGGGAAAGACAGGTGGGTTTGGGGGAGCAGGGCGGCAGGAAAGGTTCGTCGAGTGAGGAGCAAAGCAAGGTGTGAAGTAGAATAGGGGGAGTAAATAAATACGATACACTTTTGCATGACCAAGGACACTTGCGATCTGGGGACTATGCAAAGGAGAAGGAAGCTCCTGGGGGGGAGAAGAGGGTAGCTTTTTTTTTTCTTCGCGGGTGCAGAGGGTCGAGACGCGCACAATTGTGGTGCAAGTTGAGATCGTGTTTATGAGCGGAAGGTGGGGGAGGAGTAAGGAGCGAGGCGAGGACTCAGTATGTAGTGTGGAGGGGCTTTGAGTGACAGTTCCTTTATCAGGTACCCAAGTAGACGGACAGGGATTACAGCTCGGGTAGCCGATCTCGCTTTGGGACGAGGTCGCGAAACCCTTTTGTCGGCGGGCATGGGGAAACATTTTTTAGCTGTTAATCCAGTCGTAAAGCTCATCTGGGGGTCCCAGAAGAGAGTCCTTGTCCACATGATGATGCTCCCCGGTGAATATGATCCGCAAGTGTAGTGCAGCGCAGCGCAGCAGCAGGTGCCAGCATTCTGCATCGTTCAAAGTACCTGGGACGGAACGGTTTGGTCTGGTCCAGCCTGGAGTGCCGCGCACATACGCACACCCGCATACCCACACAAGCCCCTGTGCCTCCACCCTTTTCCTACCGTTCTGATCATCCACGGGCTGCCGTCTGACCAAGAAGCGTAATGGCAGGCAGCCTCCATAATCGGGTGCTCGGAAATGGAGGAGGATGAGGGTTAATCGCACAAGTGGCACGCCCCTCTTCTTCTCACCACCGACGCTCCAATCCCAGATCCACTTTGCTTCCGCGATGCAGGCAACGTAATGTGTTCATGATACGGTACGGTCCCGCCTCCGCCTCTGCCGCCTCCTCTCTGGTCAGCCCTGATCAACCGCTTACCATTAGAATCCCTGCCTTTCCGACCTACGTCGGCCGCTACTTCGCATGAGCACTCCAAAAAACAAGTTGATGAGCCATGCGGACGGTGCTTCCCGTGTCTTGCCCCCTTTTGCTTTCACTCGCTCACCCGGGCATCTTTCCTTTTCCCCCCCACCGTTTCCCCAGCCGTCTAATCGAACTGGCGCACAACTCACCTCGTTCATCTCATTGCTTATCCCCCGTCCGACTTCCTCACCATGGGCTGCCTCAGCCACAATGCTTGCTTACCATTACACCGATACTGTCGCCAATTAAACGCTCCAGCCAGGAGCTACCAATCGACTGCCGAGAAAGAAATGTAAAAATCTGCAGTGATGCTGGCAAGGTGCTTGCCACGCTACGCTCTTGCCCTGGAGAAATGGAGAGAGTTACGCGTGGCTTGGAATGACCCAGTTGCCCACCCACAGCATTCTCCCCACCCCTCTCTCTCCACACCAGAAACGGCGATCCTCTGTAACGTTCTGCGACATTCAGTTTCTGCACACCCAGAGGGCCGGTGCTGCAACGTGCCAATTGAAAGAAGGCTTCTTTTTGAAACAGAACCTAGTGACACTGGTTGGCGCTCGATTTGAAGCAAACCTCGCGGGCGCAGATGGATAAAAATGCAAACGCGTGAACGCATCGCTCGAGATGGGCGACTGGCCATTTGATTTGGCACCGTACAGCCTCCGTAGGCGACTTGGGGGTGCCGGGCGAGAGTCACGTGGTCGGCCTCGAAGCAATTGCTGACATCATGGACCCTGTGGTTGGCGCGAGTCCCAACGGCCCAGCACGCACATTAATCAGGCGTCACGTTTCTCCGTCGTGGACTAACTAGGTAGTGGGAAAGAAGCAGTTGTACCAACAACCCCAAAATGTAACGCCGATAGGATTCGAACCTAACTGACTACAAGTACTCCCATTTGCCACGGTCGGTGGCAGCCACCCAGTCGGTTTACACACCGTCTGACGGGATTTTTGCTAGGCCGTTTTCTATCCTTTTTTCTTTTACCTCCCCCCACTGTTCATGCTCTAGGTAGAGTGTGGGGGTTCGCCCACACTCACCAAAAGGGTTCGCATGCCTCGCCCCACTATCTTCATGCTGGCTGCCTGCCGTTTGGTCGCCCTACATGGTATATACTAACCGAGTGTAGACTAGCTGGCTTCTTGATCACGGCAGTTGCCGCCGGCCTGGAAGGAAGCGGCCATCGTGGTGCTCAACTCAATGTGGCGACCAAGGAACCGTTGAACTGAGAGATCAAAAACAACAAAGAAATAAGAATGGTTGCAGTTGAAATAGAGTTCGGACGAACAGAACAGCAGGGTCCAGGCCACTTGGACTCCAAAGACTGTGTGTGCAATGACCATGTGGGAACCGGCCATAGCGGCCCCGCTGTCATGGGTCTACCTGGTAGGTACTCAAGGATAGCCCACCGAGACAGAATGCTTGAAATCTGGGTCGTGTAGCGAGAACCAAGTCTCCATCAAGGACTGATTGTTTGCAAATCAAATTGCGATGAACAAGTTGTTTGTGAAACAAAGTGACAAAAAAAACCTCCCCCACACGAACCCGAGGGAAAGGTCCGACTGTCGTACCTGACAGGTCCAAGTCCTGCAGCCACCCCTGGCACCAGTCCCGTCCCACACACCGATGCAACGTGCTTTGAGAGGACGAAAGCGAATGATTTACACTACACTACATAGTACCCAAGTACACGTACGCCAACGCCGTCGCACATGACGATTGTGCGCCCAGCCCATGACAAAAACCTCTGGAGCAATTGCGGCGTGACGAACCCATGCAGGAACAGGCAAGCTAGAATTGCACTCTTGGCTGTTGCCCACAAGTGTCGGAGATCGTTTCCAGAGAGCGCACATAAATAGAGAGCTTGACATACAAGTCTAAATAAAAAATTGTCTAAGAAACTAGGCTCAGACAACGTCAGCGTTGAACTTCTGAGCTTGTGGGGATGGGATGCTGCTGGACCTACAACGCCAGGTGCCATGGGGGGCATGTCTGTCTGGAACCCATGCAGAAGCTTTCGTAGCACTTGGTGAAGCCTTTCATTCCACAGCCACGGAAGGTGTGGCGCTCTCATTATGTCCGACTTCTTGGTACGTTTTGGTAGTGCCTCTAGGTATCTTACTTCTCGAACTGTGATCCGGTTCCGCGCAACGCTAAAGGCACAGCGTCGACGGACTTCCCGGTAGCGCAGCCGGCCCCGGCGCCATTGGAGCTTAGACCGAGTTGATCGATGCTGGCAACGGCAGCAGCCGCCGGCGACGACGAGCGCTGTTGAGTCGCGACGGTCCCGTGAACAAGACGAAGGGACTGGTCCGAGAGGAATGTCTGGATTCGCGCGTCTCTCTGGGCGCAGGCTTCACTAGAGGTTTCTGTATTCGCAGCCAAAGGATTGCTGCAATGTCGGGTATCATCAGCATGGCACGACACGACTCAGCAGCTCCGCAGAAGAAAGGGCAAAGAGAAGGGCGGGGAGAGGCTCATCTGAGAAACATACGTGCTGACCGAGCCTTGCTGTGGAATGTTGGAAGACATGCTTGGGAGGCGACGGGAGGGAGAGAGGAGCGGCCCGGGAAAAAGAAGGGACCTTTTGGCTGGTTGTTTGGGTTGGGGCTGCTGTTTCTCTGCCGCTGTGATGGGAAAATTGAGAGGAATGAGGGTAGACGGCCTGTGTACTTCTTTGGAATGTAGGGAAACAAACATAGTTGTAGTCGGCGGGCCACCTCGGTTATATATGTGGGATGAGAAGGAAGAGTCGGGGGTTGCGCTTTCCGTAGCTGATTTTTCGCTTTTCCTTTTGTTGCTTTCCTTGACAAGATAGGGGAAGTGAGATTGAGAACGAGGAAACCAGACAGGCAGCCGTGCTCAGGTACAAACCTCTCTACACCATGGCCCCGGTGCCCGTCGGCTTGTGGCTTCCAGGCTGAATCTGCCTCCCCCTGACCACGGTCGGCAAGGTGAGACATTTCTGCTCGGAGAGGGAAGAGATGAACGAGAGACGCTCGTTTCTCGAGGTACGCTAGAGTCTGAAGTGGTCTGGTCTGGTCTGGTCTGGAGGTACGTTGCTTTGGTGATTGAGGAAGCCCTCCCCCAGGACCACCATCGGAAAGGTGAGCTGCAAGCAAGACGCTGAGATGAAGACCCGAACAGTCGGGAATAGAATAGGAATAGGGTGAGAGGGCGGAAGGCTAAGGGCGAGAGGAGTGGGGAAGGGGAAGGGCGCGGAGCAAGTGCTTGTCTGTCTGTCTGTTCCTGTAGAAAAGCAGAGAGTCGACGAACATGGAGGTAGGATGGGACGGAGGGACTGGGACTGGGGACCACCCAGGGGGCCGACCCTCCCGTCGCCAGCAAGCGTCGTTGTCATTGTCTTGGGCGGAAAAAGCCTGTCAGGTACCCGGCGGCTGCGGAGAGGGGGCCGCACATTATAGGAGGGTGGGAGGTGAAGCGAGGGAAAATGTCACTACGAAAACATGGTAGGTCTTTCAATCGCCAAGTATCCCCCCAACCCCCCTCCCACACCTTGCCAATAATACGTCAAGAGACGGAGCACAACAAGCACTTGGAGCTTGCTCATCAGTCTGCTGCGTGTGATCCGAAATCTCTGCTTTGGTTGACAGGGGATGTTTGGCTACGAGATTCGATCGTACTATGTTTCTGGGCGTGGTACCTGTCTCTCCCCCCCGACTTTGTTGGACCATTGGCGTGTACTTGCGCGACCTTACGAGGGACTGCCGTGTGAGAGTACATACCTCGGTCTGCTACGTGTGCGCAGTACCTAGGTATGTGGGTGTTTGCGACCAAAGACCAACAGCTCTACCCCCCTTGTCCAAGTCGACGACTAGGTAGGCCAGTCAAAACCAGGGGGCGGGGATTCCCGGAAGCCCATCGCTCGAATGAAAGACTTCACCGACATGATGTGCGCTCGAAATCAAGGTTGGGGGTTCGTCACCAACTGCCTCAGTGGGACGGCAGGAGAGACGTGTGAAAGATCAGAAGGACCTTGATCCCGGGCGAGCTCAGAGCCGCTAAATTGGAGAAGCAAAGCAGACGAACGCTCACCCCTAAGGGGTTCGAGAGAGACCACCCAGCCAAGATTACAAAACTAAAAAATATCTCTCCTTCCCGGAAATCAGTTGGGACGAAAATAACTGAAATGTCTTCAATCGACGATGTATACTTTAAGAATATCACCCCAAGCACTGATAGCGAAGCTTTTCTGTTTACTTTGGGTCGGAGCACATCTGCTGGCAGTTCACACACGTCAAAATGCCCACCAAGAGTCGAATTGGTCCACCACCCTGAATGGTGTATGATACCACAAAGTCCTTCGGTTGGAGGGTTCAAGCTTTCGGTTGTTGTTTCCGTGCATGGTTGGAGACGCAGCGTTCTAGCGATGAACGAGCTTCGTCAAGCCTCGGCCATGTCGCCCTTCACTTTTGCGAGCGCCTGTCATGACCAACTGGCGTTCTTAGCTTCTCTAGGATGATTTCAAGCGGAGCTATCTCACATATGTATATGGCATACACGTGAGCTTTTCCGTCAGCGGCCGCGTCGGTTCAGCAACCGACAGCATGTGCCCTCCGAGTGACACAATCAAGTCTCGACTCGTGACGTGACGCGAATGCAGGTCCGAAGGCACACCTTTGAGAGTATTTTGCCACTTCAGCTCCCCGGCCGTTCCCATGACATCCGTCTGGACCGGGATCAAGGTGCTCGAAGGACCATCTTTTTGCGTTTCTGCTCTAGTCTCCAGACCACGGCGTCTCGTCATCAAACCCCGTCCACTCACGGCAGCTTTGCATTTACCCATATCTCGTTCTCGGGCGAGGCTCGACCAAATGGGCGCGTCCCTCTCTCGCCTGCACACTGCACCGACTGTTCCCACTCATGCAATCATCAGTCGCAATTGCGATGAGTACCGGCGTTGCCGCTAGTTCTGCTATCTTTGCACCCAATCCAATTGGTATCCCATCCGCCTTATGCTGACCAGACTCGCATTAGTCGAGGGCATTTCAAACCACTACGTCCCCCGGGAGATTGCGGTTGCCTCTTATTAATGTGAGCCAGAAGCGCCTCTCTGAGACCCATCGGGTCCTGTAACAAAGTGACACAAGTTGTATGCTAATCCGACTAGTACTTGTTGGTTGCTTCCCGGAACCCGCTGGTGAGGTGTTGCTTGTCGTCTGGCTCATTTTCCCCCAGCGGCGCTGATTTGCCCTCTCGTGACGAACAGGGCGACATGTGTCTCAAAATCACATGCTAACCCCCCCCCCCCTCTGGATTCAGGTCCGCGGAGCGCTCTGTGACCGGCTTGACACCCCCAGAACCCAGCGGTGTCGAACAACAAACACTCACCGTCGCCCTTTGGGATCGTGGGATTAAACGGCTAGGGTCAAGCCATGTCGCGCAAGGCCGATCAACCTTGTCAGCCATGGGTATCTTTGCGAGCCTTGGCCATGCTGCGCAAAAGGTATCCATTTACGTGCCTCGTTGGCGTGCATAATGTCTAGCAGCCTAAATTTCCAGAGACCCGTTGTAGGCGTCATACCTTCGTCGTGTCTCTCTCACCTCTCTCATCTCTCAAATGTGATCATCAGTAAGATAGCACAGGAAAAAAGAAGAAGAAGAAAATAAGAAGGGAAAAAAAAAAAAAAAGGTTGGATCAGCTGAATGATGATGGTCGTAGATGAGGCTGAGACCCTTAAAGTAGCTAGCTATTTTAGTCCACGGATGGGAGTTCGGCAGGGCATCCCCGGCCATAGCGTCTGCTCGGGTACGTACCTGGCAGCCCGGGCACATATGTACGGGGTGGCAGGGATAAGTTAATTACCCCTATGATGTCACACCCCCTCCCCCCCCCCCACAACTGATAACATAATAGAGGGGGAATATTCACCAAAAGTGAAGTCCTGTAGTAGGGGGTGAACATTAGTCACCTAACAGGGGTAATTAACTTCGGCCTGGTAGTTCAAGGTCCTGTAGGTACCTACCTACCCAAGGTATCCATCTACTTCCAGCCCCATCCACAGCCACAGTTCAAAGAGCCTGCCACTGTTCGGGGTTCAGTATTGAAAGCGAAAGTGCAGTCTATGAGTACACGGCCTTTTCTATTGAATCCCTCACCTTGGAATTCTAATCAATTGCTGACATTACTGTTTCTATTGAATTGCGCTTATGGTATCGGCAGCGCTGCAGTCACTCCGCCATCACCCTATTCGAATTGCTTCCCAACCCCCTTCAGATCTTGCTCCATATCCAGTCTCAATGATGCTGTTGCACTTGATGTGTCTCGTCACGACTCGAAGGGCTTCCGAGGCGTTGCAATTTCCCGCCGACCTCTCCGTGAGCGCGAGCGAAATGAGCGTGTGGTACGCACCAAATGAATGGCATGTGATGTGAATAGAACTCGAGAAAACATGTAAAGAAACAGGGTATATGCCTTTTGAGAGGGACAATCCCACCTTATACTGTCGCTTCTCATGATTATTGAATGCGTAGCAGGGACTTTGGGCACCGTTGAGACGGCTCAGATCAGGTGCAATGGGTTGCTGGCCGCGGCGGGACCTCTTTGGGAGAGGCTGCTTGTGCAAATGTACCGAATACAGTGAATGAGAAGTAGAACTGGTGCCAGACAGGGGAAGACACATGAATCCATGATGAGCAGGAAGAGAAAATCTAAGAATAACGAGACAAGAAGCCCACTGCGTCCAGTCTGGTCAGCATGCGAGCGTACTGGCGAGGCGCATTCGTGCTGGCGTTTCAAGAAAACCGTGACAAGCTGGGGCGATCTGGAAGACAAAGCCCGGCAAGTACCATGGACATATCTTATATCGAATCATTCCCTAGGTCCTTAAAGCCTGAGGACTTAGGAAAGCCGTTATCTGCCACCGGTTCTCAGTATGGTGCAGGCTCTTGTCTCATGGTCGGGTTCGAGATTGGCTCAGCAGCGCAAGACCTGCATGGTCTACCGGCCGTAACTTCAGTCAATTTTAGAATACTGCGATGTTTGGTTCAGCCATCCCTGTCTCCAAGACATCAACGGGCTTTACCTCGAAAATCCCCGTGTGGCTATCACTTCAGGTGTTCCACACATGGCCCAAACAGCCGAGGCTACTGACACCCGTTCATAATGCGCATGGCGATGGTGTAAGCATTAGCCGTTAACAGGGAGCTGTCAAGTCCTGTCGGCTCACGCAAGCAGCAGGGTTCACTACGACTACAGATTAGAGCTATAGCTTGACTTGGTGCGCTGATGGCAGTTTTTAGGTTGAACGTACATGCTTCGTATCGTTTTATAAAACATAAGAATTACACGGCATCGACTTCTCCATCCATGACCAAACCACCATCCCGCATCGCGGTGGTCTATGCCCAGATTGGTTAGGCAGTTACCCCGCGGCCGAAATAGGCAGGTGGGGGCGGGTCTCAGTCGCAACTGGGGATGGACAACGGCAAGGAGCAAGAACGGGTACGTTGAGATGGTGGGTTTCTCTTTCCCCCGATGCATCACACCCTTCGCGACTTCCGTTCCGGGCCAAATACCACACAACGGAATTACGTGTTGGCGACAAAGGACGGCGAGTATCGATATATTGCCAAAGCCCGTCTCCAAGAGTCTCGGTAGGTGATGCAACCCCAGTCATCGGCCCGCCCAAAACTGAGCCCTGACCCCCGCCAAATCGGCGTTTACGCTGTAGACCCCCCGTCACCTGGCGTCTGCTCCGACGGTGGGCGAAAACCGCTGCAGATTCCTGGCGATGATGTTGATCTCCGTCGCGAGTCTATCGTTGCGGCGCTGAGCATCTTCAGCGTTCCCGACGCAGGCGGTCGGGATATTGGCGGCGGCATGCGTGTCGATTGAAGCGGTGCCCGGTCGAGCCACCCGAGGAGCTTCTGCCTCCAGCTCTGATCCTCTGGCTAACAGATTAGCTCAAGTGCCCGACGGACGGCAGACACACGATGAAGGTGGGGAGGGGGGAGGGGGGGGGGGTGCTGTGATTTGCCGCGGGGTGTGTCAGCAGTAAAGGTGCTCCGGTATAGTCTTGGCAGATCTAAGCACAGAGGCGATAATGGTTAAGGAGTCAGGATTTACCTTGTAGCACTACCGTTCAGGGCTATAGTGGAGGCCATCGCTATCTTATCCCAGCCAGCACGGGGAACTAATACTTTCGACGCGTTTTCCCAGATGGAAACTCGGGGCCACCTTGTGGGAAGTTTCTTTTCTCTTTGAGAAAGACACTATAGACTGGGTTACTCGAGGAGACTTCGTGGTAAGTTACCGAGGGGGTATAGAAGAAGTATGGAAGAGGAGTGATACTGGATGAGCTCGGCAAGGGCTCGACACCAACGAGCTTTCCGAGCTGCCTGTAAGAAACGAACCCTTGTCCAAGGTATAGCGTACTTAATTGAGACAGCTAGATGTTCCTGGTTGATGCGGCCATAAGAGTAGGATGATCGGGTGGAAAACCAATGGAGGGGATAGCGCCGTATAAGTATGAGAGTAAGTACTGGTCGTCGTTGAACAGCACCTCGAGCAAGGGTTTCGACCTTGCCGATTTAACAAGAGACGTTCCGTACCGAGGCTCATGTCGGCCAGAGATGAGTGTACGTCGTCGTCGTCGTACAAGATAAAGACGTATGCCGCCCAATCCAGACATTGGCATGTATACCAAGAGGTACGTATAGAGTTGAGGATGGGAGGGGGGGGGGGACGGCAGGGGACAGAGATTTTTAGAGCTACCGCTGCCCGGGCTCGAACAAAGCTCTGTGGTTTAGGATCTGCTACGTAGTAGGTTAGGATTCACGTGGGATTGGTTCGGCGGGCGGCGGTGGGGTTGTTTACCAAGAGCAGAGTGCAGGTCCAGCACAGGGGGTAAGAACAGGGGTCATCAGCCACGGCCGAAGCTAGACCTTCAATACCAACACCAACACTAACTTCAAACAACAGCACATGGGCTGGTTTGATTGAACTGCAGAAGTGGAGCATGCGTGGGAGAGCCAGATCTGGCGAACAGGCGTCGCGTGCCTCGGCTTCTGTGTCGCCTTGCTTATACAGTATGCAGTGTGCGTCATCCCATTTATTGTCCCTGTTGGCGTCAAGGTTAGGGGTGGTTTCATTTGCGGGTGCCGTTTGTGCCAACACCAACACAGGTGAGTTTAAGCAGACATAAACGGTACGTACTCGTCAGCCGTCATCTGAAACTGACCAATCATGTTACACTGTTGAGGCTCCATCACCATTAATCAAAGTCCGACATGGACATCGGCGAGAGGCCGACTCTGTCATTTGTATGTACTTGAAACCTCGGCATGATTTTTTATCGTTTGAAAAGGTTATTCCATCACGACCATACCAAGTCGGCCTTTGTGATACTCGTATACTCCCTTTTTATTCACCTACTGACTGGAGATCGCACCGAAGACGTCTGACAAGAGAATAATCATGGTGCATATAGCTAGAAAGAAACGCTGATGCGCCTCGATTGCATTCATATTCGGCAGAAATTCTTATACCGTCCAGCGCATTCGAAATAGTAAGCTCGTTGCATGCCGCCGGTTGGTAGCCGCATCGGCTGTAGGTTATGAGAAATCTGCACCTACCTACATATGCATGGGGTCTGCCGGAGTCTTTGAAAGTCTGTGGGGTAAACCACAGGCAGATGGGTCTGGGAGTGTTCTTAAATTTGCAAGTGTCTGAAGAACAGACATAAGATAAAGATGAACTTTTTGCATAAACCGTCTTCATGTTTGGATGGGACGATGAAATGGACTTCTGTCGGTTGATGGAAAGATTAGGAAATCTTCTCGCGTTGACTCTCGACCATTCGCAGGCGTGTCAATTTCTGCAAGGTGTGTATATGTAAGTACAGCGGGCCTCCTTGATTGATAACGCTACATAACTAAATCCGGTACCGCTGTCAGATCCTGCCGCTGTTCCCGCAGTATCTGGCCTGCGTCTGCGTCGGCAAGAGCAGGGTACTAGCAAAGAAGATGAGCAGCTCAATCCGAGTAGCGGGGTGACTTCGGATAAACCGGACATTTTACCATGTGTGTTTCCGCAGGATGAGACTTCACGACATGGAAGATCCAGCTGCTATAGCATCACTCCATCTTGGAGTTGCAAGCCAAGAGAGAGGATCAATCGTGGCACATGGGCTACCTTTACTGCATTTTGTTCAAATCTTTTTTGGTCAGGCTGTAATCAAGAAAACACAAATTAAGTATATGTAGCAGCTCATAGTAATGTGTCGGCCCCCCTCCATGACCATTGTGGTCGATGTGCAGACAGCAATGGTATCGAGGAAAAGACGGCTCATGGACCCCCCTGAATTGGACATAAGAGACAAAAGCAATGCGACCCAACCAATCATTCCGTCTTCCTGCTCGTATGTCTTTGCACAGATTGTGCGGTACGTAGTTATCGTCGACGGGCATCCTGTCTCCGTTCGCACCTTCCCAGTCACTGCGTTCCCTCCCTTATTAGACTTGAGCATTATGAAACGTCTCCTGAGAGGAAGTCCTCTAAAGCCTTTCAGCTTCCTTGAGACTAGACAACTATTCTTGCCTCATGCTGACGAAGTAGGTGCGCTTTGAGGCCGGAAGCGCTTGCTTGTGGTATCGGGCCTTCTCGGTGAAGGAAACCGCTTGCAGTCCAGTCCACCAAGACTTGAAACCTTGTCGACCATCCAGGCCTCCATCCTACATCGTCTGAATCATCAAAGATCTCGACCCCGGTCTGAAAAGAAAGATGCGTACAGTGATCGTCGTCTTCACGAAGGTGTGGGCCCTGATAAGCGACATGGGGAACGAACTCCAGCACAGCACAAAGTCTTCGGCCATCATTTTATCTTCGGTCTCAGCTTATCATCAGCTTTCCGAGAGGCATCACTGGCACGAGCTTGGTGCGCCTTGACTCTATCGTGCTCCTCCTTGTCGGTGTGGAGGCGCTCGTAGAGGTCTCGATGCTCCGCCAGGTAATTGGCAACACAGGACATTGTCTCGGCGGCATGGGACTGTTGATCCGAGCTCGACCTGGTATACAGTGAGAATTTTAATCGTTATTGCATCTAGTTCCAATGAATTCACTGACCTTTTCATAGATTTACCGTTCACTACGACCGACGCTTGAGAAGTCGACATCTGGTATTGAAATGAGACGGCTGTTTGGCGAATGCTTGTCGACGAAGTGAATTGCGAGACTTTATACGTCGTCCAAAAATATATATTCAAGCTCAGTTTCCGGATTAGAGAAACGAACGAGTACGTGGCTGCGGGCCGATAGTTACGACTACTTATGGGCGCGGAGGGCTCGTGAAGCCACCTGCCGCACCCCTTCCTCCAGCGCAATCTTGACCGACACCCCACGACGAGAAGCTTGCAGTCACACAAAATCCTATGGTATCAACTGCAATCAACTACGCCCTGATGTGTTCTCTTTCTGGCTCCAAAGATAAAGGTGCCGAGGGACTCGAAGGCGGCACAGTTCCCATTGGATGTTCGGCCGAGTTGACGAGCCTCCCGCCCATGACCATGTACAGGGAAGCGCGTATAGGATCTCTGCGAAATTTCTCGCTGTGAAGTACTACTGGGCTTCTGTCTCACCGAAAACGACCGGCAGGGCTCATAGGAGGGTGGCTCGGCGTGATCGCCTCTCACACTGGGTAGCCGACCAGTTGGGGCTTGCCTGACTATGCCGATGTTCTCTACTTATGGCTGTCTCACAAGGATCCATGTTCTGCCAGCGTTCCAGCTCCTTGGCCACGAACAGAGCGGAGCAGCCCTTGTCAAAAGTGCTCACACAGTCTCTACCAAGCTTCCGGGGAAGTCAGGAATAGCTTCCGACACCCGGTATATTGGGCATTTGACGACCAACCAAGCCGCCTCCTATGCATTCGGCCTCGCCTTGCATTGGCAGAACCAATGCCAGTGGATCGGCCCATGCCGAGAGGCCACGCTCTGCCTCGGGGTAAGATGCTCGCTGTGGCTGCGCCGCACTTACCCTTCCTGTGTCGCGCGTGTGGGAGAACAGCATAATCAGTTGGATGCACGGAAATGCGACTCAGAGGAGAGAGCATGCATATACATGGCCAATCACCCGCCGGCTCCGAGCGAATCTATTTCCCATTGGTGTCGGCAATCAGAAGCCAAGGATGGCCCTTTCGTCCACCGCCCTTTACTCTCGTAAGCGTCTCTTCGCAAGCATGGAGTATGATGCCTTGGCTGTCTGCTTCCTTGACCGACATGGTGTCACCGCGGTGATATTGTCAATGTGCCGGTCGAAATCTAGAGCCTTGCGGTCATAGAACAGCAACATGCCCAAATGAAGACCGAAACCGACGAAAGAGCTATGAGAAAATATCAGCATCTTGTTAGAAAAAAGAGTTATCTATCCAAGTCGGATTTGAGCCATTTAGCAACGCACTTCTGTACCGAAGCACAATAGTAAGCAACGCGTCATTTTGTCACTACCCTATGTTGGGAGGACATGGCATGACGAGCACAGCATTGAAGCCCGTACCACACCCCTGGCGACACGTCGATCGAAAAGGGAAACGACTTCAGGGCAGTATTACGGCCGAGGAGGATAATTCCGGAAGAACAGGCTACCCGTACCCATTGCATAGCGTTCTTGTTTGCTCCATAGGGACGGTGTGTGGCACAGGGGCATTGTACTACCGACGGAATCCCTCGACCAGTCTCCCCGTGTATAACCCAACGAATATGACTGGCGCCTCCGCGCAAAGCGCGCCTCGACCTTTCTGCTTGTGCGACCGGCTCAGGTGTTTGCCTCCTGCGAGCCGACCCCAGAGATTGAGGTCTCCGAAAGCCGTTGATGGCCGATGCTCTCCGGGATCTGGGATTCCCTAGCGTCTTGCGGATTCGTCTGTTTCCCACGAAGTTCCGGCTCACCCACGTCATGACGGCTGCGTTAGCGGATTCTAACCTTGTCACGCCTCGTCGACATTGGATGACAGGCACCTACTTCACACCCAGACCCACGATAAGATTTGTCCACAGACTATCCTTCGCGCAGTCTGCCCTTCCACCACGTCCCGGTGAGATGGCGTATGTCGGTGAGGCGACACCTGTTTGCCGATGTGGCACAGCCTTCTCGCTTTGCAACCGGATGGTGTGCAACAAGATTGCGCGCCTACGGGTTCTGTATCTAGCTGCGCTCTCTCATAGGCGGAGTTGACACATACGCACGTATGAGGCCCTTGAAAGGGCCGAATTGCATATAAGCCGGCAGGGTCATGTCGTGATGTCAGATTTCACATCAGGGCATGTCCCTCGGTGTTTTGCTTCGCGTCGATCCTCGAGCAAACACTGCTCCTCCTCCGCCTCCACCTGCATTGCAGCAACTATTGCCGATCTTCCGCTCAGTATCAACACGATGAACCTCACTATGGAATTCTGCAGGCTGTTGAGCGAAAAGACGATGTTTGCGACACCAATCATTGCTTAGATCAAGGAGTTTACCGCCCGGCATCGCGCTGAATCGAACCCGGTGGTGGTTCTTTTTTATTTTTAATTTTTTTTATACCTGTTTTCTCGGTCAACGCCGTGCCGTCCTGATCTGGACTCATGCAGATATCTAGGATAGAGGCGCAAGAGCCGAGTGCGCCTGCTGGACACAAACGTCCGTCTGAGTGTCTGGATTGGACCTCATCCTGGCGCTGTACCCCAGGCTAAAGCAAATGTCCGGAATATCGTTTCCTTCGGCGCCTGCGATCGTAGGTGGGATTGGGCAAGGTCAAGCTCGGCACCGAGCAGAACGCATGGATCCAGACGATCCTATGCTGCAGCCCAGGGGTACACTCCATCGCCGTCACTTCGTCAAGTGACAGGGCCCCATCGTTGACGCCCAACTTTATTGTGGACGCCGTGTTGGTGACCTCGCATCCTGACGATCTCTGTGTGGAGCCCAGTCATGGCCAGCAAGTAGTATCCAGCTCTCCCCGGATCGCCGCCGCTCGTCAGCCACACGTCTCCGGCCGTGGAGAGCCGAAGCTTTGCTGCTACAAATGAACGAGACGAGTCCCAAGGCCGAGTAACAACGAAACAACGAAAAAAGGAATAGAGCAGTCAGACTATTGTAAACAAGTTGAGAAGAAGCATTTCGTCATCCTCTTCGCTCGAGAACCATCGGTCTTTTTTTTCTCGGCAAGGGAGGCACTGGCGTCGTTGGAATTACAGTTGTTGGTCGGACACATGTTTGTGTTTTCCCGCCCGGTCCTAAGAGGACATGCTTCAAGCTTTATGTTGCCGCCGCTGGCCTGGCAATGCGAGGTTCCGCCGGCGGGACCAGCAGACAAGAGGTCGGGGCTGAATGCGAAGATGGCCGTCTTTACTGCTTTTTTTTTTGTCTTTTTCTTTTTTCTTTCTTTGTATTTTCTCTTAAAGAGAGACGGCTGCGCCCCGGCAGCGGGCGGGACTAAGGGACGGTCTCAAATAGACTCTCGCTTGTGGCGTTACCGATCCAACCCGCACGCCCACAACCTCGTGGCTTCGAGACGCCCAGAGCACCCTCAGACCTCGACCGCTCGGCCCGGCCTTCAAAGCTGATTCTCATACGTTCAACGGTGCCGTTCCAGATGGCTGGTATGGCGCGTTCCCTTCCGCATCGTCCGTGAGGTCACACAGACGCGGCGGGCCGTGGGTCAGCCCGTCGGTGGTCGGCGGCCCAGCCTCTGGAAGAAGACCAACTACACGGCCGAGGCGTCCAGGCCAGATTGACCAATTAAGAACTACCAGTCCAGCCATCCTCTCCGTCTAAGAGAAGCAGGCAAATCATTCCGAGGAGGGTCTCTTTTTTTCTTGTTCTTTTTCCGTCGACAGCGCCGGAAACTCCTGGTTTCCATCTTCGAGCGCAGCTGATTGGGGGGAGGATTGAGCATATTGCATTGCTACGCGACGGCTGGGAAGGTGAGTGTTATCTTCATGGGTTCAAACACTCGCCAGGTGAGTTGACACATTGCTTGGACTATATCGACTAGCCCAGGCCCAGTTGACGGCAGCCGGACTCCAGACCGGGAGATGCGTTTCGGAGGCTCCTCCCCACTGACCATGGTGTACCGGCCCCCTTATTCGGTCTCACTACACTACCACATGCCAACCCGTGCCGCCCGCCCTACCAGACGTGCAGGGAGGCAGCCCACTAGCAGCTGTCCACTTTGTCGGGTTCGCAGGGACGCCTTGGGTTGTTCCTTGCACGCACACACATACACTAACTCCCGCCCCCTGTAATCCCTCCACTAGTTTCTTTACCTTGCACTTGGCAGAAAACTGTGGGGAGAAGTTCGGCCCCCTAGGGGAGAGGGAGCCCACGAACTGGATCGCTTCGGGGGGGGGGGGGGGGCCTGTCCTCGATGCTGGCGGTCCCCCCCCCAGTCACCCCGCGATCCCACCTGAGGTACCCAAAGTAGACAAAAAATCCAGCGCCAGTTACTGAGTTTTGGCGGATGCTCGACCAATGACGCGTCATTTACCCTGCAATAGAGCTGGATCGTGACGACGTTGAGCGATGACGAAGTAGAGACGCAGAAGCCCATAGCAAAGAACCGTCGGCCAGATGTTCGGTGTTACATCATGAGTTGTGCGAAGATTACGGACAGTGATGAAGAACCGAATATCATGCATTTGTGCTGAGTGCCGCCTACCGAAACCAGTGGCTAAACGCTTGACATAATTCTTCCGCCACTGACCTACAAAAATTGACACCTTTTCTTTTTCTATATCCATGACCAAATGTGTAAAGAAGAATCCCTAAAAGACAGAGTTTTGTAACAGGGTAATGATGATACAGTGTCGTCGAAGAAGGAGGAGTTGTAACCCGTATTGTACACAGCTGCGGATGCAGGAGAGGAGAGCCGTCGAAGCGTCAATTCCCGTTCGTGGTCGTCTGCGGTAGATTGTTGAGGTGTTGGCCAAGCATTTCGTCCAGTGAAGAAGGCCGTTGTTCGCCCGAATGAACTCGATGGGCGAGGTCGTAGTCCTTGTCGCTCTTGAACTTGTCAAGGCGGACGTCTCTCGAGGGCTTCTCGTCAGGTGCAGGCCGACTGGCAGACCAGCTGCCCCTTGTTCTATATTAGCAATTAATCAGAAGTGCTGTATGGCTTTCCGCAGTGGGGAGGGGAGGGGAGATAATAATGGAAAGACTTACTGGCTGCCGGTGTTGTTATCCATAGAGGAGGTGTGGCTGGCTGGCATGGCGAAGTATGAAGGGTATCGTAGGTAAAGTAAAGAAAGAAGTAATGTTGTGCAAAGAATATCTGGGAACGGCCGAGGTGTCGTTTTTCAAAGAAGCGAGCAAATACTACAAGGTGGAGGGTCTTGATCCAAGCAACGACTGCTGGGACGATGAGATGGAAAGAAAGGAGATGGATGGGGACAGGTCCATGAGTCGGTATGGTTCATGAGGTCCCTTTTTAGTAGAAGAGGCCGAAGAAGGAGACGACGAACACATAGAATATGCGAACCAGATGCTGGACGCCTGATCGGGTCGCGTTGGAAATCTCATCAAGGCGTGGTGGTAAGTAAATCGGTGGTGAAGGAAACCCCCGGGGTGTGCCTTGGCAATTCAATGTCGTCGGATCACCTGGGTTGGGACATCTAGGGTACAGATGATCGCCAAGAAGACGACCAGGTAAAAGTGCAACCCCGAGTCACTGCGTCGAGTCTAAAGTTAGCCTCACTTCTTCCTCCGTACCGAAGATAATTCAGCCGTCACTACACCTATCTGCAACAATCACAATCTCTTTTCTATCAGAAGGCGGCCCCACAGGAACAAGAATAGGGCCAGAAACAGGGGATACAAGGGAAAAGGGTGGTAGGTTCCAAGAGCAAAGTCTGTCTCATGCATCAGTCAGACTCTAAATCGTTTCTCAGTATTGGGCCAGTGTAAAGGGCGGCGGGGCATTGGAAGATGAAGAAGCAGGCTGGAGAAGGGCGGGAGGGAAGATTCGGAGCTAAAAGAGTATTAGGGAGTTGCGTGGGTGACAACAAGATTGCATGAAAAAGGCCCCCAAAGCGACCATGAATGACCAAGAAAAGTTTTGGCCAACTTCGTAAGCATCATGGCGGCGGGCGACCTAACGTGTGGTGACAATCACGAAACCTTCGAAGGAGGGGAACAGGACAGGCTGGCTGGCCTGTCTCGGAAAGCAGACGCGTCCATGCAGCTCAAAAGGGTGAACAGGGTGTGGAGATGACAGAAAACAGAACTTCACACACGCGGAATCGAGCTATTGGGACGAGTCGCAAAGTGTGGGACCATCGTAGAAGATGGAAAAGGGCGTAGTCTCGGCCAAGGGCCAATTTTGCGGTGTGAAGTGTGTGTTTTGGTGCCCCGGCTTGAGCGACATGCGCTCGTCCATAGGCCAATGGCTGCCACGAGGGGGTTGTGACGTCCTGCTTGACTGGTTGGCTTAAGCACTATCTCGAGGTAGGTGTGAAGACCGGAGGGTCTCAGAAACCGCAAAGGAGAACCGGACGGAGAAGGAGGCAAGTGGCGGCCGGCAGGAGAAACGAGCAAGCGTGGCTGGAAGGACATGAATACCTGTTATCGAGACTTGGATATGAGGGGATGAACAACTCACGAACACATGAAACAGTGGTGGGGTGTGGTTGGAAGCTCGAAGGACTTTTAGCGTCGACTCTAGTAGTCGTGGCGATGACGGGCGTGGATCATGGAGAGAAAGGTGCCCAGGTGTTCGTACTCTGCAGCTGTCGCAGTGTGCGCCGGGGAAGCAATGGCGTCCGACGAAATTTGCTGAGGAAATGCTGTCGGGGAGGCGTGTACAGGAAGAGGGCGCCCATCATCGTCAATCGTGTCGGGCCAAGTTGGGACTTGGAAAAGAAGGGCGGAAGTGATTGTGGGAGATGGCGGTGAGCAAGTAGTAGTAGGCAACTGAGGAGGTAGGTGTAGGTATGTATGTATGTAACGAAGGGGAGGTGGGCTGATAGCTCTTTCCCGTCATTTCCTTTCGCTTGGCCTGGGAAGGAAGGAGGGGGGAGAGGGGCAAAGGATACAAAGTGTATTTACCCATGTTGAAGTGATGGGCAGGGAAAGACCGGATCAGGTACATGACAAGCAGGCTCGATCCCTGCTTCTTCTTTTGGCCCCTGTCAGAACCATGCCAGAACCCTCGTCAGCAAGTACGTACCCCGTACACTACTGCCTGTTCCGATGGCGATGCGATGTCGACACCTAATCTCCGCCCTCAGCTAAACTACCAGGTAGTGTAAGTGTACACCCTGTAACTCTACGCCGGGTCCAACCACATCCACCTTACACTACGGCACTTGGCTGAGTATCTCAAATAACAGACAGGGGATCCTGTCCTGCTTCCCCAAAGAGGAGAGAGAATGTTGCCAGTCATCCGAGGAAAAGTACCATGCAGTACACCTGTGCATTCCTTTGCCGGGCCGGCGACTAGCCCTGTCATGCCCCTCATCATCTGACGTACCTACACTGATCGAGCGGTAGAAGCAGCAAGGGCCATAGCCTGCTATAGCGGCATGGTAGATCATGATTGATTTCATGTCCCTCATACCCTGCTCACCTCCATCCTCACCCCATGTCTGACTTGCTTTGCAGCGTTTCTATTGCCAGAACATGAGATGAACGGCTGCGTCCCTCCCGAAGACTACGGTGGAGTTGTTCCGAGACTCTAGCTTCTTTCTTTTCAAGACGCACATCGGACGTGAAGATTGACATGAGGTGACAGCATGCAGCTAGTCGATAGCCAACGTATCCCCAGCATAGAGCCTCTTGCCACAAATAAACACCCTTGGCAACCGCGAGCATCGGGTCAATCTTTCACATCACGTTTTCCATGACATCTGGCAGCTTCTTTGGTGCATCTTCATCTATCCTCTCCCGATATGGAGCACCGTAATGCTCTTCGCACAGATATTCAACAGCCAAAGCCGCCCATTGTGAGTGGCTTACGAACCACTGACATGCTGTCAAGTATGTACTCCGTCCAACATTATGTGTTAGGACAAATACTTGTGGGGGGGCTCAAGGCAGTCGGGGAATACAGCTTCAGCCCATCGAAAGGTGATACTATGGCCATTGATGGAACCTGGGTTTGGCGTGCCGGCTTGGCGCGACAATCCATGCTGGTGAATACCAGAGTTGACACCAGGACGCCTCGTTCGTCGAAATGCAAATCATTGCCAAGTCACCTTCTTTACGCCCGCAACCCTCGACATCCTTTACCCTAACTACCAAATCGGTTTTGAAAATACCTCGTTGAATTTGAAAACGACCCACTGCTTAACGCATTCCGGTCAACCAAAGTGCTATCAACTGTGCATCGCATATCATATTTATTAGCAAGCCTGTACTGAGACTTGGGTCATGCAACATGTGGCCGCTCCAACATGATGAAGGGGTTCGTATCTCGGAGGCCACGGCGGTGAAGAGACGCAGCCTTATGTCTCTTCTGCAGCATGCTTGTTTCGGGCCACATCATATACACTCGCAGATCGACAGCCGGCCTCCGTGTTCTTTTCTTTTTTTTTCTTTTTTTTTTCTTTGTACATAGGGTGGACGTTTTTTTCTCTATAGACACCCCAGGAACTCACTCATGCCACGGACAATAAGAGCAGACTAATTCCCAAAAGGTACACACCATGTGTGGGCATGCTGATCTTTTTTTCTGCCCCATAGTTATGTTTAGAAGACCATGCTGACGAAGAAGAAATCGTGACACCAGGTCGACGCTGAACACCAAAAGCACATCATACATGCAGACACCCATAGTCCTAAACCACCTTTCTCAGCCCCTGACTTTTCCTGTGACTTGTATCACTAAGGGAAAGGTGCAGGATCGGGTAGGCAAACATCACAAATGTACGGGAGGGCCGCCTCCCGACGGCACAGCTATCGATGAACCAGTCACTTAAAATGCGCAACCCAAATACATTTGGTGACGTTCCAGTCCAATGCCCCATGCACACTTCCCCAGAAGGGTGTGCAACGTTTTTTTCATGGCGAATAACATTGCTTTTGTCTGTTGATGTGCTGTCAGGGGGGGGGGGGGGGCTAGATGGTGTTCACTCCAAATCCCAGACCGAGTTAATTGCATGCATTATTTGCTTTTCTTTCCTTCAACGGCAAGTAATATCCTTCAGCAAAGGTTCTGACCGCCTTTGTGCGCTCTCGATACCGGCTGCCTTGATTCACTGCCCAGGAAGATCAACGCTGCAGCGCTGCCAGATTCTGCACCAACGACCCAATCAAGAAACCCTGATTAGGAACACAGCTGTCTGACTGACTCGTTAGGGAGCCTCATCATCAAAGATTTTCGGGGTCATGGCAGTCCGCAGTCTTACAGGTCTTTGTTCGTGGCACGCCGTTCTCTTCTCGTCGTCGAGTATGCTTTGAACAAGTCAATCCTCGGGCTCACAATTGCTTTGTGTACCTTGTCGTCGCCAGAGCCTTTCATGCAGACAAATGCCATTTTCCTGTCAAGACGCAGGCATGTTGTTCACCAGTTCCCATGAACAATGCGTTGTTACCCCGTTGTTCGAACGCTTGGGGTCCTCATGGATTTTCCATATCAAGGGACGGCTCCCCGTCTCTCTTTTATTCGCTTATTCCCAAGACATCCAACATAACATACGCACATCAAACCTCAAAAATTACAAAGAAACGGTAACGTACAAGCCTTGGCCAGCCCCCTCCACTAACAACCGCTAGACGAACTTCGCAATGCCTCTCTACGAAGCCCTTTCTCCCCGTTACTCCAAAAGTGATGATTCGCCCTATAGTTACCTGGCGGCCTTCTCAGTCGGGTTAAGTATTCCCCTCTTATTGACCTGCTTACTCGTCATTGTGGCCTGGCGCAGGGATGTTTCCAAGGCCAAGTCGGAAAAAAAGGAGATCCTCAACTCGCTCACACTGACCAAGCAGAAGCTCGCGGAGGCGATCGAACTACATGAAAAGCAGCGCAAGGACATCCAGCGGCTGCACAGGATTGGTTCGCGATATGTCCTCGAGCACGGACCGCTCCAGATTACAGCGGAGGTCGAGCAAGTGCCGGAGGATGGGGACCGAGTGCCGGAGGGCAACCCGCCACCCGAGGACGGGGACGCGTTCGTCGTCAGCGATGAAGAGGAATGGGATAGCGATACGCCGGCCCGGCACTCGCTCGTCTCGGCCGCTAGCACGGTCGAGACGGACCCGGCTGCGCCGAGGATCGCAACCACCGGTGTTATGCCCACCGCTGCCCACCTGTCCGGGGAGGCTGCAAGGTCCGGAGCCGGAACGGCTGCATGAGCTTCCGAAAGCACGATCACAGACCCTAGATAGAGCTTCAATATTGAGCGTACATTAAACATCAAGAAATACGCAACTGAAGACTTGAGTATGAGGAGCATGCGATGAATGTTTCTCTACGGAATGATACTCGTAACAACCAGTACATCTCCGGTCACGTTGTCGAGGGGTGCAACGTCTTGACCGCCATTGTTGAATACCAAGCAGCAATAAGTGTCATCAAACGGATTCAGCGGAGACGATCTCGGTCTCCCGGTAATAGAAAATCGTGTTAGTTAACTCTACCGAAACGCAACGCCGTCGCCTCGGCCGTGGCTGTAGACAGAGAGACCTGTAACCGTATGTATGGCAGAGAACTCCGGCAGTTGTATTAGTATTCGAGTCCTGCCGCGTCTCTTTGCTATTCCAACACCGCAAGAGTCCAAGTAAGCCGGCATTCTGAGTATGAAGAGCCAGTCGTTCAACGTGGTAGAATGGGTACTGTTGCTACTGCTGTCTCAGTTGGTACAACTGGAATGATACTAAAGGAAATTGATTGATGTTGTTAGATGCAATGTCGAAGCACACCCTCCACTTCCTCACTATACCACATCCGCCGCGCTGCTCTGAACCCCCCCCTTCCCCAGATCCCAACGACCCTCGTGATTAAAGCTTTCAGCCTGGTCGACGTGACTCTAAATGTTGATTAAAGCTTGCATACTACCGTGAGCCGATAAAGCAGCTGTCCCTTGCAGTATATCATTCATTCCGGCGCTGGTGCATCGTCCCTCCCTCTCCGATAGTATTTCCTGATGACCATGTTCTAGACGACGGAAAGCATCGAGTGTCGAGTTTCCTCGACTAACTCTCGACCATACCGAGTTCCTGGGTTTTTCCATGCTCGGAGATCAAAGAAATACATGTCATTGTTTACCGATGTTCGTCCTGATTCGCAGCCACTTTGCCAAAACAAAGCGATTCATCCATGTTATTTGACGGGCAGCCTGTATGTACATCGGACCACCTGCCGCGTCGCTCAATAATCCATGGCAGTGTAGAGCCTAATCGAACAGACTCTGCTACATATACATCGCGGTTGTCTTCGACCTTGTCTCGAGTTCCTTGTAGCTCGATTCATTGGCAAGGCTCGCCGAGTTTTCTTTCAGGCATACAGGCCGAGTATCTTGTTGACTGCCATTTGAAGAAAGAGGCCCAAGCGGCCGCTTTCAGGAACCAAGAACAACGGGCCGAACCCGAAAAGGGCCAATTGGCAGGCTTGGTCCATTGAAATAAATAGAAACCGCACAATGGGGAACCACTGCCTCGACGGGATTTTGGTACAAGGCCCTTCTTTCAGGTGCGACCGATGACTCGGTCTCTGCAAGCCCTTGCCTCCTTTGACGAAACAAAGCGGTCTCCTGTCCAGCCACAGCCCATGGACAAAGTCACCGAAAAGACGAGACAACCTCGAGGGTTGTGCTCTAGACGAAGGGTCTATATATCCCGTGCCACAGGTCTATCCAGATGCCAATCTTCGTCTCAAGCCAGGCGCTATCTTTCCCGACGACTTCCTTTTCTCCCCTTGGTGAGTTCCAAACATTCGTCATGTGTGCTAACGACTGGTGTTGCAAGGTGCGAGACTCATATTTGCTAGAAGCCGGAGCTTTCAACTGTCCGCAGGTGCCTGTTCCTCATCCCTCCAAAGGTAAGCCCCCGCCGCCCGCTAATACGCTGACGAAATTCAGTATCTCGGATGTAAAGATGTCTTGAACATACCACACTGGAACCCGTCGTAAGTCTCCTCTTCCCTCTTCCCTAACTGACCGATGACAGCAACTCCAAGGGCCCTATACACCATTGACCTCACCTCCGGAACCAAGGTAAGTGCCATTCCTTCTTCACTAAATTAGTTTGAGTAGGCAATCTGGTCCGTTTAGAACACCCCAAAGCAGCTGTCTTTCAGGCCTTTGGTGGGGCTTCCAATCCTGTCGTGGGACGCTGACAACAAGTTCCCCTGAATCAGCGTAACGCATGCTGCTGAATTGCTGTGAGTGATCTCTTGTATTCATTCTACTGACGTGGACAGAAAACCGAATCATTGCAGCACCATGTGACGGAACCTTTCACTTTGATCTGTAAGTCCCCCTTGTTTGACGCAAATGGCTGATTCCAGGAACATATCTCTCCTATGAAGTTATGTCCTACCTATGTGAGCAGCTTTCTCGCCCTCTTTGGGTGGCTGATAACAGGCGCACACACCGTATGCTCACACAGCCAGGCACGACGTACAAGTTCTCTTTGTGAGTTACCCACTCGTACGACCTCTTTTTCTCATCATGTAGCCAGCCCTCTCTGCTTTTGAGCAGCCCGCAAAAGAGACGCAAATGGCGCGCCCAAGGTAGGTGCTCCCCTCCACAATCCTCACAGAGCATTGAAGCTAGGACTCGGAAAGACCCATCGGCCTGGCCGCGGTGCGCGAGCCACCTCGGAACCATCTCTGTCGAAGCTCTTCGGAGAAGCCAGGCAAGTACTCCCCATGCTTTTTACCTTGGGCTGACGCGATAGGGACTTGAACGGCTCCGTTTGAACTCCAGCGAACCGTCAATTCGATCCGAGAACCGCCCCCTCCACCTCCCCAACGCGTCATGGTGAAGGCCACATACCGACCGCCACAAATATGCGGACCGAAGTGAAGATCGCACACTATGAAGAGTTGGTGCTTGATATCGATAGAGATCAGCACGGTGGATCGATCCAAGAGGGACAGGGTGGGGGTCATTGATGCAGACAGCATGACAGGGAGACGAAGTCGAGACAGACAAGCCGGACGATGAACGCAAGACAGAACTCACAAATGACAAATAATGATATTCAACTGCAGTGATTTTCTTTTCTGAAACTAGACCGAATTTTCAACCCATAGTAGTCCTAATTGATGAACAAACGCCCTAATCGTAGGAAAAGCCCGCCGGAAACATATCCGCTCTCGGCCGTCGCAGCCATTACTCGTTTCGTAACACATGTCTAGAAGAACTTGCTCTTGAGGCCGCCAAGAACGACATTCCTTTTCTGTTTGTTGAGGTACTTGCCCACATCGTCTGCCCACCCCTGGCTCTGGTTTTGCAGGTTATCCATATTGTCACTCATGATATTGAGTTTCTCGGTGCGCTCGTTGAGCTGTCTAGTCAAATAATCGCCCCAACCCTCGTTACTGCCGGCAGCAGCGCCGCCGGCGCTGCTGGAGCCCGCTTGTCCACCAGCCCGTGCAGCCCTCGCCTCTGCCGCCGCCGCTGCGATCATCCGTTTGCTGGGAGGACGGTTGGGGTCGATGAGCAAGTCGAGGTCGGTTGGGGAGACGTGCTGCGTTCCGGAAAGCCATTGCATGTTCGAGATAGTAGGGCGTGGCGGCGTCACAATCTCTGGGTTGATGAGAACATCCGCGCTGACCGGAAGGTCCTTACCAGTTCCCCATACGGAGAGGATGGCAATCTCACTAGGCCCGGTCCAGCCGAAGATATCACCAGTCTGCGTCACCACTGATGAGATGCTACGGCTGCTATCGAGCATGGGAAGTGATGCTTTCCCAATCTCTTTGAGGCCGGGGATAGAGAACGCACGGGTCGTGCGGTCGCCAAACACGCCGACGATGGCGACACCGTGAAGCTCAAACTCGGTGACATTTGCTGAATCGTACAGCATATCGTCGAATGTCTTGGATGCGCCCTTGGAGCTTGCAGGCTTAAAGATTCGGATCTCGGTTTGTGTCACTGGGTTATGTCAATCTCAAAATTACAAACAGTCCCATACGAGTACAAAGAACTTACCAGCAACCAAAACGCCATTGACCTGTTGGCCGTTTCTGAGCCCTGCCACAATGGGTCCCGTGGCGTATGCAGGCTTGCCAGTGTCAGCTTGGATGGGGCAAAGGGCCACGACCTTGCCGTCGAACTGCTGGGCACCAGCAAGCTTGACGGTGTAGCTGTTTCCAGAGGGCAGGATCTTGAAGGTGGCTACTCGTCCCAGATTGGTGCCCACAAAACAGCAGATGCTGGAGTAGTTATCGCCCTCAAGTGTCATGACACTGAATTCAATACCTACCGGCCACTCTTTTCCTTGGCTAGCGTTATGCGATCCCTTGAGGAAGGACGACCTCTTTTCGTGTTTGGCGAACTCCGACATGGAGGTCTGGAAGATGACCGAAGGACCCCGCAGGTCAATGACGCTGAAAAAGCCGCCTTCCGAGCCGACGCCCACAAATCCAACATCCGAGACGCAAATGGCTGAGATGGGTCCCTGCATCATCTCATACAACTGCCATGGCTGCAGGCCTTCCTTAAGACCGGGCTCTGCCCTTGAACTAATGTCCGTGAGAGACCCTGGGTTTGACGGAAGGTCCTCGTGGTGATCTTTGCCGAAAAATCTGTTGCCGGCCCATTTGTAGAGGACTACCTCACCAGTGCGAGTCCCCACTGCGAACTCACCCGTGTTCGGCGCCAGATGCATCGCCGTGATATCAACATCCTCGTAGCGGTCAAGCGATCTTGCAACGTCGACCTGCAACATGGTCGGGTTCTCGATTTCATCGGCATGGCCAGCATCCCATAACCGCACCGTGCTGTCGCCATGGGCTATCTGGAAGATGGTGCGACCCTCGTATCTACGCTTCGGCTTCGCCGCCTCGGCACCGCCCTTCAAAAGCGGTTCGCCATGGTTTCTGGTTTCCACCATGCCGAGCCAACGCCCACGGTCTAGGGTTTGCACAGCGAACCTGTTGACATACGGGTGAACAAAGGAGACGGACGGGTGCAGTTGATTCGTCGGGCTGATGGGGTATCCCGAGGGAAAGCTCATGGTCAGAAGCTCGCCGGAAGAGAGGAGTGTCATTACAGCAATGGGGTCCTGTGCGCCCGCGAAGTAGGGCGAGGAGCGAGGAATAAGCAGAAAGTCGACGACCTGAGCACCCGGCGGTGTCGGCAAGGTGATCTGGCGTTTTCCCTGTAAGTGATCTTGGAGGACTTGCCATGATGAAGTGGCATAGATGGGAGTTTGTCCAAGCTCGATGAAGGTGAGCCCCTTTTGAGGAGCATCAGGACTGAGGCCGCCAGCGATCAGCAACCCAGTGTCGTCAGGATTGTCTTTACAGCACCAAGCGATGCGTGCGTATGGCTCCGTGTAGCCGACATGGCCTGCGTTCGGTGATGGCTGGTCGACCTTCATCTCGTTTATAGTTCTGGCCATGATCATGCGGCCATCCTTGGGGTCCCAGAACACCATGCTGCCGTCGTCGTGGGCCGTCATGATAAAGGTGCCCGTGGGGTGCCACAGGGCGTGCGAAAGCCTTGGTCGGCGAACAGTGTCCGGGGACTCTCCTCCTCCGCCGGGTGCGCCGGGTTGCAGGACATACTCGAAGAACTTGATTGGTTTGTTCTGCTTGAATGAGTAGATGACGGCGCCCGTCGTGTACGCGATGAGCATCTGCCCAATGTCTCTAGGGTGCAGCGCGATGCTCACCAGCCCAACGACACGAGCGTTGGGATCCTTCTCTTTCCAAAAGTTTGGTAACCGGAATGACCTTGTGATATTCTCCCTGTCCAGGTCATAGGCCAAGACCTCTCCGGTGGCTAGGCCAAGGAAGGCCCAGTCAAGCATGGGGTCCGTGAGGAGGCAGGCAACATGACCAGGGCAGACGAGGCCGGCGATGCGTTTTGCAGTGTCGAGATCCCATATTCCCAGCTCGTTCTTGGCGTCAAGGGAGACGAGTCGGTTGGCGGCGAAGTGGAGCGAGCGAAAAGATGTGCGCCTTGGCGGCTCGATGACCTTGTGGACTCTGCTCTGGCCGAAAACGAAGATCTTGCCAGGGCCAAATTTAGATTCGTTGGTCGCGATTGCGAGAAGCGACTGGATCGGATCGTAGGCTAAGCAGCTGCAGCGTTTCCCGTCAGTATGAGTCTTCAGAGTGCGATACACATTGCGGAATGCCCTGAATTCGACGCGCGTCCACGTGGGGTAGCTCGAGTACTGACCTAACCTGCGAGTTGATGCCGTATGTGGACTGGTAGTCGGGCGCAAAGAGGTCGGGAATAATGGAAGCAGACAGGTCCTTTTGCAGGCCTGTCTGCTTTTGTCGAAGAAAGGCGGCCATGGCTTGAGAGGAAGAGGGAGAGAGCGGTGTAAGTTGGATCTGGAGATGTTGTTTGAGGAAGACTGGGAGAGCTTGGGGTGGTCCCGCAACTTACTTTTAGGGCGGTCCAAGGTCCGCTTGGCGGGGTGACACTGGCTCAGTGGGTAATGATCCAAGACCCTGCAGCGCACCAACGTCATGGAGGCTACCGCCGGGCCCGTGTGCCGCCGCCCCAAAGTTAAGGTCGGTCGCATGTGGTCCAAGCTCCTTCATGCACGTGAACGATGGGCGCATTATGTAATACGCACAGTCTGCGTCCTCCTGAACTGAACACTCACTCACTCACTCATCATAGCAAACTTAATCCAATAGTGTCCAAAGGAACAGATGCTATATATTAAGTATGTAAAACACCTACTATGAAAGGATTTCCCTTCATCTTATTCATTTAATTTCATGTTCTTGCACCATGGGTATCGATCGCTCTCCGAACCAGAATGCCCACGCAAGCTCATTTCCCTACTTCAAAATCACCAGACTCAGGCAGATCCGGCGGTGCCCTCCTCAACTCGCTTCTCCTCGTTATGGCCATGGACAGGGACGAAACTGGTGGCACTACGAAGGTTGTCAGCAAAATGTCAAAGGAAAACATTGTTCACCATCGAAATAGGAAATACTCACAGGTCGTCCTCGCCAGAAAGCTCCTCCAGCGTCTTCCTCGCCGTCTCGGGAATCAGCAAACTTGTAAAGAAACCGCAAAGCATGAAAAGGGCAAAGATCTGCATGATGTGGTTGAGCCACGGCGTGCTCCATCTGGGGTCAGTCTTGGCCCGGCTGCTGTCGGCTCCGATGGTCCTGAGCGGCCCGAACACAACCTGCGCGATGATGGCACCAATCTTGCCCGAGGCAGCTGAAACTCCGTGGGAAGTGGACCTGTACCTAGTCGGGAAGCACTCGCCAGGGACAATAAACGTGGTTGAGTTGGGCCCGGCGTTGAAGAAGAACTGTGCGAGGGTGTACAGGGCCATCAGAGCAGATCCGGACAGGTTCCAGTAGTCGAAGCCGATAACGCAGAAGAGGAGGGTAAGGGCGAAGAAGCCAAAGAGCTGGATGGGCTTGCGGCCGATTGTGTCAACGAGTGCGGCGGAAACCCAGTATCCTGGGACAGCGCCAGCGAGGACGAGGATCAGGTTGCCAACAGCCGTCTTGTAGAAGATGTGGTACACATCCTTACCGCCGGACCATCCGATGGCATTGAGAATGATGGCGTTGTTCAGACCGAGACCATAGAAGGCAACATCGAGGAAGAACCAAGAACCAGCGGTACCGATAAGGACCTTGGCGTTCTTCCAGACGCTATAGTGGCGGAAGAAGTCACTCCAAGAAGCCTTGGGTACTTCGAGCTGCGTCTCGGCCTCTTGGCGGGCGATGACGCGAGCAGCCTCATCAACCTGGGCCTCGCCCCACTTGCCCTTCTTATAGAAGTCGACGTCGCCCTCGGCCTTCTGCACATCATTTTCGATGTCGAAAGTGTATCGAGGGGTCTCCGGAATGGTGAGGCGGAAGTACAAGGCGATGCATCCGGGGACGGCGCCGAAGCCGATCATGGTCCTCCACATCTTGTCAACGGCCATCAGGCAAGGCTCGGTGGCAGAGCATGCAGCAGGCTTGGCGGCAGTCTCGAGGGACCCCTTGAAGCCGGATGTGACGATGAGGAGCATAATGCCACCAGCAAGCTGGCCAAACCCTTGGTTGGCAAACACGGCATTCATCATGAAGCCTCTCCACTTGGTCGTGGCGAACTCGGAGGTAATGATTGCAGAAAGCGGGTAATCACCGCCGATGCCAATACCCTAATGCTTTTGTTAGCGGCAAGAAGATCACCACTACCATCGATCCATCACTCACCATGATGATACGCCAGAAAACAATGAGGCCGACGATGGAAACCGAAGGAGAGGAAGACGAGAGGGCCTGGGCGAGGGTGGCGATAATGATGATGATGAGCTCTACACCGTACTATCGTTTCGTTTGTCAGTTGTGTGTATCGAGGGTTTGTCCGTTATCGGGCGGCCTACCATCTTCTTGCGACCGACAATGTCTGCAAGAATACCGAATCCAACTTGGCCAACGACGGTGCCGGCGGAGGTGGCAACCTTGATGGCAGTGTCGTGTTCCGCAGGCAGGGTTCCACCAAAGTACACAATACCCAACATGGAAGTGACGAGGCCGATGGTAAAGATATCGTACTGTGGTGCGATCGAGTCAGCTTTGGCCATAGAGGTAGGGTTCCAAGCAACAACATACCGAGTCGGTGAAGAAGCCGATACCAGCAACGATGATGGCACGGACATGGTACCAGCCGAAAGGCGCCTTGTCGATCTCGGCCAGAGCCAGGCGGCGACGCTCGTTGGCATCAGCAACATGGGCGAAGTCGTTGTTGAAGTTGTGGAAAGCGGCGTTTCCGCCGGCCGTCTTGTTGAGCTTGACCTCGGCAGAGGTGAGCTCGCGCTCGGTGTTGGCGTTCGAGCCTGCCGCTTCGGACGGCTGCATGACGCTGGCCATGATGTCTACTCTGAGCCCGGGAAGAAAAGAACGACGAAAGGTCGAAACCCGAGAGATTGGGAGCAGAAACCGGTGGCCTTGGGTTCCTGTTCGGTAGCTTGGGGAGCGCGACGACAACCAAAGCCAACGTGTAGGCAATCGGGAGGGGTCCGTCTTATATGCCAAACAGAAGCAACAGGTAGGAGATTAACTTGCGGGCGCCATCTAAGTCAAGCATGGGAACGGTGGGGGTACTGGCAGGGGAGTGGAAGAGATGCGACGACCGAGGACACGAAGGGAACATGGCTCGAGATCAGCATCCAACTCGAAGACTACGTACTGTCGCGATGGACGGACGGAATACGACGGGGGGTGTCATTGTACCCAGGCGAGGCGATTGACATTCGACCAAGTTGCGCGAAGGTAGCAAGCAGTAGGTGCTTTTTCTTTTTTTCTTTTTTAAGCTAACGCCGTTACGGAACCGAGACCTTGACTATGGATCAAAGGGCCACAAGAAGAGGGTACAAGCAAGCAACTCACTGTCGGAACGACATCGTCGGCAAGGAAGAGACGTCTTCCGATGGGTCGTATGCAACAGGGGTGCCTCCTAGGCAAAGCCGGCCGGGTGTGGCTGGGTGGAGCCGTGCTCGGCGACGAATCCGGGATGGCGCGCAATTTCACTTTCTTCTCAGACTCTATTTCTCGTCTCTACTTAGACTAAAGATCAGATAGCCCCTCTCGACTAGCTGCCCTTCGTTTTCGCTTTTTCGCTCTTACATCGGCATCTGTAGGCTCAAACGGGACGTGGCACGGCTTCATCGGACTCTTTACCCCCTAAAGATGCCGCTGGTACGCCTCCTACGACAGTACGGGCTGACGCGACACGAGCTGGGTCGTGATTCAAGATGAGAGTAGCAGCGGCCCGTTCGTGTCAAAGTTAACCGGGAACCAATTGGATTACTCAGTGTGAAAATATGGACACGGAGAAGCATGGATGATGGTATCTAATACTACATAGTAGTACCACTAATCAAGTCAAAAGTCCGAGGCCCACAACCCATGCAGTGTTTGCTTCCCATGTCTGGGACAGTCTTATAAGATGTTGAGTGGGGGGGGTTACCGCGTCGATAGCTACCCAACATGAATCCGATCAAGCTTTGCGGACGCATCAAGCAGGATTACCAGCTACAGCAACGTTTAATTAGTAGCTTGACACTCGGGTAGCCGTTCAAGATACCACAATGACATCAACAAGCTTTGTGGACCACACTAAGCACCCGTCCAAGCCACGCGTGACCCCAATCCCTTGAGAGGTGGTTCGAGGGCCGGGGACCGTTGGCTCACCGAGCGGCCACACTCTGCTGGCATATCGTTGCAGCACGTTGGCTCGAGAAACAAAGGGTGTCATCGATGGCCGGCCGGTGTTGTAGCCGCTTTCGGCTACCGAGCGCCTGGGACCAGGCCGATCCATCCCAGCAATGATTACTGGTACCGCGAGTCCCCATGGCCGACATGTCCTCTCGCGCAAAAGGTACTTGTTTTCTATATTGAACGAGTGTCAGCCTAGGGGCTGCCGATCCCACCCGTCTCACTCCGAGGAGAAGTCGTCAATATTCTCCCCATCAGAGCCCGCCAATCAGAATGCGGCATTGGAGCACGTTGCGAATGCGCCACTTGGTCCGGCAACGACCAGTATCAGGCGGTGCAGTTCCCTTTTCCTCATGGGGGGGGAAAAGCTCCCCAGCTTCGAATGGCCTTAGCTGGCGCTGCTCCGAGCGCAAGATGATGATATGTCGTTGATGACTTGTCGCAGTGCGGCTCTTGGGGTCGTCAAGCCTCCTGGGCATCCCGCTGCTTGGCACTTGGCAAGGACTACGATTCTCCGTCAGACTGAGCTGCGCGATGCCACAGCCAAGAAGGTAGCCAAGACCGGGGCGACGCCCGACTGGCATGTCGAGATTTGCATAGAGCAGCTGTCGCGTGCTCGATGCCTTCTTAGAGACGGACGGTCTCCCTTCGCGGTTGATTCGGAGACGCCGCCCACGTGCTCATGTCGACGTTTCCTGTTGGTAAGCCCAAATACCATTTTATCATCATTAAGGGTAGGAGGATGGCGATAGCGCGCTCTCTCGCGCGCACTGCGCGTTGGTTTATGAGTGCCCGTCCCGGCCATTTGGTACTTTGATACCATTGAAAGAGGAGGTGTTCGTTAGTGACCGACCGTCCGATCTGTCATCGGCCCCATCATCCCGTCATGATTTACACTCATCGAGCGTATCCGAATCACCAGTTGCGCATCTTTCTCATCGCCGTTTCTTGAACCGAACATGCAGGTTGACCTGACCTTCTCTGATACACCATCTCGCCTGTGCGAAGTGCCATGGCTCTCCTCACCTCCAATGTCTCCCTCGCTACCGCAAGCCGGATTAAGGAGCTTCTCGAGCATCCGAACTAGGTTTAACATGCTGGGCGAGGATCCAAGGGGGGGAATGCGCAGGGACGGGTAGCTGCCTCTGGGGTGTGATCCGGAATGGGGTCTTCCCATCGGAGCCAATGGATCCCCGGATTTCGCACACGTGGGCGAAACCACTCGCTGCCCTTCGTCGGAACGGCCTCCTGCACGCGGCGAAGCTCGGCAGCAATTCTAGAGGAGGATGGTTGGTTTTCGTCGCCCGGGCCGATGGAGAGAAGAAGTCCATATCAACGAACAGACAATAATCATTGCCGGCCTGGCTTCCCAGGCTTGCCCACCGGCAGGGTCATTGTAGATGAGGGTCTCCATCCTGGCAACAGCGATATAGACATCACTAGTCAGTTGCCGCTTCAGGAGTCTTCTCCGGCCGCTAACTCTGTCGAATGCAGGCAACTAGCTATGCCGAGTCATGACGCAGCAGCCGGTGCTGGTTTCTACGGATCGAACCGAGTATAGCTTCAACACATCAACGACGACCCCGATCTTTGATCAGGCCTTGCGGGTTTCACATGCCTCTCGACGTGGAGGAACTCGGACATCCCAGTCACCAGGCATAATTGGATTGCGAGACAAGAAAAAGAACCAAAACAATGTCAGCAGACCACGGCAGAATGTTGTAAATCCCCATTCGTGCCACAGAGACAATGCAAGCAGCAACAAAAAAGATATTTCCACATGCCACGATGCGTCCCTTTGGCTGGTAGCTTTTTCTTCACCTGTGCCACGCGTATGCGGCTTCCCGTCCGGAAACCCGCGCGATTATCAAAAAAAGATTCCGCCTCGAGCGCGCGACCGCAACACATACCCGCGCATAACGCCGTGGCGGCGTCTAACGTCATGACGCACAAAGACTTGGCGGCGCTCCATGTCCAACACGAATGAGGGGGGGGGGGGATGAGCAAGCAAGCACGACATTTGCCAATGCCTTGGAGGTTTGAAGTTGGCGCCGATCCCACTCATCGCCAGTTCAGGAAGTCGCACGAATCGTTCACGGTCTCTGCTGTGTTTGCCTATATAATGTGCCGCCAATTGAAAGGCCCAAGTCACCTTCCCGGCCGAACCGGCCTTCCCTTCGTAGCCGGTTCAACTAAAGCCGGCGCCGTAGGTTCACGCGCAGATGGGCCCTGCAAGAGCCCGTGGCGCCGCTAGTGTTTCCTATTTCAACGTTACACGTTCGGGCAAAAGTCTGAATCACCCGAACCCTTCCCTCCATCGCTCGAGAACGTCCGAGTCAAGGTTCTGAGACTGACTCCGATCGAGACGGGAAAGAATATTAATCAAAAAAATCGAACCGAGGCGCGTTGAGGACCGCGCCAACTCGCTCCCCGGCACTCCCCCATATCCCGCATGCCTTCCTTCACGCCGAAAAGGCACATGTCATCTAATGCCCAGTGCCACGTGGGGACTGCGCGGGAGCCGGACGGCATATCGTGGTTCAAACCCAGAGCAGTCTGGCCGGCGATGAGGAGATCGTGCCGGAAATTTTTATCAAATCGCGTCTCGGTTATGGTGTTTTCGCAAGATGGCCAAGCCATGCACGCCCGGGATACCGAGGGAGACTCGCTGTATACGGGCGTCCTCAAGAATGCCACTTCGGAGGGGGAACCTGGGAGGCTTCACGTGCCGAAAACATGAATCAGTCCGCGCCGAACTGAACCGGCCGACGTTTCCTGAACTTTCAGCAAGGTCGAACTTGAGCCGGAAAGCTTGAGACAGGTTTGGGATTCGACCTGTGTCGTCATCCCGCCAGGCGCATTAACCATGGTTCGCCGGGGTCCTTTCCGTGCGCGGTCCTATGGAAGAGCACCACGGCGCGTTCAGTCTCCGACCCCGGACGGCGGGACGGGGAATCTCCGCTAGGCGGGCGGTCCCCCCCGGACAAACAACCCGGGAGACATTCCCCTCTCACATAATGAAGAGGGCGCGATTACGACTAAGAGTAGGATTGCATCGAGGCCATTCATTCCATTGTTGCGATACCTAGTCTCCGGCTCAAAGCTCTAGCGTCTCCCGGAACGCAAGATGTGCATCTCATTTACAAAAGATTCGTAAGACAAACAGTAGAGTTCGACAAACTTTTCTGTATCAGCACGGTTCCTGCCCCTCCAAAAAACACGCATTCGTACTGGCCGCCGTAGAATCCTTCGAGCTCCCCCAAGAAGTTCAGCAGCCGTCGATTCATAAGTTGTCCATGTTCCATCATCAGGCATCGATAATGCCCAGAAAAGACAAAGATACGTAGTAAAAACGTACCACCGGCCCGCCAAGTCATTGTTTGGTTGACACAACGGTAACAAGAAAAAGAGAACAGGCGTAGCTGTCCCAAGTCGTATCATTTCCCCTTTTGCCGATAGATAGAGCCCGAACCTATCCCAAAGGTTGCTCGACCACCTCGAACGGAGTTGGTAAACGTTCCATAGACCCGGCCGAGTAAAAAGGCTCAAAATAAATCCAACGTTGCCTGGTTTTGAAGCACGCTCGCGTCAATAGACGTGGAATTAAAATAGGAAAAAAAAAACAAAATAAAAAAGTCGCCGTCGTCCTCCTCGTTACACACCCCTGCCTCACGAATCATCGTGTACGTTGAGGTTTCAGAGGCAGAAGAATCCCAAGGCTTGGCGGCAGAGCGTAAAATACTGGAAGAAGCGCGTTGGGGACCGAAATATTGAAAGCTGTACATTTCAGTACGTCATGTCATATTCCTCCCGGACATCGAAGTCCATCCCCACGTGCTTGGTCCGAAGATGGCGAACAAAGTTGTCGCGACGGTTGTACACGTGTCCGGTCTTTGCCTTTCGACACCCAGGAACACGGCAGCGGTACCCAGAGCTGTCGCCATCGAGCGTCTCGTGCGTCTTCTTGTGCCGCCTAAGGTCCTTCATGGTCGCGAAGGCCTTGTCGCAGCCCACCTCGTCGCATATGTACTCCTTGATATGGTACCTTTCGTGCTTGCTGAATTGGTTCAGAGTCAGTCGACGGTTCTCACCAAACACTGAAAGACGTAGTAGTCGAGGCAATATTTCAGCCTCGCCAAGAGAAGAAGGATTCGAGACAGAAGGAAAGTGAAGTGAGATTTACGTCAAATCACTGGGTCTGCGGAAGACCTTGGCGCAGTTCTGCCAACGGCATTCAAAACGCATGCGCGATATGTCGAGACCGACGGCGGCGGCGGGAGTCGCAATTCCGTTGCTGAAGCCGCTGTCGCTAGCCTTATCGCTTTCATTTTCGTTCTCGGGGTTTAAGGGGCTTGGAGTCGGACTCGTGATTCCCGAAGAACAAGAGGGGGTGTCGAGTGGACACGCCATGACACCAAGTGCCATAGGTGATCTCCATGGCGGCAAGCCGATAGGAGGTGGGTCGTCGACGGAGTCGAGTTTGAGAGAAGTAGTCGTGTTGTCGGAGTAGTACTCGCAATAGCAAATGGCGTTTCCAAGTAACACACAATAACAAGAATCAACGAGGTTGGGTTGTCTACTGGTGTCTAGGTAAAACGCCACCTTGGAAAAATAAAGGGGTTCCTGGGAATGATTGGAAGCCTGATGCGGTGATCAGGAGAGGCCCGTCTGAAGGGGCGCAACGCAACGTATGGGTGTGGAAAGCGGGTGAAAATTCCAGAGGCAACAGCGAGCCCTGACGGAAAGGGTGCTTTGACCGAGTCAAAGAGTAGGCGGGGAAATTCCCCGCATGCGGTTCTCAGAATGGACGATGATTCTCCGGGGAGTTTACCAGAAAGGTAATGGTGTTTGGTAACGGATGGTTGAGATTGAGGTGTGGTGATGCTATCGGGCCATTCCGAGACGGATGTGAAGCTGAGAGAATATCCTTGGGAGCGGGGTGCCCAGAGAGTTGGTTACGGTAGGTGGTGAGGACCGAATCGGACAATTGGGCAAGCGGCAGTGAGTCGAAACACACAGGGTCAGACAGAGTATCTGATTGAGGTCGATTTTCGGGATATTGGAATGAGATAAGCTTCTCGGATGAGGCTGATGTTCGGCGCGGGGTGGCTGGATTTGATTGTCCGGGCTTCTCGGGATTGGACAGGAAAGCGGAGAGTCGAGACCCTTTTTTCTAAAAAAAAAAATTTGATTTGTTTTTTTGCTGCTCACGGACAACGAACTTGGGCCGTTGCGTTACTTAAGTAAAGTTGAGCGCGGATTTGACGTGCTGGATCTGGCGGGGCGGTGCTTCGGAAGGGGGGGGGCCTCAAAAGCCAAAGGCTAGCAATTGATAGCATTGGTCTGATAATGCAGGACGGGCGAGTGTGGGAGTGTACCAGTAGATAGGCCAATTGAATGTCATCGAGGCGTCGAATATGGGGTCCGCGGGTTATCGATTTGGGCAACCTGCATGAATGCCCAGCACCAACGTGTTGGGCTCCGCACAACCTTTGGGCTTCGAGCCTCGTTATTCGCCCAGCCCGTCCCCGGGCGTCATGATGCCAAGCTGTGTCGGTGGGCACGAGACCAGACCAGAGCAGACCTTCCAAGAGCCGCAGAAAGCAATCTGAAAATGCTGGAGGTGGAAGCTTGGTGACACAAGGACACAAGGCGGCGGCGGCGGCGGCGGGAACTCCAAGACTGGCAGGCGAGGTTGAAGAAACCGACTGCGGAAACCAGGCACCGCTAAACACTGAGTTTCCATCTCGACCGTCTTGCTGGTTCTTCCGTGCACCGCCACTGGTTGCTGCCCGATAGCACCTCACCTTTTTTCCTTGCTTCCCTTCCCCAATGCTCAGCCACGTTTAGCCCTGTCAGGAACAGACCTCAATGGCCGCTGGCTTTGCCCGGTTCCTGGGCATGTAACAAGCTCATCCAATATGGATATCTGACGAGGCCCCACCACACCATCCGTCGATTGCTTCTGGAAGCAAGGCTCCGCCTCGCCTTCTATGCTCGACATCTTTCGGCGATAGAGTTGGCTCGCGATGGATATCAATCTACTCGAGAAAGTGGCTCCGTCAAAATTCTTCATGGCACGATAACGCACCTCGTCGACACCATAAGCTTGCTTGCTTGGCACCCTTCACTTGGACTTTGCGCTGAGCGCGGGAATGCTGAAGGGGCGCCAGGTTAGGTTAGGTCGGACGTTGCACCGATGCCGACCCAACTGCCATGGTCTCGTGACAATGCGCTGCACGATGCTGTGAAAGAGGCAATGGTCACTCGCACTGCTGGATGCGGAAGGCGATGGTAGGGTACAGAAAAGGCGGGCATGAAATCATGGTTGCTCGTGGCCCGAAGCAAACTTGCAACACATCGATCAAGTAACGTAAGACCAGGTGTCTGGGACTGGTGACCAAGGCATCATGACTCGGATGATGGTTTTTTGTTTCTTTTAGGGAGACGAGAAGGTGGCCATGGCTCCGGCTCGTTCCCCCTTCTCCCGGGAGGTCTGCACCGCCAACAAGCTGGTAGGTGCCCCGCCAGGTGGGAGAAGTCTGGTGGTGAGACGACGCGGATCCGAAACTGTTGGAGATGTTTCGGTCTGGCCGTTCATATGAAGTGAGTCAGTCAGGTAGAGATGCGGCGGAAAGATGTAGTTGGCCGAGTTGATGAAGCTGTGGCTTTGTTGTTGTCGGAAACAAACGCTCGCAGGCAGGTCGCGGCAAGAGGAAACGACCCCCCCGCCCCTCTTCCCCTTCCTTTGGAAAACAAAGCATTCCATCGGTAGGTAGGTAGGTACCTAGGCAGTACCTTCTTTGCCGTGGGCTAGGCAGGCTGATCTGCAAGCGGGTGAGTGACGGGGCCTTGTTTCCCTTTCCTTGCCGTGTTTGTCTTTGTACCCACTTCGGCAGGTGCGGATGAGGGGCACGCACGCCTTCCACGTTAAGGGGGGTCCACTTGTGTACCTACCGGTAGCCCCGCCAGTGTCTCAAAGGGCCCAGGCAAGGCAAACTAAACCACCACCTACCTACCTGCGTAGGTAAAAGGTACCTAGGTGTAGTAGGTAAGTATCCGTAGAATACTTTCTCATGGGCTTCATTACTTACGTAGGTACTCGGTGTCCAACGTACTCAGTGTCTAACGCAGGTAGGTGGTGTAAGAAGAATGAAATAAAGAGTAACAGAAAAAGGTTAGGAGGGGAATGACCCCAGTTCAGCCAACCGGTGTAAAAACAATGTTTCCCCTCCTTTCTGGTCATTCTTCTCATTCGTCTCTCTCTTTCCGTCTTGATCCATCTCAATTCCAGGTCACTTGTTTCTTTTCCTTTCTACCTACCGGTAGTAGTCAGGTCAGCTAGCGTACCTAGGTCGGGTACTCCGTACTTACGTACCTAGCTCCCTTGCTAGCTGACCACCAAAGACAACGTTAGGTACCGTCCAAGTCAAAACAGACCCGCTCACATGGCTAGGTATTGCTTATTGTCCCTTTTGTTACTCTCCAAGTTCCAGTTCCGTCGAAACCCCGCACCAGTTCCCCAGAAACACGGCTCCATCCTGGAATGTTTCGCTGCAATCACACCGAACCAACAACCACAACCCTAGCCACCTTTTGGCAGTTCAAACCACCGCCCATCGTCAAGCACATGGCTGTGCTGTTCTCTGCTGTTCTCTGCTGTTTTGTTTTGTTTTGTTTTGTTTTGTTTTGTTTTGCCTTGTCTTGTCTGGGGGTGTGCGTGTGTGTGTGTGTGTGTGTGTGTGTGTGTGCCTACCCACCTCAAGTTTCTGCTGCACTTGGCCCAACCGCAGCAATACCTACTTGCCTACCTACCTGCCTGCCTGCCTGCCCGATGAGAGAAAAGTGCCGCCTACTGATGTTACTGCAACAACTTGGCGCGGGGCCCAAGTGCACACCGTGGTTGCGAATGCAGAAAAAAGGAGGCCACGAGAACTAACCACCTGCCAACCAGGCCGAGAGTCATGCGGCCCGTCTTGGACGCATGGTGTGCGATTGATCGTCCTCCCCCCGCTGCTTCAACCCGTTTCCACCTTTGGCCCACGATGTATCGCCCTCGTCTATGAGAGCCACGCCGAGATGCATCATGGCATGACCTTGGCTTCTCTCATCCGTAGAGCGAGGTTCGCAGGCCAAGCCCAGCCCATGTCACCACATCTATCTGGCTAGTCATCGAAATTTCCCTCCCTTCTGCTTGCTTCGCCAGCCCGGCCCGCCGTCATGGCCGCATCATGTTTCGAGGGACTTGTCCAAGCTTGATACGCCTTTCTTTTCATCATTTTGATTAAATACCCGCCGTCTTCTCTCTCTCTCTCTCTATTTGAAGCCCGTCATCTCCTCGCTCTCCTAGCTTATCGGCTGACAAAACATACCATATCTTGTCTTGAACCATACGGTTCTCGGTCTTGTACGTGTGTGTGTATGTGTGTGTTTTTTTTCTAGCTTGAACCAACTACGCAATCATCTCGCTTCTCGAAAGCTTCTTTACACGCACGCAGCCTTTGCTTGGGCCCAAAGTCATCTCAAACTTTCTTTGCACAGGCGCTTCGTCCCGAGATCGCTTTACCTCTGCGCTGACACGCTGCGCCGCTACATCCCATCCCAAGTCCGTCCGTCGATCAGGGACGGCGTTGGCGTGCCCCGGCCCCCCAGCCGCCACACCGTTTGCCCCTAGAGTTTGACACTGGTTCGCTTCGCTCTTAAGGAACGGGGAGCCGGACTCTTTCAGCCATGAGACAGACTCTCTTCTACACCTCGCTCCTGTCGACACTGCTCACGGCACCGGCATCAGCTCTCTCAGCTTTCTCTTCCGCCCCAGAACGGGCCCCGCATTATTACCGACCGGATCTCAGACGCTCAGAAACAGCAGCACACATGGCCAGACAAGCAGCCGATAGAAGCGGCCGCTGGCGGCCCCAGATCCATTTCTCACCACCCTCCGAATGGCTCAACGATCCAAACGGCCTCTTTATTGATTCTGAAGGCGTGTGGCACATGTATTACCAATGTGAGTTCATTTTCTGCTCGTCTTGTCCCTTTCCCTCCCCCCCCCCCGGTCTCCTCCTACCTTTGCCTTCCCTGAAATTCTGTTCCATCTTCCCCTCTTCAGCCCAGTTCATTTTGAGTTGTGCGACGCAATGTGCTGCTTGGGTTCCGGACAAGCGGTTACCTACACGTTTGCCAGTGCGCTGTGACTCGCGCATTACTGTCCGTCTCATTGGGTCTGTGTTCTGCACCCGTGCTAGTTCCCGTCGGCGTAGTGGTTGCGTCTCTGCCAAAGACGGGAAGCATCACATGCGCAATGATGAATGAGCGTTGTAGTCTCACCCCGCATTCTCGGGCGGAAAACGAGGCAGTGCATTCATTCCGCACTCACATTGGCATTTGTCTCGTGTGTCACTGCATCGATGAGGCTATACCAAATTTGGCCTGGCCCGTGGTCCCAAATGTGACTGGGGGAAGCCCTTTTTTTCTTATTGTTTTTTTCTCTATTTCGTTCCATCATTACTTTTACTGATCCGGTGATAGATGCCGATAATGTCGCCGGCGACGGTGTCAAGAATTGGGGCCACACCTCGGCTACCAATTTCTACGACTGGGTTGACCACCCTATCGCCATCCCGGCCACCGCACGCGACGGTTCCATATGGTCAGGAAGCGTCGTCGTCGACCGCAACAATTCATCGGGCTTCTTTCCTTCCAACAAGACCAGCGGGAATGATAACATCATTGCCTACTACACCTCGTGGGAGCCGGATCAACAGTCCCAGCACGTGGCCTGGTCCTACGACGGCGGCCAAACGTTCAATCAGTATGCGGGTAACCCCATCATCTCGCTCAACAGGCACGGGTTCCGCGACCCCAAGGTCTCCTTCCACCACGAGACAAACACGTGGGTCATGGTTTTGTCCCTTGAGAACGAGGTCGCCTTCTACACCTCCAAGGATCTGGTCAAGTGGGATCAGTCGTCCATCTGGAACCCGCAACGCAACATCGGCCTCATCGAGTGCCCCCAGTTCCTGCAGATCCCGCGGAAGGACAAGTCCGGCAGCGTCGTAGGCGCCAAGTGGGTTCTGACGCTCAGCTTGGGAGGAGGCGGCCCCGGCGGTAGCGCCGCCGTCAAGTACCTCACTGGCGAGTTTGACGGCACCGCCTTCACGCCCGACGCGCCCTCCGGCCGCGCCGCGGGGAGGGACATCCACGCGCGCCAGGACACCTTCACCCTGTACGACTTCGACTTCGGCCCCGACAAGTACGCCACCGCCTTCTTCTACTCCCAGAAACTCAATGACGCCGCCGAGGATGCATACTCCGTCACCTGGGCCGTTGACGCGAGCCAGTACGGCTGCTGCACGCCGACCGCCTCAGAGGGCTGGCGTCACTGCATGGGCGGTGTGCGCCGCCACTGGCTCGACGCCAGCACCAACAGGCTCATGTCGGCGCCGGCAGGCGACCTCTCCAAGCTCCAGACGACGAAGCCCGGCTGGAACCCCATCGTCGAGGAGAAGGGCGTCCCGGGCCTCGAAGGCAGCAGCGCCGTCATCCGGGACTACAACCCCGCCGTCGAGTGGACGCTGACCGTGCGCATGGCCAAGTCCCTGCTGAAGGAGGGCTCGACCGCTTCAGCCCAGCTAGTGTTCAAGGCCTCCCAGTCTACGGGCAACGAGTCCGTCTCTCTCGGCCTCCAGTTCGTCGGCAGCTCTGGCAGCGGCGTCCCCTCGGCGAGCGTCAACATCGGCCGCGTGAGCACGGCATGGGACCGGACCGGCACATTTGCCGTCTCCGGCGTCCAGGTCCTTGACGCCGCGTCGGAGGAGGGCGCCGACGCCAAGGTCGAGTTCACGCTGCACGGCATCCTCGACCGCTCCCTCCTCGAGGTCTACGTCAACGGCGGCGTCGAGGCCGGCACCATGCTCTACTTCACCGACAAACCTCTCGACAGCATCGCTCTCACCCGCGGCTCCGGCCCCAGCGACCAGGGCATCACCTTCGACTTCAAGGCTGTTGCGCTCAACAGCTCGTGGGGCACGTACGAGGAGAAGACCGTCTCCCAGCAGGACAAGTGGATCACGGAGGAGCTGTAAGGAGCGGCCCTGATTCCGATAGCACGCTGTGGTCCGCAGTGCTGGACAGGCTTGATGACGGCGGTCTCCTTCACGGATTTTTGTGGGGGGCTCATGAGACCGCTTCTGAGCCCCTTGGTGACAGAGGAGTATATTCTTTTTCTTTTTCTATCACGAGCCTTGACGCCCATTTTTATGAGGCATGATACAAGGCACATAAGATGAGATCCCTCGAGCGTGAAGGGAGATTTTTTTATTTATCCGAGTACATACTCCCCCATATTGCTAGCTGGCATCCATACAATTTAATCATTCTCGTTTATCCCCATACCGCATCTTACATCCAATGCAAACGGGCTCTTCTCCGTGATTACCAGATATCAGAAGCCCGGGAAGCTCCGCAGCGATATACCAAGTGCCCGTTTTTTGAGCTCACCTGCAGATACGGTTGTCATGGTCGGGGGGATTAGGGGGGATGAGGGAGGAGTTGCTCTCCGCCCACCCTTATACAATTGCTTTTACCATGGGATTTCGTTGAGGACCTCCCCGGCTTGATTCCCGCTTTGAAGCCATCGGGTTTCCAATCATATGAAGGTCCGAGATCACACAAGTAGGAGAGGTCCTACATCGCCACGTTGGCCTCCACCCCGGCCACTTTTACCAGCAGCTCAGCTGTTCCTCCAAAGACGTCGCCGAGCCCTTGTAACAACAACATGGACGACATCGACGACAGCCCGCCACTCGCTCGCCTTTCCAGATAAATCTTTCATCTCGCATTCTCGTCCCATATCACGCCTGTTTCAAACCATCGTCCTACACGTAACAAAGGGGGGCGGAGAGTCCCGCAACCTCAAATCCGGGTTGGTTTCACGTCCCTGTTGGCCGCCCCCTCGCCAGTGCGTAGAAAGACTATACAGCACGAACCTTTATACGCAAGACTCAAGCCACCCGAACAGCATGGCAGACCACCTTCCATATATACGGTCAGGATAAAATCGAAGAAGACGAAGAACAAAAGAAAAAAAAAGAGAGAGAGACCAGAACACCGGGCCCCGTCGTCCCGACGGGGGGCACTCTCATCCGACCTCGCTTGTCCAATCTCCCGCCCCTCCCTCGAGAAACAGTCGGCCGCGTCTTGCGATGCCAAGAAAGTGTAACCAGCGACGCCCAAAAGCTCGCATGAAAAACGTCCTCGTCCACATCAGAGCTGGGCCTGACGCCCAATCCGACGTGTCGGTGAGCATTACGCTTTCCGCAATGCCAAGGCTCGGTTTCTTGGCCCGTGGAACATTCCATGTAGGCCTGGCCGCGCCCACTCATCTCATCGCCAGGAAAGGTTGTCAAGGATGAAACAGCTTCCTTTTATTACACTTGTATATATGTATCTTGAGCTCAATAAACCAATTCTCAAGTCCAGGCGCCTGAACCTCGGCTCAAACCATGTTAACCGCAAGAGCGTGTTTCCCATCTCTGTACGCCGAAAAGAACAACCGCCCCATTCCGTAACTATGTCCAACACGTCTATATCGTACCAAATCCGGGAAAGAGATGATATACATGTATGCCAGAAGGGAGCGAGGAAAAGCCATGCACTCAATCGCCCATCTGCCGGCCGCTTCCGCTGTCAAAACAATTATTTACTAACCGGCCCATCAGCACCGCTCCTGGTGTCATGTCTCGTGTCCTGTGCCCATCCCGACTGAGCCGGAAAAGTTGCCGAGCCCGCCGGAGCCGTGGGTTGATTCTGGCTTCAAACCCGCCTTCTCTCACTGAATACGCTTTGTGATAGACAAGGGAAAGCATCGACAGGTAGAAATAAAGAGTAAAATGAGGGAAAGGTAAAGGGTATATGAGGGTATCTAATAGCCGAATCCAGCGACGGCAGCCACGATCTCCCGCCGGAATCTCCGCTTCACGTCACCATCGCGGTCGGCTTCTCTGAGAGCATCGTTAGGGTCGACCTTCTTGTCGCCCCCCTTCTTTCCTCCTTCCTTCGCGGCGCCCTCCTTGTCGTCTTTCGGCTTCGGGGTATGCTCGCCGGACGGGGGCGGGGGAGGGACCTTAGAAGGGTCGGCCTTAGGGTCACCAGGCTTTCCTGTCTTGTCGATCGGTGCATGCTCATCCTTCAGCTTTCCTTTTTCCTGCTTGATCTTTTCGGCCGCCAGCTTATCCGCTCGCAGGTCGTCTTCCAAAGCGTCGTCTTTGGCGGGCGCGACTTTATTTGCTTCGCCATTGTTGATGCTCGCCAGTGCAGCGCTGTCGAAAATGTGAGCGGCATCGCCGCTCGTCATAGCGTATTTGGTTGAGTTGAGCGTCTGACCGAGGAAATTCGCCTGGGCGTCGAGCTTGTCGTAGAATGCATTGATGATCCCCTCCTCTAGGTAATTGAGGCGGTGACCGCATCGAGCACCGAGCACGTCGCGAATCTTGGGGTTGGAGCTGCAGCAGTTGCCCCAGCAGTCGCTGATATGATCAACGATGGACCGGTACGGGTTGCGGCGGCGGCTCTGGTCGATGATGTGCACGATCGTAGGAATGGCAACCTCGTGGAAGACACCAAAGCCAGCAAAGATCTCGGACATGAAGATGTAATCGGCAAAGAACCGTCGGGGAATGTAGTAGATGTCACTCCACCCAACGCAAAACTCGTCCCGGCGAATCTTGTACTCAAGGCCAAAGTTGTCCACCACTGACGCCGCAGCCATGGCGGTGCGGTGGAAGTCCTGTCCCCATCCCCACCAGTTGTAGTTCTTGGTGTCCGTCAGACACATGTATTCGGGTCCACCCTGGGATGGCGGGGCAGTGTCAATGACGGAGGGGAAATGGATGTTGTAGGGATTCATGCCAGTCCAGCCGAGCGGGTCGACCCAGGCATCGAAGTGGTAATACATGAGCCCGTCGATCTCGGGCTGAGTGTCCAGGATAAGTTTCATGGTGCGGGACACCTGCTTGTAAATGGTGAAGGTACCGGGGAACTGGTCATGGGTCAAGTTGTGGAATTCAGGGTCCTCGCCCTGGAACATGTTCGGCATGGAGATGTGCACGGTGTGGAAGAACGGCTCGTACTTCTGCAACAAGGGGATGCGTTCAGGGCGTGCAGAGTTCCATCGGATCATGGCCATGGTGTTCTTGAAAGGCGACTCGACCGTGCTCTCGCTGCCGGTAACGGGCTTGGGTCCGGACGACACCGACGCTGACGGCGCCGAGCCTCCCTCCTTGGCGAAGTCGGGCATCCTGGCTTCCGACATGGTGAGGAACGCCACGATGAGAACTGTGACAAAGGTAGCGACAGCGAGGAAGATCTTATTGAACATTCTTGCAACAGCTGCCATCTTGCTGAACAAGGACAGTTTTTGGGGCTCATTGGTCGGAGGGTTGGGGTCCTTGGGAGGCGGGTTGTCCATGTAGAGCCAAGAGGCAACGAAGACGACCACAGTACCAGGCAGAACGAGGAAGCTGAGCTTGGTGCCGAACAGAACGGGCGAGACGTAAAGTAGAATGCCGGTCGCGACTGCCGTGGCGAAGCACTTGATGACGGCGTCGGCGTCTGGTCGGAGTTAGCAGGTGGGCAGCGGCGAACTGTGTGGCAGCAACTCACACTTGTAGACAGCAGTAATCGCAAGGCCGATGAAGACGTTGCTGACAATGACCATGATAGCACCGAAGCTGTTGTAGCCCTCAAAGAAGCCCGGCTCGTCGGCCTTCAGGGTCTTGATGACCAGGTGGCAGAGTAAATTCATAGATGCACCAGCGCCGTAGAGAATCATGTTGTCGGCGTGCAAGCTCGAGTCGTCCGTCTTGAGAAGCGCCTGGTTATACACACCCGAGGACGCGCTCAAGAAGACCTGGAAGAGCAGAATGAAGTAGGTGCTAAACGGGTATGTCGTGCCCGTCTGGGGGTTGTACTGGGTCACCATCAAACCGCAAATCTACACCGTGTTAGAAGTGAGACCAGGCCGTCAAGTGTCAAGGCGGTGGCACTCACCTGCATCAGAATGGCGATCCATTGGACCTTGGAGATTTTGGTGTTCAGGGTTGCAATCATGACCAGGGCGGTGATAAAGGTGACACCGCTCTTGGTCAACTGAATCGTACCGGGATCGGCCATCTTGTAGCTGACGAAGATCTGGGCATGTTAGTTGAGGGTCAACATGATGGAAGGGTCGGTCAGCCGGCACTGCATACCGAGTTGTTGATGAGCACGTAGAATAAGGCCAAATTGCAGAAGCCGTATCTGACGTCTTTGGTCACTTCCCCGCGAACATAGCGCCAATAGGTTCTGAAGTCGAGCGGGGGGAGCGGGCGGTTGTGCTTGTCGACGCCATTGGCATTACTCGATGAGCTGGCGCTACCGTTCGGCGCGTCTTCTTCCCGTTTCTCTTCCAAACTGCTCCGCTCGGTCAAAGGTAGTTCTGACGTGGCGAGAGAGGCGTAGCCGCTACCGCCTCCACGGGTCGACGGGAGGACGCCGTCGGCGGCTCTACGCTTGCATTCGTTCCAGAAGAAGATGGTGGACAAAACCATCTTGAAGAACTCGGAGATGGTAACGGACGCCGAGGGGGAGAAGGAGTAAGAACCGCCGGTCTGGGAGATCTTCATGATGATGCCGATGCCGACCTGGATCGCGACCAAGCCGAGGGCGGCGGCATAAGCGGCTTGTTGAGGGCCACCTGGAATCCATCCTAGAGGCTTTAGGAAGAACCCCAATACGCTAGCGTGTCGTAACATGATGACGACTACCAGCCGCTGAGTGGCGGTTCAGTCAGAGTCGGGTCGGCTGCTCAGTATGGGTCGAGAGATGGCTTCGATCGAGGTGCGGCGAGGATGGTGAATGGCGAGCTTCGATGAATTGGCAACGGACAGGAGAAGAAGAGCAGCGGTTCGGGAACAACGCAGTAGCTGGCAGTGACTTCTGGCGACTATGGCAATGGTGCTGCGGCGGTGCAGGAAAAGAAGGCCTTGATTGCCTTTAAGTTTCCCGAGGGCGGGGGAATGACACTCGCTGAGCCGTCGTGTTCGTTACGCGCATCGAGACTCTATGTGTTCGCCGACCGACTCGCACGCAGTGGTTTCGAGTGATCCAACGCAGTCGACGCAGTATCCGTCTTCGTGGGCGATGTGTCCAGGATCGCAGGGTGGAAGAGTGTCGCTGGGTTTGGTTCGGAGGGAAAGGAAAGAAAATCACGGGAGGACGGGACGGGGGAGGGAGCAAGAAGCAGAGTCCACAGTCGAAGCAAGGGAAGGGATGTGTTAAGGGGGGGGGGGGGGGGGGGGGGGGGGGACCGTAGTACAGTACAGTAGAGGCGGATCCCGGCAGGTGCCTGGTCGAGGTGCTGACTACCATAGTACACAAATACCTAGATGGTGACTTTCCCATCCTGGTCAACGTACAGTGTCAGCAGTCTTTGCTCAGAATGTACTTTCTGAGCGGCACCAGCTCCCTCTCTCTTTTTTTTTTTTTTTTTTCCTTAGATGGGGGGGCAAGGAGCATTGGCGAACAGCCAAGCGGTTCCAGCAGAAGGGGAAAAGTCCGGGTGCATATGGGGCCTCTTGGAGACAATAGGACCGCCTTTCATTGGCTGGATCGACAGGCAGAGGGCCACTAAATCACTGTTAGGGCCCCTTTCGAAGGCGCCCCCCCCCTCAATCTGTGAACTGTCTACGGAGTACCTAGGTACCTGTAGTGTCCAGGGACCATGAGGGGGCCACGGGGGGCCCAAGGGTGCCATGGACGGGCTAGCCCATAAGCATGGCTGTGCGTTTTCTTTCAAGAAGATGACTGGAGGCGCCGCACTGTGTCCGTATTTTAAGGTGGCCGCCGATCTCTGACATCGGCACGACCGACGTCAGGCAAGGTCGGGTATCGTCTGGTCTGGGCTTCTATGCACTGGACACTGATACCTTGTAAGGCTCGGTTGGACACGCCATGCCATACAAAGATCCGACGAATCTACCGCGGGGCCCCAGAAGACGTGGTGGCACGGAGTTTGGGAGGTGGTGATTGCCTTGCTAGCTTTCTCCCGATAAATGGCATGGCTTGCTGATGTTAGTTAGGACAGGTCTGCCCGGCTCGTCCTGACTGGTTCTTCGCTGCGCTCTGCAACGGAAGCCGTAGCTAACCAAACCTTGCTTCGAGAACAATTACAATTGTGCTCTGACAGCCAAGAGTGACTGGGGCACAGCAAGCCCTTCTGGGCCATTGTCACAAACCAATGCCAGGCATCGCTGTTCCAGTCTGAAGCGAGTATGTCAATGGTCACCCAGCACCTGTACCTAGGTACACCACGGTACGGAAACAAACCCCATGATTCGATGTAAGGGTTCGTGTGTGGCTGGCCCATTTCAATCCTGCTAGGTACCGTCTCGTAAAGTGGCTGCCTATGGTGACGGCTGGGAAAAGACGACGGTACGGATACGTTGCCACAGATTCGGAAGCTTCCGCCCTGCAGCAGCTTCTTTCTTTTGTCCCCCAACGGATGGATGGATGGATGAATGACTAGGTAGGTATGTCTTTGATGCGCTGTCTCAGGCCCCTTCGGTCTCTTCTTACACGTAGCGGATGGCTGATAACCAGTTCCCCTTGAGGTTCGCGCGCGTTCCCACATACTGTGAGGTGGGTCCACACTCCGCCACCAAGGTACAGCACAGGGTGCGCTCTATAATCGATCCTCCGCACGGTGGGGCCTGTCGAAGGGCATCTAGATCACTCAGCTTCAGGCTCGTACCGTTGTAGAAGGAGCAACCAGCAACACATATGCCCCATTTGGCATGACCTTCATTGCTCACCTTGGAGGGGAATCGACCCTTCTGAGTAGTAGTACATGTCATCGTCTTGGAACACGGCTTCGACGAACTGTCTCAGTGAGGCCGAAACCGAGACTCGAGGATCACGGCGCATTGGTTCGCGTAGAACAGCCCGAGATGCTTATCTCGCCAATGCTTGTACAGAGGGCCCACCCGCTTGTCTCCGGATGCTCTGGCTCGATCAGACGCACACCAAAAAAGCCAAGTCAGACAGCGTCGATTCGATGTAGCCAAGCGATTGAAGAATTGCTCCTCTTGTTTCGCTGGGCAGACATATTCAGCAATGATTGGCGACAAAAAAAAAAGGACGGGGCGAAAAGGGGTGTCACAGCGACGCAAATCTCGATTGACGGACTCCATGTAGGAACTCGTAACTCTTATCGGCTTTCTCGATATGTGAGCCGATAGTGGGTAGGTTCTCATTCCCAATAATTCATACTTTCCGTGCTATCCGTAATGTTTCTCGCTCTGCAGCCTCTTGGCTCATCTGCGGCCGAAGGATGTCCAAGAAGGCCTCCCTCTCGTATCCGGGCACTAGGGTGCCTTACGCAGCGCCATCCCTGCCACGCATGCACACACTCACACATATACACACACACGCACGCATGCACCCTTCTGTCGCGTGGAAACAAAAAATTGCTTGGATCGTCAGGACATGCTCACCAAACGGTTCCAGTACACTGGAGTCGATGCCATGGAGAAAGCAAATACTCGGCGTCGTCAGCTCACAGCCCTGCCGTGTGTGGGCATGACCTCATAAGTGCCATGGCGTTTCCAGTGGTCCTTGAGCTAATCGATGGTATGCGCCCATCATCGGCCAGCCAGAACATAGCCTCTTTCGGCGCAAGGTAAAAGAGATTCGGCCGCCTCGTTCGTCTTCCCTTTTCTCCGGCCCTTACGGATACCTTGCCCCAGATTATAGGCCACGCCGTCTCCTCCCGGCACTCATCAGCTTGCTCACCCTTGACGCGCATCCAGCACAACATACAGGTACGTGGTACGGGCCTTGACAAGGGGGGAAAGTGAGGCAGGAGGGACAACCTCGGGGCATGAAACAGCAGGGAACTTTATCTGAAAAGTACGACTCCCCGAGTTTTCCAAGCATCTTCCCTCGATCAGACACCCTTCGCTCGGTAGCTTCGGGGTCAATCAGACGTATCAACGGTGGCCCATTCCCATTTTATAGAGTCTATCCGTCTATCCACCTGTCAGTGTGTCACTGTGTCCTTGGCGATGATCGCCAAACGCGCCCCGACGAGTCAAGCACGCTGTTTCAGGATAGGTGACGCCGGCATCTGACACAATGTCGTGGGCGATTTCCCGCTACCCTACCACGCCTTCACACGCTCTTTCTCGCATCCTGCCCGTCTGGCTGATGTGATGTACTCGTTGCATAGCATCTCCCCCAGCTATCCCATCTAGTACAGACCCACCCCCACCCCGTTGCGCCCGGCAGCGGCAGCGTGCAGTTGCCAAAATAGCCATCGGCCTACGGATACGGCACAGTACAGTATCATAATCCATTTTGTTCGTCTGGCTTTGCATCCCCCCTTACAAAGGTACCTTGGGTGGTTCAGGATTGTATTTGAGGCTGCGGATCGATCCCATCGACTAGTGTGCGATGTACCGTACATCACTTGGTATACCCTATTGTGTTGAGTACCTTTGGTTGATAGTATGTACACCGTACCTCCGCGAGCTCAAGAAGCGCCACCTCGTATCAGTACCTTGGTACATCACTCGGTATCCAAGGTCAAACAAGACATGGTGACATGCTGCTTCATCCCTCCGTGGCAGTAAAGTCTACGACGGATTCGCCACGGCCAAGTCAAGGACCAACCCTCGATGTACAAACCTTGTATTTCGCTATTTGTTATTTTTATTTTGTTTTTATCTCTACTCAGTATCCGTACCTATTTTCAAGCGGCTGCAAGCCGAAATGAGCAGCCCCAGACGCTCTGCCAGCCAATCCCAGACACCGTGTGGCTCGTCCATCGTCAGCTCATTAGCACGCGCCAATTTCGGCCACCCACAGCACAGCTGATTGATTGATTTGATTCCCATTGCTCTGAATGCGCTACCCCTTCAGATGTGCCGCCAATCAACGCCACAGCCTTGTCGTACACGCACATGAACAAATCCCTGTTCCCCGTGTCGATTGCCCCTGCCCCTGCGTCTCCACCAATCCCACGCAAGGCTGATGATAGCATGAGCAGGTCTGGGCAGGTCCGATTACCAGTACCTACCGCACTAGGCGCCTTAGTGTAAGACATCTGTACACTTCTGGACACCATAGCCCCCCTGATGACCTTTGCCTAGGTTCCTACCTACCTAGCTAGCTAGGTACTACACTGTAGTGTAAGTATGTTGTGTTGTCGCCCGCAGCGCAGGACTGACCCGTCAACAAACTTACGGATAGAGTTCCGTGGTATCCAAACCATGACCACGAGGTAAGACAGCAGCACAGTCTGGCATCGAACCCCGAATTTGAGACGTGCTCACTATCTACGGCAGGGAGAGCGAGTACTTTTATCTGATCTTGTACAATCGGTGATGTCATATTCATCAGAGGTCCGTACTTTGTCATAGCGCTCGGGCTGTTTGAAAAGAGCGTTTTCCTTGCGCAAAATCACACCACGCCGCCATCCATCCAGTCAGCAATCCGATTGCAATCACACGTGTCCATCTTTGCCCTGGCAGAGAAGACCAAAAAAAAAAAAAAAAAAAAAAAAAAAAAAAAAAAAAGGTTCGTTTAGGGCCAACGGCCGCCAACAAGCCTTGGCCGAGGAACCAAACTCATCCCTGGCTCTGCCCAGCCATTTATTCATCTTCATTTCCATCTTCATTGTTTATTTCTTTGTTTTCTTTGGCGGAAATATGCGTGGCTCTTTGAGCGGAGAGGCGCCTCCTCTTGATTACGGTACACACCTGCGCACCAGGGAAGGAGCTTCGTTGCGGACATTAATCTGGCTGGACGGGAAGGATGGCGTAAGCAGCACATTAAAGGGAGAGGCAAGAGACGAGAAAAGCTACGGTCGTGGCCTGATGATTCAACTTGGGATTCAGCATCGTATCCAAATGAGAATAGACCTCGTGTGGGGAAGAGAGGCTTGGGGGGGGACATGGGGATCGATATTCTGGGTGTCTGCTCTGGGCAGGGGTTCGCAGTACAGTGCCAATCTGCACCGTGCCAACTCTGCCGGAACGCTCGACCGGCTCCATTACTACAGTACAATCCATCACTACGCCCCAGAACGCTGTTCCCCGGGTCGGTGCCTATTTGACAGCTGGCGCCACCATTGGCAGAGCCCGCAGACCGAGTTGATCCACTATTAGTGATGCGGCACATAAGGGACCCTTACTCCCTCCCTGTCCATCAACCACATATCACCTGGTACTTTTACCCGGGCCACGGCTGTCACCCCCGTTGAACTCATGAACGGAGCAACGATTGATGATTGAGGAGAGGGAGAAATGCTACCGTATAGACGTGAGGAAGAAGAAAAGGGTCCCTAAGACGACGGAAATGGCATGTTTCCATGCAATACGAGCCGGGGAGGGTACACTAGCTAAGGTAGTGAACAGTAGTCTAGGAGGACAGGGAAGAAGACCGAGGCTGAGACTACACTAGAAAGAGGCGTCAAGTGGGCGGGAGTGTCCTTTGTCGGTCCCCTAATGGGATGGGCCCACTGCCGCACCGCAGCTAACCATTTGTTCGTAGTTCAGGGAAAAAGCAAAAAAGGGACAAAAAAAATTCTACGCCGGCTTTCATGGTAACCGCTTCATGAGCATCTCCCTTTTCTGCATCTAGTATAACCCTGTCATCCCACTATGAATCAATGATACTCCTATATCTCAGCTATCCATCTTTCCATCTCACGCGTACTATCTGGTCTCCTCCAAGTACCTGTCTTCCCTTGAGAATGTCTTGCTGTGTTTTCCGACTGGGTTTGGGTGTATCATTTGTACCTGTGCGACCTTTACGGGAACCGCCTTGGCTACGTATCTACTGTATCTCGACTTCCAGAGGACCCGACCGAGGTGCTTGCTTACCGCTTTGGGGGGCGAGATCGCATCCACTCACCAAGTAATTACCATTTATCTATCCGTACAGATAGGTGCTTACTGTTGCTTGTCTCCACGCTGCTACCAGGATATGGACCCTAGGATCCTAACATTACCATCCGTCCCTTGCCTTACTGTGTACGTATCTTTTTTCTTTGGGTGGGTGGGTACCTTAAGGTCTTGAGGTGGGAGAGAGGGACACCTACCCCCCCTCGTCAGCCGGGTCATTTCTCTTGAGCTCTTCAAACTCACAACTCCTCTCCTTGGGCTTCCCTTCTTTCTCTACCTTGAAGTCTTGGGTCGGAAACCCGTAGTGTCGCATTCTGCCCGTCTTCATCTCACTTTTGCTGGAAATAGAAAGCACATCACCGGTGCTTTATCCGTCGCGTAACCACAGTTGCGCCGTCACGCAGCTTCTACCCCAAGGGTCTAGTGATATTTCCATCGTTCGCGACTATCTGCCATTCCCGCGCCGTCTTGGACTCTGCAACACATTCCAAGCCCATCCCGCCAATCTTCTTTTCCAAACGACCAACATCACCTTCACACAGAACGCCATCGTTGACTCTTTTCTGTCACAATGGCTCCATCAACGGCAGCCGCCAACGGCGCTGCCGCCAACGGCGACATCAACCGTGAGCCCATCAACGTCATTATTCCCATCGGCGGCATTGGCTCTCGCTTCGCAAAGGAGGGTTACCGCTACCCGAAGCCGCTGATCAACATTGTCGGCCGGCCTATGCTGCTGTGGCTTATTGACAACCTGAGCCTTAAGCCTGGCGACACCCTGTGGATGGCCATCAACGAGGAGGTCGACGACGAGTTCAGAATCGGTCAGCTCGTGAGCAAGACCTTCTCCAAGATCGACTTCAGACTGCTGCGCTTGCGTCACCAGACCAAGGGCGCTAGTGAGACGGTAAGCCTCTTCACCTGGCCCTCGCGAGCTTCCCCGTCGCACGGAGCGGCCACAGGGGGGGGTAGGGGAGCAAGATGGGGTGTGCGTTGCTAACGGATTTCCGCTCCCGTAGCTCTTCATCGTGACCCAGAGTATGACCAAGAAGCACCTCGAGCGCAGGACCGTCTCCCTCGACTGCGACACCATTTACTGGGCCGACATCCTTGAGGACATCCGTAACATGCCCAAGGGACATGGCGGCTGCTTCTACTTCCCCGACCTTGGTGACAAGCCCATTTTCTCTTACATTAAGACGGAACCCACCAAGTAAGTGAAACCCGGTTGCGCGGCGCAGGAAGCTTCCTGCTTCTCCAACGACATGTCTAACAGAGCACCTCCGCAGGGACGGCTTGGAGCGCATCATCGATATTCAGGAGAAGAAGGCCATTTCCAATAAGGCGAATACGGGCGCGTATGTCTTCCCGTCTGCTGCCCAGCTCAAGTCGTGGGCTGCCGAGAACCTTGACATGAAGAGGCCCGACGGCTCCGAAGTGGGCGAGTACTACACCTCGCAGATGATCGCCCTCATGATCCAGAACGGCGTTCCCTACCTGGGCATGCCCGTCAGCACCAAGGACTTCAGCGTTGTCGGCACGCCCGAGCAGCTCAAGGACCTCCTGAAGCTGCTCAAGACCGACACCTCCAACCTCCCCATCAAGCTGAAGAAGCGTCGTTTCTGCTTCGACCTCGACATGACCCTGGTCGGTGTGCCTGCCGTGGCCGGAGACTATTCCACCTGCCCTCCGATTGAGAAGAACATTCGCCTCGTGCAGCAGCTGTATAACGCGGGCCACTACATAATCATTGTAAGTCGAGTTCGGGTGCCTGACGTAAACCATGGTTGCATTCTGGATACCCTCGCTAAGACCTCAACAGCAAACGGCGCGTCGCATGCGGACACATCACGGAAATCTGGGCTCGGTCCTCGCGGATGTCGGCCCGGTTACCTTTGCCCAATTGGCCAAGTACGAGATTCCCTACCACGATATTCATTTCGGCAAGCCTTACGCCGATGTCTACGTCGATGACCTGGCGGTCAATGCCAACTTGGATACTATGCGGGAGATCGGTTGGCTTCTGGACGAGCAGGACCCAGCTGCGCTGATCGGGCAAGATGCGGGCACTGCAGAGGATGCAAAGAAGGCCGGCATGATCGCCGCTCGCGATTTCAACACCATCCAGATCATTGGTGATAAGGTGATCAAGTCAAGCAAGTCGGAGAACATCCTCGGCGAGCTCTTCTTCTACTCCCATATGCCCGCCGAAATCGCACACATCTTTCCGACTGTGTACAACGTCGACTACATCCCCGACACCACCACCTACAACATCACCATGGAAAACCGCCGTGGCTTGACCTTCTCTCACCTTCTAGTCGGACGCTCAATTACCAAGGGCCGCCTCATCTCCTTGCTGAAGGCTCTCCACTCTGTCCACACCACAGCCAGCACCGACAAGGCCACTCTCAACATTCCCAGTGCTCTGGAAAAGAAGTTTGAAGAGCACTCCCTTGCGCGGGCGAACAACCGCGTCAATATTTACGCAAACTACGGCTCGAAGCTGCGTAGCCGGTACTACCAGAACCAGAAGAAGTACGATGCACTTGGTCCCCTGGCCGCGTCTCTTTTCGCCCGGATTAACGAGTTCCTCGATACCTACGAGGCCGAGGAGAAAGGTGTTCACGCGCAAGTCATCCACGGTGACCCCGTCTTCAGCAATGCCATCCTATCCAAGGACGAGAAGCTCGTCAGCTTCATCGATGTGCGCTGCCAGCTTGAGAACACCTTGACCCCCGAGGGCGACATCCACTACGATCTCGGCAAGGTTTTGCAATCCCTTTGCGGCTACGACCACATCCTCTTTATGAGCGCCAACAACCACGACCTGCGCGGCGCTCTCGACAGCGACCAGCCCCTTCTTGACGAGGCCGACTCGGACCTCCTCTCGAGTCTACAAGAGCACTTTTTCACCTTCCTCGAAGAGACGTACTCCGTACGCCTGCACCGCAAGACCCTCTTCCGCATCACCGCCTCTCTCTTCTTCAGCCTCATTCCCCTGCACCGACCGGAGCTGGGCGCCGTCTTCCTGCGCATGTGCAAGGAGACTCTTGACAAGGCGAGCAACATCAACTACGGCCCCGGCACGCGATCCACGGCAGGCGCCACGCTTAGCCGGCGGGCCAGCTCCAACTTTGGCGGAGAGGAGAAGGCCCGTGAGATGCCCATCGTTTCTGGCAAGGGAGAGAATCTCTCCATTCCCAATGTCGTCGTCACGGCGAAATAGGCGAGAGGCGAAAGATGTCATAAGGTGTAGATAATTGTCGGGGTGTGGCCGGGGCATGCGTAATGCGCCGAGCTGTCGGAAAGGTGGGTTTCGATGGCGGGGGTGGGGTTGCGTCGATATCATGGGCGCAGAGCTCCCGGAAGGGAAAGCGGAGAGCTTGTGTGGAGTCCCATCGCATCGGAACTCGTCCGTGTTGACGGGAGAATTATTTGCTACGTTTCACGTGCTTTTTGTTGGAAAAATGAAAGCGTTTCGTCGGTCCTTGGGTTCTTTCTACTTTCAAGTCTACGAGTATCATGTATGACTATACCAAGATATCACATATTATTGAAAAGTGCATTCCATGTGTTACTGCCGTTGGTGAGCTTAAAGGCGGGCATCGCTGAAAGTGTGCTGACTCACTCACCATTCGTCAACCCTCCTCGACCGCATTGTCTGTGTTCTTATTTTCCTAGGCAGAGTCTCGTGGCCGCGCGTTCTTTGACTTTTTTCCCCCTCTTTTTCTTATTTCTTCTTTTCTTTTTCTGTGTCTCACTCGCTGTCCCGGGTGGGTTTGTGCCGGTGCCTCGCCAACGTCAAACCGCTGTAGCTCTATGTTGCATTTACTCCGTTATTCGTAGGTGTTGTCCGATGTGTATGGGTAGCAGTAGCAGTAACAACAACAAGAGCTTTATTTTTTTCTTGGGTGCTTTTACTGCGACTGTTCGGGGCGTACGGATGTCCTCCCCCTTTGGATCGATGACGAGGTCTATCTGGCCTTGCAGTGTGTTGGAAGAGGAAGGGTTAAAGAGTGTGTTCCCCACCCCCTCCTCCGGAAGCCAACAGAACAGACGGCGGATGAGGAACCTGGAGGCGGCGGTGTCGGCGGGGACGGCGAGGCACGGCCGATAAAGAGCAAGGGGGGGCGCTCCGGGAGCAGAGCCTCCTTGACGTCAGGCGAACCTTTTGCGCTCGTATCTTTCCTGAGAACCTCGATTACCCATCCCCCTTCCCCTCATATCAGATTAATATTTGAAATCGGTATCTCATTGAGCCTTTTCACATGTCGTAACCAATTAGATTCATTTTACAACCTTTCTAGCTGGTCCGGGCATCCATCCCAAGGGTCGCTGGAAGAAACGTGGATGCATCATATTGTCAAATCTGGGAAATGACCATGACCTCCCTGAGACGAAGCCAAATTCGTGATTTCCCTCAGAAGAAGCCGATGTTGCGTCTTCTGTCTTCTGACCTCACGAATCATCACGTCACATGGAGCAAGGAAGAAGACAGTTGGAGGAAAGGCAACGTTCGCTATCTAATTGGGACCGGCTGCAGCCACTGCCGCCGTGCTACAACGATTGAGGCCTTGTTAACCAAGACCCGGAACTAGTAAACCTTTTCCATCCTCCCCTGAGACATGAGCCATCTGTCGTTCCTATCTCTCACCTCGGTCAACTTCTCGCCATCGCCACGCTCATCACTTCTTTCGCTCGCTCCGAATGCCATCTCTCCCTGTTCACAGCTCATGCTTCATTCACTTCATCCCTCGTCCGTCGAACCTTGGTCGTTGATAATCCATCGTGTTGCTTGCTTAGATGTACCACATAGTGCCCTTGAACATCTCGGTCGCCTGAGGATCGGAATCAGGGCCGCCACCGCCCAAAGGCAAGAGCTGCATAGCCTCGGTCGGTCGGTCATTCTCGAACATGGACTGGCCGCGAGCACCGTACTCCTCGACCATTTCTGCAGCCTTGGGGCCAGAACGGAAGCCTTGAGACGTAGCAATGTTCTCGTGCGCACGAGCGCGACCACAAGCAAGATCCGCGTAGTAGATGGCGGGATGGAGCGAGACTGGAGTCGTTGAGCGGGCGTACGAGTAGCACTGACCGTAGAGCATGCGCTGAAGGTCGTTGGGCTTCATATTGGCCTCGTCAATCAGAACAGTGTAGTGAACAGGGCGAGCAGTGCCCTGAATGGCGACGTGGGAGCAGAGGTAGAAGTCCCACCAGAACGGGTGACAGACCTCCCGCTCCAGGAGAGTACCGGGCAATGGGTTGCCATTCTTGTCGCCCTGTTGGGGGAAGAAGCGAACATGGTGACGCTTGGTAGCCACAATGACAGTCCACTTGGGCTGCTTCTGTCCCTGGTACTTTTGCTCCATCAGACGCTTCATCGTCCCAACCTCATACTCAAGGACTTGGGCGTACTGCCCCTCGGATACACCGTCACGGAGGTAGATGATGTGCGGCGGCGGCGCCGGGTGGTTCATGCGCTTGTGCCAGGTGGGCATCAGGCGGGCAAGGAAGTTTTTGGCGTTGATTGGAGACAGCATTTCAACGCGGTAGCCATTGGTCTCAACGGCTGCTGAGTAGAAAGTGGCATCCTGATCCATAGACATGGTCATCGAGGCGGTAGAAGGAGCATCGATACCGGGCGTGGCGTGAGACACGTCAACGCCAATCATCATGGTGACTTCTTTGAAGAAGGCAGGAGCCTTCGTGGCAGGGCCGGAAGGGTGGGGAATACGACAGGTAATACCCCCGAGCTTGGCGTTGACCTTCATGGCCACATTAGAGTGGTACTGTCCCTGGTTCTTTTCCACATGACGTGCAAGAACGCACTGAGTCAGCAGACCAAAGCGGCAGTCGCCTGACTTCTTGATGCGTTCATAGGAGCCAGCGTTGTTGAATCTCAACACGCAGAAGAGAAGCTGAGGGATAGCCTTTGTCTGGGCCTTGATTTGTGCATAGGCCTTCGCGACGGCATCGGCAACATTGGGATTCCGGGCTTCACTGTCGATGATGATGGCGTCTTTGGCCACCTTGCCTCCATGGCCAGTGTATGTCTGCTTGAAGGTCTGCGCAAAAGCTTGGGCAGTGGCCCTGTTGCATGCATTCTCTAGAATCAGAAGACCCCAAGATTGAAGAGGTTGACGATTAGGGACCCAGAACTTCTTGCCGCGCAAGTCCCAGCGGCCAGCGAACATGGGGCTCGTGACATTGTTTGCAAACTGGATCTTGGGAGGCTCAAGCAGGGAGCCCTGTGTCCGAGCCATCTGATCATCGAAGACAACACCGTACTGACGAAGGTACGGGTCCTCCTTCCATGCCAACTGATTCTTCGCGTCAATGATATCAGCCTTGCGCTGGTTGGGCCGAGTGACGGCGGCCTTGATCATGGCCGAAGTCTGATCGGGATCAAGCTTATAGAGGTAGCGCTGCATGGCCTTGATGATGCAAACCTCCATGGGGAAAAAGCCGGACTTTGCAGTCTCAACGACGGGCCAATTGGGAAACATGACCTGGACACCGTACGTCTTTTGAAAGTACTGGGCAATGGTCATCTCCTCGCCATTGTTGGTGAATCTAATGTTGTCTGCGGTGGCACCCTTCTCACCGTACTGCTGACCGAAAGCGAAGGACTTGATGGTGTACGTCTTGTCCCAACTCTCCTTGCCACGATGCTTGGGGGAGAAATGAAGCTTGACCAGCTTGCGGAGATGCTTGAAGGCCTCCGACATGGCGAAGACGGTACGGCCGGTCTGGTCCTTCTGTCGAACCGGCTTGAGGAGATCGGCGATATCATTGGGCTTCATACCCTGCCATCTGCGGTCACAAGTGCCCAGAAAGTCCCGAACAAGCATGTGAAGCGGGACGTTCCCCTTCCAGAATGCTGTGTTGGCAACATCGACGTTCAGACCGAGTCCGCGGCCAATCTTGTCCATAACAGACTGGTTCATTCGAACCGAAGAGTAAACACCCTTCACAGCCTCCAAGCAGGGACCGAGGTCACTGGTCTTCTTGTTGCGCTCATTGTAGAAGTTTCTCTTGATAGATAAGAGACGCTCGCTGGGGTACTGCCGGACCAGGTGATCCAAGAAGTTGAGGCATTCGAGAACGGAATTGTCCCAGTCCATCTTGCCTGTGAGATAGGCATCCAAAGCCGCCAGGTTGATCTTCTTTGTTTCTTTCATGACGAAGAAGAACGAATTGTCTCGGGGCTTAGAGTTGGGGCGAGCGGGCTTGCCCTCGTCGAGGTCGATTTTAAGACGCTCCTCGCCACGCTGGATGGGGACCGAGGACCTGTGAGCGTGTTAGAAAAGTGTTTTGGAAAAGAACCAATAAGAACCAATAAAACATACCAAGCGAGCTTGCGTCCATCTTGCAGCCAAAGACACTTGTATTTCTTCAGCATCTGCTGAACCGCCGGAGACTCCCAGCACTTCCTGAAGACGACGTTGTACTTCAGAGGGGGAGGTGAGATGGAGACATCATATTGGTAGATCGTCACATTGTCATTCCACTGCTTGACGCGGAACTGGTTGACCTCCAGGTTCACGGGCTTGCCGGCGGTGTTGAAGCCGGGTCTCTTGATGAAAGGAGACATGCCCGGGTTGAGAAAAGACTCAGGGGGCGGGTCGATGCGGGTATTCTGGCGGTCCTTCTCGGGACCGCTCTCGGGCTTGGCTGGGTCGAAACCCATGGACGGACCGAAGGGGTTTTGAGCTCTGGACTCAGAAGCGTGAGAGCCGGAGCGGGATCGACCGGTGGCAGACATATTGTAGATGAATCGAAGCCGATGAGTCTCACTGGCGCTTTGTTGGTCTCGTTGCATATGAATCCGGAAAGTACTGGTGTTGCTGTTGAAGAAGTTAATATATGGTTGGGTGTGAAAGAGATAAGGTGGATGGGTTGCTGAAGAAGAGAAGGCGTATTTTGGTAGGGGAGGAAAAGAGGGAAAGAGGTGCAGGTGAAAGGAAAGAAGCAAGGCTGGGAAGGCACCACAGTCTTATGTGATTAGGGTGGATGGGTATGTGGTTGACCTACCTGATGTTGACTGACGTTGGTTGGTTGATTGCGTGTGTGTGTGTGTGAAGGAAGAAGAAGAAGAAAATATTTTGATCGAGGGAAAGTTGGCTTTATATAGAGAGGAGTAGGAAGGAGGCTTTCCGATGGGGTGAAGGCCTTGCTGTCGATTCAAAGGAAGGTGCGAACGTGAGGCAGGTATGAAAGCCAGGCGAAGGAAAGAGCCACCAAGGCAGCTGCGAACAAGACACAAAACTGATCCTTTGAAAGAGCACCCTGTTATCCTCACTATGGGTTTTGATCGGAGATCATTTAAATGTTGCATATATACAGCTGTTATTGGCTGTACTATCAGCAGTTCTGTCTATGTGCAAACGCCCTCATTTTGGCAAGCGCAGATGCCTGAGGAGAACTGCAACTCCTCCAGATTGAGCTGCACGAGACCCACAGTCGACGTGATACGGACAATAGCGCTTTGCGTATTCTCAACAGTCTGCATTGTGGCCATGCAGATAATGGCAGAGCCGGAGAGTTCCAGACCAGTTCTTGCCTGTAGCTGTTGGAGAGAAGAAGCTGGCGATCTGGAGAGTTAGAGAGGAATCGTTGCCACCCACGGCATCAACCTGCATCTTGGCCTCGTCACCACCTCTTTCTGCATATTCAACCGCAATAGATTCATCTGCCTTTTTCTTGAACTGGAAAGGACTCAGCGCTGCAGTGGAAGACGGTGCAATCCCTTAGACAATACCCCGATATCATTTTCATGGGTGGCACCATCTTCCCTTAACAGGACGACTTCACTATATCGAACATGACTAGCTGAGATGTTGTCATGTCGCTGAAGTCAACGTTGACCGTGTCGAAGATGGAATACCGGAGGAGGTGCAGCCGCAGAGCCTGCGCCAGCTCATTGTATCGTGCCACATACGTCTCTTCAAGTTGCTCCTCATCAATCACCTCTTCTGAAATAGAAGGAGGCCACGTCTATCTCTATGTTGCTTGCACTTTACCTCTGTCTTCAATCTCATACTCACGCTCGTCTGAAGTTTAATCTCCCCGCTGGCATCCATTTGCTTTTCAGATGACCAACCAGACCATGCCGTTTGCGACCTGTCATTTCGGTATCGATGACTGAAGTGGCCCGAAATACGTAGTTGACCACATTGGCACTGCACTGCATCGTCAAATATCACGAAACGCACGTATTTCCAATATCGTCTGCTTCTTGTACTCAAGCCTCTGGCTAACCTAGGTGAGCACACGACACCTTCCGTACAAGCACTCCACCCGCCTGCTTGTCCACTTTCGATCCTCTTGCATGCCGCCAATGAGCTACTGATGCAACTCTATGTTCTTGCCGATGAAAATAAGTATGTTACTGCCATGACGGCCGCACGTGTAAAGTGTCCCCCACCCTGAACGCCCCATCGATGCGGAACCCCCTAACTTTTGATATTATACAGAATACTGCCGGTCATTTCTGTTCGGAGATGGGAGAGACCAAAAGGGTGCCCTGCCTTGAGTTCGCAAACGCAAAATGAGGAAGTCAATGGCCCAACAGGGAAACAGTTCGGTTCAGAGGGATGGGGTCAAGCATAGTGTGTTGAACTCTGCTTTGTAGACCGACCTCCCAAAGGAAAATGACTGGAAGAAGAAAGTGGTATTTGGTGGGAAATCAGTGAGTTCTAGTGTCGAACTTCACTCTTAAGCCCAACCCCTTCGGAAACCGGCCCCTGGATGTCCATTTGTCAGCTCTTCAAGATCAATACTGGTATTTCCCATATTGCTGTGCCGGTGCTTGAAAGTAGCCGGCAGGCTGTAGTGCCCTGGAGCTATTTCCATCGTACGGACCCGCTGGCAGGTAGTTTCCCTGCTGCGTCGCATCCTGTCGGTATGCTGCTGCTTCGGGATTTCCGCCACTGGAACCAGGCCGTAGAGGGGAGCTCCGATATCCGGAAGGCGCCAAGCGCCAACCGCTGGCATCAAACGAACTAAGAGCCCTGTGCGGCAAATTTCGTCCACCGTGTCCGTACCCAGAGTAATCACCAGATGCCTGCCGGCCATGGGAAGGGGGCTGCATACCGTTGTTTTGTCGAGCACCGAGCTCTTGCTGTGCTTTCCAGGCGCTGTAGTCCGGCACAGGGGTCTCTCTTAGGAGACCGACGAGGTTGGGAGCGCTCAGGCGGAATGCGCCGGGCGAATGCGCGTAAGCGTGAGACGGGGGCAAGATACCCAGCAAAAAGGTGATGTCTCGAGAAAGAGGCGCTCCTTGGTTCCGTCTCTGCTGGTCGAGACGGCGACCAGCGGCACCTTTCAGGGGCGACTCTCCTCTGGCAAGCTTTCGCGGCCGGTTGAGTTCTTCGTACTCATCGCCCGCGAACGGTCTCTTAGGCGAGTTTGTGTTGCCAATGTACTGAGGACCTGGGCTGGCCGTCTGACGGATCGGCAGCGGTGGCATCGGAGTCTGTCGCACTGAAGTCGGTTGTTCAATAGCCGGGATCAACATCTTTGGCCGCAGTTGGACAGCCGGTGAGATAATGAGGCGATAAGAAATCGGATCAAATGTCTCGACCGAGAAACGGTTCGCAAAGTGTGTGAGTTTAGGGTCAGTCGGCCAGAGCTCCGAGATGCGCTTCTCAAGCTCGGAAATAGAGGAAAGCTCGCCAAATTGTGATTCGTACTTGTGGAAGTAGGAATACAACTGCTTGGCCTGATCCTTCTTGTCATCTTTCTGTGTGAGACGGTTGACGCATGTCTCGAACACCACGCGAGCGTCTAGGCAAGGATTAGCACAAAGCAAAGGACTCGAAATATTGGCACTTACTTGTTGTATCGCCCTTCGAGTGCAAGAACTTGAGATACTCCAACATGAAGCTAGCGTCTTCCGGAAACAGCTTGGCACCGCGATCGAAGATCTTACCACCGGCAGGATCATTGTAGATGAGGGCCTCCATCTTGGCAACAGCGATATAGACATCACTGGTCAGTTGGCCCCGACCGCGAGCCTCGATGAATACCTGTCTGAGACCTGAAGTCGTGTTGCCTTTGCCTTGTGTTCTCCGTGCAGCTCGGCAAAGCGCAATCCACACGAACGAAATAGTACGTTTGAGCATGTCCGCTTGTACCGAAAAGCCGTGCTTGACAGCCTTGATACGCTCCTCTCTTCCGAGATCGGCTGGTCTGTTGTTTTCACTATCGGGTTCCTCGTCGTTGTTTTCGATCGAATCTTTGACATTCGGGTCGCGCGCCGCAGCTTCCTCAATCTTGCGAACTTCCCGCTCCTCCCGTTCCTTGATCTTCTTGGACATGGCGTACAACGTGTCGAGGACCCGGCTGTAGGGCTCGCGAATGGCCTTCGCGCGGGCAGCCTTGCTCGCTTCGTCGTCTCCGGCTTGATAAGTCGACTCCACGCGATCGCCATGCTTCAGCGCCAGCAAAACGCTCTCAGGGTTGGCCTCGATGCCGTCAGTCAGGAAGGAAAGGCCTAGCTCTTTGCCATCCTTGGTGATGTTATTGGCGAAGCACCACTCCGCAGCATCAACCCAGATCTCAGGCCAGAATCGAAGGGCCATCAAAGCTTGCCTGTAGCAGTATAAGATACGTGCTTTGTAGGCTTCGGGTTCCTCGTCGAGAAGAACCAGCGGGTCGTCCTTTTCCCACTGAATCCACTTCTTCCAGATCTCAACCTGTTCCAGAAACTCCTGATCACCATCAAAGCCAGGAGCAGGTGGAAGCCGTGGGAGAGACGTTCGCTGAAGTCTAGGAATCAGTCGGTCAAGCTGGGAGTTCGCTGCCTTAGCTGTCATATATGCCGGCGAGCGCTTCTGGATGAACTGGCGACCCTGTTGGTAGCTATTAGTATTCGCCATCTAGTTATGCCCAAAGGGGACTTACAGTTGTCTTGTTGAGGCTCATCTCGAACTGATCATAGTCCTTCCACAAGTCCGTGAGTGCGGACATGGGAACCGTGATCGCGCGATGGTAGGCCTTGCGCAGCTGATCCATCTTCTGCTGATCTTGCCAACCACTGCCTCCAACCTGACCTGGACCACTCTTGATAAACTGAATGTAGTCCTTCCACAGTTGACCCGAGTCACGATCAATGCCGACCGAGCCAATCACGAAGTCGTATGACATGCTGAGAATTCGGCGAGCCTCACCATTGGGGTCGTTTGTGAGGTCATATCTTCTGCGGATGTAGTTGAGGTATACTGTCCAGAGCTTAACGTTCGGTACGTTGACCAGAGATCGGTTGAATAGTGCTTCGGCGTCCTGGAACCGGTTGGAACTCAGCTCAAGCTGGGCCCAATCTGCCCAGATGTCTGCCTGTTGATATGTCAGCTGTAGATCTTGCTAATGACGGATTAAAACATTGGACTTACAGCTTGAGGGAAGACTTGGACGAAACGCTCGTACACTGCACGGAGCTCGTCTAGCTGGTCATAGCGGCGGTGTTCGGCGATCAACGCAAGCCAGGCTTCCATATCGCCCCGCGGATCCTCCTTCACACGATCCTCCAGGATGCCAAAGGTGTCATTGGGGTCTCTGCTGGGTAGAGGCTGCACAGTCGGAGGGGCAGGCGCGTGCGCGGCACTGGGCGCTCTTACTGCAGTCCCATTGTTTGGCTGCTCTGGAGTAGCGCTGACTTGAGTCTGAACTGGAGTAGATACAGTGAGGGGAGGGTGGTTCTGTGTGACGGGGGGTTGCGCAGCATCTGGAACAACGGCGGTAGTGGAAGCTGGAGTGGGCACATCCTCCTCATCGTCAGAGTCTCCCACTAAGAAGCCCCCTTGTGTTTTAGGCTTGCCAGATTTCGGCTTCGCCGATGTGGACGTGGTAGGAGTAGGGGCGGGGGTAGAATCGGTTGGGGGCTTGGATTCTGAGGTCTCTGGAACTGAGGTTATCGTGACCGACTCTGGGTCATATTCGCCAGCATCTTCTGAGTCACCATTCGCAGCTTGGGCAAGTGGGAAGGCAGGATCTTGACTTTGTTGGTCGCTATGCTGTATATCATTTGCTTCTTCATATCCCTCTTCTCCCCAAGACGCACCCTCGAAGTGTTCGCCGCTCTGCGGGAGTTCGGGATCCATTGCGCCGGTGGGCTCAACGAGCGTGTCGAGAAGCTACACGGGAGGTACGGGAGGTTTCTTTCAGCCGACCGATCGAAGTCCCAATGGAATTCGCGAAGAGGCACAGGTCGAAGGAGCTATGAGCTGATAGGATGGCCCAGAGCGCAAATGCGCTGTTGGTCCTGGTCACAAGGCGTAAATAGGCTGGTGGATCGAGGGTGGATGGTCGCCAAGCAAACAATCGTCGGTACAACTGGCCGAATCGCTGCTCTCGATTGTCGCGGATGGCTGAGGTGAGCCAGCGAAGCTGAGGATGTTGACAAGGAAAGCAATTGGATGTAAAACTGGAAGGCTGAAACCTGGCAGAGTGAAAGATTGGAGGGTGAGCAAGGACCGAAATCAGGCTAGCGTAGTTTGGCGGTCACCTGGATAAATTCCGGTACTTGGAAGTGGGGAGTCGGATTAGATAAGCGGATATCGTTAGCAAGAGGGAGGCCGATACTTCACTTAGGCCTCATCGAAGAAGCTTTTTCGTTATAACGTTCTCTATGCATTATGCTCGTCCTTGACTTTTAGAATTTTCTATCAATTATTAAATTTTGTAAACGTCTTCCATATGTAGGGAAAGTCAGCTGCGTGTGCATCTTCAGTCATCAGTAGCTGCATAATGAGCTTGACAGCAAGGCTCTATTAGTTTCTTTTGTTCAAGATGCCGCTCGTTACTGGGCCACTCAGAGATTGCTATGTGTGCCAAGACATAAGGTAGAGAAAAAAGTAGTAGATCATGTACATGGACCTGTATTCTCGTCGTCTGCTTGTCTTACGCTTCAAACCCCCAAATCTGAAGTTGTTGTTCAATGAGGCAATGAGGAGGAAATGACGAGTACCTAACAGCAACTCAGTAAGAGCAAGGTTAGTGTGGTGTGGCTGGGGCCTTGCCAGGCTGGTGCGCGCGAAGACCCAAAGAGGCTAGCGCCAAGAAACGTATCCCACTTTACGCGAAATTCGCGGTCAGGAGGCAGACGCGTCCCATGTTCCACCGTCCACGTCGTTGTCCCGTCGCAACTGACGAGCCTATGCTGGAGCCATCTCCTTTCATCTCTGCCCGCAGCAAAACAATTCTGTGCCTCCCCAAAACACCATACAAACCCACCATCCCGGCCAACTTCGTCCCCCTCGACCTCAATTTCACTTCCTCGCCGCTAAGGTCTAAGTGACTTTTTCCACCCATCTTTCATCCCCCTTTTCGCAAGCCGATCAAGGTTGCTGCCGCCTACTCTTCACGATGTCGATCGTCTCGCTCTTGGGTGTTCAGGTCCTGAACAACCCCGCCAAGTTCACGGACAAATACGAGTTCGAGATCACCTTTGAGTGTCTTGAATCCTTGGAGAAGGGTACGCGACCCTTTTTTTCTCACAATTTTTCTTCTTTTCTTTTTGCAATGCCTTGACTAAAACTTTTTTCCGACTGACATTTATTTCTCCTAGACCTTGAGTGGAAGTTGACCTACGTTGGCTCGGCTACCAGGTCAGTCGGAGTGAATTTTTCGCATACACCGCATTCCTCTAACTTTCATGAAATAGCGACCAGTATGACCAGGAGCTCGACAGCCTGCTGGTAGGACCTGTCCCTGTCGGCGTCAACAAGTTCATCTTCGAGGCCGATGCGCCTAACACGTCCCGAATCCCCGACGCCGACATTCTCGGCGTCACTGTGATCCTTCTGACCTGCGCCTACGACGGTCGTGAGTTCGTTCGCGTCGGCTACTATGTCAACAACGAATACGACTCGGAGGAACTCAACGCGGAGCCCCCTTCGAAGCCCATCATTGAGCGCGTCAAGCGCAACGTCCTTGCCGAGAAGCCCCGTGTGACCCGTTTCGCCATCAAGTGGTATGTTTTTAACCCTACCGATGAAAATGCAAAGCAATAGTGGAGCTAACCAAATGTTGATCAGGGACAACGAGGCTTCCGCCCCCGCCGAGTTCCCTCCTGAGCAGCCCGAGGCTGACCTTGTCGCCGATGAGGAAGAGTATGGCGCTGATGAACGTGAGGAAGAGGAGGCCGATGTCGCTCTCGACAGCGGTGCCAACGGCGAGAAGCCCGCTGGCGAGGATGCCGAAATGGCTGGCGTTGAGAACGGTGAGGGCGAAGCTGCCCCAGTTGAGGAGGACGAGATGTCAGACGACGGCAGCGTCGACATTGAGGGCGAGAGCGAGGACGAGCTGGAGGAAGAGGTTGAGGGCGAGGCTGTCGATGACGATGCAATGGACGTTGACACCTCGGCCGACAAGCCTGCCAACTCGGCCAGCAAGGCCACGGAGGTCGCTTCCCACTAGAATGCCACCTTGGACAGTTGTTTTGACGCTTTTACCCATACCCCCATTGTTTTTGCCAACCTCGAGAATATTCCACAAGAATATGCGCAGGATGGCGGTTTACACGAAGAATACGACCTGGACGATGATTGCATAAGGTATTCGAGCCATTGACTATAGACGAAGTGGCCTGAGAAGAAAGAAAGAGGACGAGCCAAGTGCCGCCGAGATAGCCTTGGTTTCTGTAATTAGATGCAAATGATACATTTTTCTGTGGACGCGGGTCCTTACGACGGCAGGCTGGGAAGTGTGACTGCGAGGAAGCTAGGTATCCTCAGGATCTGAGCCTTGGGCCAAAGCCAGTGACTGCTCGGTGAAGGAGAACGGACGCATGCAAAGCTCCACACGGCGAAGCAATGCAATACCTAGCGCGTTCCTTTGCATCGTGTGATTGAGACATTTTCAAACAAACAAACGGCGGCGGACTCGTCCACTGCCTAAACTAGGTACCCCAACACGACAACCCCCCCCCCCCTCCAGTTTCTTGACTTGGACAAAATAACGGCGTGGCGCAGCACCATCTTCGACCGCCAAGGCAGCCATCACGGCCATTATAAGTCCTGAGCCGCGCAAAGCCGCCCCGATGACCGGCACTACGTACACGACAGCCTTATTTTCTCTCTTTCTGGCGGTGATCGCTGGTCAACTCCGACATTGACCCCTCTCGCTCACTCGGTCACCTCATCCCACCTTGGTCTCGGCGTCTTTAGCCCAACGCCCCGCGCGCTGGAATCCTGCACCCACTCCGCTGCCCTGCATCGCAACTCACATTCGGGACGTGCGGATGTGCATACGCGGCATGCATCCGTGCTTACAACTCCAGCCAAGTGGCCGAAAGCTTGGTTTCGGTGTCGTTGGCCGATCATCGCAACTCTCATGCTGCCGAGGAGTCATATCAGTGACAGCCATCCGTCAGCTATCGACCTAGTTAGGACCATTGCATTTCGCGCTCCTCATTGCCTCCCGCGGAGACCCCCATGCTCAAGTCCAGCACTCTGATACTGACGAGCTCAGCCGCATTTGAAATTGAAAAATTGATTTGATCTAATCTTCCGGAAGCAGGATGGGCCTTCAAAGATGCCTAGCGGTATCGGTGTCTTGCTGCTGGTCGCCTTGTTAGTTGTCTTGTGGGCTGTGCAAATGAGTATTAGAAAAGGTCTGCTGTCCAAGGGGCGGACTGCCCGTTTTTCTCATGTCTCTTCACTTCATCTTGCTCGGCCAGACTTCTTAGGGACCATTTCCGTTGCACTTGAACTGGTTCCGATAATTGCCCTGAACCCTGGACCTTCTTGCATTTCGCTCACCATGTCAACGCAGACTCCCGAAGAGCTTCTCAGGGCCGTCGAGGCAAGCCACGAGCAATACCTCCGCAGCTTACGAAGCCTTCACGAGTCCCTCGCCAGCGTCGTGCGAGAAAGACCAGAACAACGAACAGCTAGTGGCACGTTGTCGCCATCGCCCCGTCCCTCTCACAGTCCGTATCAGAGCCCTTTCCAGAGCCCGGTGTTCCCAACTGAGGCCACATTCCCGGCAACCACCCATCGTAGCCGTCGCTCGACCCTCTCCGAAAAAATCGAAAAGCGACCACTTTCCAACGATGCCGAGACGAACCACATTCCGGCCTCGATCCACTCGGAGCTTGACGTCGAGTACCTCCCTTTGCTGGACGTCACAGTCCCTCGCGGCGCATCCAGCCCTGACGGGAGTCTCACTTCCTCCGTCTCGAAGTTCATCAAACGAGTAGCTTGGACGGACAACCAGCTCCTCCGTCATCTCAAGTACTTCGACTTCACCGGTGGCGCCGCTATTGGCCTGGCAGACGTGATCAAGCGACAGCTCGAAATTGACGTGAACGCAGACTTTGCAAGCTTTGCCGCCTACGAAAGCCAGGGATACGTCAGTTCCACCTTCGAGCTGTATGATGTTGATAAGGATGGCTTCCCTCGCCCCGTGGGCAAGCAGCTCGACGACCAGCGCCGAGGCGCTGCGTCCGACGTAGTCCTGTCGCTGAGCCAGATCGTCGACGCGCCGACGGTGTGGAACGCCCTCAAGGGCATCCACGCGGACGGTCAAGCTGTCGGGCTCGTGACAATCATCCAAGAGCCTTCGCCCCTCATGCTCGGCGCCCTGCACATGACCATGGCCCCGTACTTCGACATGACTGAGCTCTTCAACCACTTCATCACGGACCGCGGTAACAATGGCAAGACGACCGCCCGCGTCCACCGCGCCTTCGCCCGTGACCCGTCTCCGCGGCACTTGCGGCAACGCAGCTTCTTCTTCGTCTTCAAGTACTACACCATCGTCGGCGACGGCCTCGAGCCCGCCCCCTACCAGAAGTACGACAAGCGCCCCGCCGACCGCCGAGCGCGGGACCACATCGACATCGCCGAGTGCAGCTCCATCCTCGCTCTCTCGCTCTCCGGCTCCCCACGCCAATCCGTGAAGCAGACCCGCCGTCGCGAGGGCCCGCAAGAAGGGTTCCTCTTCGATACCTTTGCGCCGTGGCACCTCCTCTCGATTCAGTCTTTCCCGGATGACGAGCACACCCTCCGGGGCGGCGATGCCGAGGCGCGCAAGAACTTCCCCTCGGGACCGTACGCATTCCTGGACGCCCTGGTGACCGAGTACCGCGACGCGACGAAGAGGACCCTCGCCCTCCACGCCCGCATTGCTAAGCTCATCACCCCGCCCACGGACTTTATTTTCGACGCTAAACTTAGAGACAAACTCCTCTTCGAAGATAAAGGCTATACTTATATCCGACGGTACTTCTGGGCCTACAACACGCTAGGCGTCGTCAACGAGGGCCTGCGCGCCATGCTCGCCGCTTACCGGGACACCTTTCCCGACGACTTCTGGGAGGGCCGGCACCAGACGCTGTGGCCACACCCGTCGCCGGACAGCCCCGAGGGCCGGGCGTACCGGGACAAGATGGCGCCGCTGCGGTCGGACCTGGAGAGGGCGTGCCGGGACCTGGAGACAGTGCACGCCAAGAACGCTGCGACGCGCAAAGAGATTGAGAGCCTGAGGGACCAGCTCTTCACCGGGAGCTCAATCAAGGAGTCGAGGAGGGCGATCGAGCAGGGCGACAACATCAAGGTGCTGACTCTTGGGTCCATGGTGTTCCTCCCCCTGACGTTTGTGACTGTACGTAGCCCCCCCCCCCCCCCCCCCCTTTCAACTATGATCCGTCTCCGTCCACAATCTAACGTTAACATCTCAGTCCGTCTTCGGCATTACGGAATTTACAATCCCGCCCCAAGACTGGCGGTTCGCAGTGACCATGGTCTGCGTCTGCGTGCCCTTCATCCTGGCCCTCATCCTTCTGCAGACGCGGGCGGGGTACTCGCTGGCGAGGCACTCCCTGGCCGCCCTCGCGTGGCCGTTCCGCCGGTTCATGGACGACGGGAGCGGGGGCAGGCCTCCGCCGGCGGTCGCCATACCTGCGACAGAGGTGAGACCGAGCAGGAAGAGGCGGCTTACGATCCGAAAACCGCCGCAGCCGCAGCCGCCGGCTCAGGAGAAACACCAGGAAGGGCGCCTAGGGTTGTGGTTGGGCTGGAGACCGTCGCTGTATAATGGCAACATGAAGGCAGGTAAGGTCAAGGTGGCCGAGGAGGGTAATACAATGGTTTTCGGTCATGTTTGATGTCTGGGTTTGATAGATTTTGGCTTGCTTTTCTGAGATACGCATCCAATCTTTACTACGACTGCAAAAAGATGTTCGCTTGTATTGAAAAAGCGTAAACCGATAAGTATATGATGGTCCAAGACTTGACCTTTATACTCCATCTACTTGGTCTGGGGCCGCCAATCAGGTCTCCATACCGGCTAATCCAGGCTGTTGCGTTTAGGCTTTGGCCAACAGGAATAAGATGAAGCCTGTCTGTAGCTACCGCAACGAACATACAGGCTTCGCGATAAGCATCACTCTAGCTTGGGCTGTATTTCCCAGCCTCAACAAGAAGCCGTTCTGGTTGGCTCGGATGAGTTTGTTGGAAGCTCCAAAAATGCCAACCGATGGATGAACTACCAGTATACACACTCCTTACCCATGGAGAAGGTTTACTTGCCCCCCCCCCCCCCCCCCCTCCGAATCTTCTTATTACCCAACGGCGTTCGGCCTGCCTGCACACACATCCGCAGACGTGGCAAATCACACCCTACGGGGCCACGTAAGAGAGTTCATAGCACGAACTTTACCGTCCGCAGTCGGAAATTTATTTGTCAAGACGTCTTTTGAAGGGGTATCTTACGCATTATCCGATAGGTGCCACCACTCCATGGCACCATCTATTCTTTTTGAGGTTCGTCGACTTCGCACGTATCTAGTATTTGACGGGGATTGCCCCGCAAAGAAACGGCCGGCGGGACTCTCGTCTTCCCTCATCCAGGCTGACTAATCCAGTGTCGACCCCCGGGCCCGGCAGACTGGAACCGGGGGGGGGGGGGGGGGGACCATGGAGAATCTGTGCCACTCCCAACCCGACGCCGTCGATCCCGGCCGCTGCTTATCCTCCCAGGCTCGGCACTGAGGCGGCCTGGAAACCAGCCCACAACAACACGGTCATGTTCGCCGTCCGATACAGCCAACCCCCCTATTCGGGAGAGCCTCGCAAGGGGAAAGGGGAAGCGGCTCTCGTCTTTTAGAAACACGCAGGGCCGGTAGAGCACCCCGTTACATCTCTGTCCTCTCCCCCAACCCAGCCCACGGCCTCTAGTATCTAGTCGTAGACGTTCCAATCTTCACTGTCGCCAGTCGCACAACGTCTATAGCGTCTATAACGCGACCGAGTCTCCGACCTCCGTAGCTGCGTACCCCTTTGCCTCACCTGCAGACAAAATAAACACCAGCGTTTTTTGGTGGGGGGGAGGGAGAGCGTACAAGGATGACAAGACGAGGAACGCGGACGGAACACGCAAGCTAAACCCAAACACAACCCCAGAAACTCTACATCTGCCGACTGCTCGATACCACCGAAAAAATGAGAGAGTACCTACCACCAACGATAACCAGACCACACCCACTGACAACACAACTGCCAACCGGCCACCCCCCTGGCATACCTCTTGCTCTGCAGTCCGCCCCGCGAAATCGCCGGCCTCACTGACACACACACACACACATCGGCCTACCCACCCGTTCACACTAGTCCCAAACCCAAACTCCAACCAACTGGCTGCCGCCGTCGACTTGCAACCTCTGCCGCCGTAACACACAAAAAAAAGGCGCGCTGGTGGGGGTAATGTAACGGTGTCATGCCATATATCTATCCCCCCTCCAATCCCACTGCTGAACACCGAACATCAGATGGGGCAAAAGCTTCCCGAACAGTCCGGACTCTTTCTTGTGTGCGTCTCAAGACACGGCATGCCCATCATCACGCCACTGGATAAAGCCTAATAGCCGGTTTCAGCAATGAGGCAAAAAAAACAGGCATCAAATGTGAGTGGCTCCTGCCAGTCTATCGCTGATGAGCAAATGGTCCCAGTACGAAGACCCAAGTATACGAAAGTGTTATCACAGGGCGGCAACGAGAGCTAAGCGTCGAAAGTTGACAATCATCCACTTCATGCCATTTCGCATCGTCCATCTTCTCTAGCGTATCGTTCAAACATGAAGTAAACTGGGGAAAAAAAGGGGACATACAATAGAGCAGCCGGACCAGCCGAACACACCTACGCCGTCATCGCGCATCATGACGTGGACTAGAAAACAGAGAAAACGAGACAGTAACACAGACCAAAACCCGCAACAATAAGCATAAATCATCTGAATCTCTCGGCTTCGGCCACACGAGGGCAATTAAAATAACGTAGCAGGTATCTCGAGAGAAAGCCTCCAAGCCGGACCATCGCTTCGGCTGTACAGTGCAAGACAAAAAGCCGAAAAAAAAAAAAAAACCAAGCTCCCATATCCACGGTTGTAGTCTTATACGCGACCTGGTCCGGATTTTGTCGTTTTGAAACGTAATCGCACTCGGACGAATGCAAAAGAAGCAGGTGCAGAACGCCAGTGTGAGTAGGGATACCGAATAACATCGTAACGAAGTGAATTAGACAGCCGTGGCGGGAGGACATTTATAACACCGGGTTCGGAGAGGGAGTAAAGAAGCATTGGTGGATACAAATGCTAGTACGGAAAGTCGAGGGCGATGCGACGACGGAGACGAAAACGTCGTGGTATCAGGTTTCAAAGAAATGCCGAGAACGCCTAATTCCATGAAAAGCCAGTTAAGGGTATCTCCGGGAAGGAAAGTTGTACAGTCGAAAGTTGGGAGACCCGTGTGCTGGCGTTTACCACCCCTTCTTTCTTGCGAATCGCTTGTTCAACAGAGTTAGGACCTTGGTCACATTGAATTGGACGTATTCAAGGTCCAAGTCGTCCTGGCCGTCCTTCTGCATTTCAAGCAAGTCGTCAAGCTTGAGGTCCAATTCGAGTAGACCACGATTCCGTCCTGTATCATGGTCAGCCAAACGTGTATGGCCCCAAGTCATCGCATCGACTTACCCTTGTAGTGGAGAGAAATAACAAACGTTCCCGGCAGGGGGCTCGTGAAGTTGAAGTAAATGTTGGCCCTCCGGTTATCCGGGACGTTGCTCTTCTGGATGACACCCTCCTTTTCCAGTTGCTGGTGGGTGAACTTGTAGGGGCCGAGGACCTGCTGCTTCTGCTGCTTTCGTTTCGTTCCCTCGCTCTGCGACCGCACATTGTGGAGGTAGCTCTTGTACGTTTCCAGTTGGCCCACGAGGTATGTGTTGTGGTCGCGAATAGTCTTGTAAACCTCCTCCAACTTGCTCGTCTCCTGGATGACACCGTCTTTGAGGGACCCAAGATGCTGCAGCTCCTGCTCAACCTCATCACGCAGCAGCCCAAACTGATCGTTCTTGTCAATAACCTTCAGTTCCTGCAGTTGAGACAACAACTCCATGGCCCTGATACCCTTGCGAACCATGACCGCGTCGTTTCGGCTCGTAGCCGCCGCGTCAGCGACTCTTTCCAGTCGCAAGGGCCGCCGCGCGACACTGCTGTTGGACGGGATCGACCGCATAATCTGCACAAAGATGGACTTGGCTTCCATAAAGTACACTTCCTCTTGCGTGATGTCGAGCGCCGCAGTCAGGTCGTCAATTGCCGTCTCCCACCTACTGAAGAGAGGAAGGTTGATGACGCGGTTCTCCTTGCGAGGAACCTGCGGGGGTGCGCCTCCAAGCTCCGACATGATGATGCCCAGGTGCGAGTTGTCGTCCTTGCAGAGCTCTTTGTTGTGCTTCTCAATCAGAGCATGCATGGCATAGATTTCGTTTAATGTGATGGAGAGCTCCAGGTCCTTCTTCGAGAGGGCGACGTAGTTGTCCATCTCCAGGCTCTCATAGAAATCTCCGACTTCGCACAGGTCGAGCATGAACTTGTTGATACGCTCTTTGTTTTGTTGAATGAACGGCTGCAGCTTAGCCATATACGGCTCCTTGGCGTACGAGGGTTTGTTGGCCAAGTTCTGCAGCATTTTTGCAATCAACGTCAGTGTCCTTCTTGGCCGCTCGGCCGGCTGACCGTCGATGAGCATGTACGACTTTGGTGTAACGATGGCGGGATTGATGAATCGCAAGAAGAAAAAGCCGCCGATCAGGGTGCAAATAACCTGGTCGTTAGCATCGGGGTACTTGCGCTTTGTCAGGCTTCGGATCTGTTTGCAAATCCACCGAATGCCGTACGGAGCCTCCTCGAGGCCGTCAATGATGGTCGTCAAGAAGCCATTAGCAATCTCGGTGAGCATTGTCAGACGCGGCTCAATAATAGCCTGGACCTGGGGATTCTCGGCGGCCTGCTCGGCCGTGATACCCTTAGGAAGCGAAGGGGGGAGCGTGCCGGTATCCTCCTCGATCTGCTCAATCATGCGTTCGTAAACTTTGAGTGGGTTGATCTCTAGATCGAGGTCCTTCAGCTCGATCAGACTGTTGATTCTATCAGCCAGGACCGACTTGAGGAAACTCTGACCCGGTCCTCTACGCGTGTACGTCGTCATCATTCGCGAAACTGGAGTGTTGGCGCGTAGAAGGGACGAGTACTCGGGGGTGTTGTCGAATTGGTACGTCAGAACAGACTGACAGTCTAGATTAGCGAGGTATCTTGTGGGACGATCTTTCCGTTACGACGAACCTGAAACATGGTCAAGAGCAGATGCTCTTCGCGACTCTCGTATTGGTTTCCGTAGATGGTGAACATGACAGTTTGCAGCAGAGAGTCGATTTCTGACATGGATACCAATCGGCACAAGTGCGCAATGTGCCTTGGCTCGGACTGAAGCAGAAACATCAGATTGCCGTACTTCTGCGTCTTGTCGTCGTTGGGGAACGCGCCCTCTTGCATATCGGTAGCGTCTTCAAGGTGGCTAGCCACCTCGTTCTGTTCTTCCAACGCCATGCGGTTCTGGATAAGAAGAGCGATTCGAGAATCGAGGTATCGCACGTCTTTTTCGAGAACGAAATTCTTCTTTGACTGCGAGGAGATTTTGGATTTCAATTCGCGAAGGATTTTTTGGGCTGTGAAATAAGGGTCAGCGGGCGACAGCCTTGTCGCTGAGGGGGCGGCTCTGCGTACCTTTGGCCAGTTCATCCTCAATCTCCAGGTCAGTCTCGTTCGCTGAC